GAGTAGATTTGAAAGTGCAAATCCGTGCCTTCGAGGGTTTGGGCGATTTAGATGGGCGGCTATCTACCGTTGTTCTCAACAGTATCGTGCAACAGCTTCTAGACTCGAGAGACGAAAAAGCTGCAACACGTTTTATGCTAGCATTCGATCTTCCTGGTGGACGTGGTCGAGATCCCACGGGATCTGGCAGTACCACCGAGCTCGCTGGCGAGCAACCCCCCGATTCCTTGTCAACGCGCACCCCCATAGACACCCCCGCTGTAAAGCCCAATGCCGTTACTTTCTCGATTCTATTGCACTACATGGCAAGAGAAGGCAAACTTTTTCGCATGCTCAAACTCCTAGACCACATGAAACGGGCTGGTGTCCATCCAGATCCCCACATTCTAGCAGCGCTCATTCGAGGATATCTGGCTGCAGGTCATAGTCGCGAAGCCCTTAGCGTTGTTGCAGTGATGCTGGATATGCGATCTCCTGCTGCTGCTGGGACCTTCTGTAGCATGATGCAGGTGCAGCCGCTAACAACACTCCCGGTTGACGTCCAGGATGTTCCCTTGACGGCGCATATATTCAATGCACTAATGAGTGGATTACTTGACGTCATGGGTCTCAAAGCGATGCGAGATATCTTGCGCACGATGCGTGCCGTTGGGATTAGTCCCGATAGTCACACAGTAGAAATTCTTATGAATTTCCTTGAACGAGCACAAGGATCTAGTCCACGTCAATTGATACGCGTGCTTCGTTCATTTTCATCACCTTCGCTTCGACCCACCATCCGACACATCCACATCATCCTGCGGAGCATCCTTCGTCGCGAGAAATTCATATTTCACAGTTGCGGGTGGGACGCGACTGCCGCCAAGTTCTCTAAGAAGCGCAAGTACAACACCAAGTCTCCCGAGGGACCTATTCTGGACACCACCGAGCACTATCATCCTACCGCCGGTCTCAAACTTCCTCGTCGTTCACGGTTGAAATCCTGGTTCAGACCGATCCTACAGTCTGTTTCCCGGCAGGCCATTCAAAGCGATCGTGCGACCATTGCACTAAGGTTGAAACATGAAGCGGTTGCTAGGTCTGACATGGGGCCCTCTCAAACTGTTTTTCGAAACATGTTGGATCAAGGGCTTCACCCAACCATCCACCATTATTCAACGCTCATGGACGGGTATGCGAAGATGGGTGACATCCGAGGCGCTAAACAGGTGCTTCGAGATGCACTTGAGGCTGGCATCCAGCCGAATGCAATAATGTACACCATTCTCGTCAACGGCTATGGTCGCCGGGGAAAACCGGAGGAAGCTATGCGGGCTTTCCGTGCAATGATTCGTGCTGGTATTGTTCCCGATGTACCCTCCATCGACGCAGTTGCCCACGCATATTTTGCTGTGGGAGCATATTCAGTAGCAAGACGGGTGCTACGCGAAATGTGGGCTCAAATTCAGCCGTTTCCTCCCGAGCTGGAACACGCCACTCTCCGCACACTAGCCGTGACGTTTCGCTCCCATAGTTTGAACCCGGAGCATGGGAGACACAAATTGTCCAAGCGTCAGCAACGGCTGCTGTACTGGAAGATGAGAGCGATCAAAACAGAGTGGATGCGATTTGAGCAGTGGACGGGGTCCCGCCCACTCTCCGGTGGGATTGATAGACAAGTTGGGTATCCACATAAAGAGGAATAGGAACCACTCGTTTATACAAGTTGGGATGTTCATAACGCAACGCGATTAATACATACTGCATACAGAATATCCATAAAATGAGATATGAGATGAAGAGACCCTAGCGAGCATGTGCAAACTTAGCATCTAGCAGTCGGAGTGCTTCTCTGACACCATCTGCATTCACCTCCCGCATTCTTCGACGTCCACACTCGATCAACACCTCTTGCGGAACAAGCCTTGGTGGCGAGGACTGCTCTCTTTGCTTTTGATGGTACCGCTCATGTGGATCCGTCAGTAGCACCGAATGATGATCTGGTGCTGTGGATCCACCCTGACGAGAGTATCCTGCCATGGGTGCGCTACGTTCAGGTGTGATGGATCCTGGCGCCGGGGATAATACCACCCGTGAGCCTGTGCACTTGGATCTACGAGCAACCACTTCAGCTAATAGTGACAGATCTGCGAACGCGACATTTGGGTGCGACTTGAGCTGACGCCAAGCATCGTCGGTCGGTATCGACGTGTCAGCGCGAGGAGGATTCGTGGACGAAATCATAGGTGCTATGCCACAAGACCCGCACTTCGTAATGTCACCACAGCAACCACCAACGACAATCTTGTCGGATTGGTTAGTTCGTACAGGGCAGTCGATGCATGGTGATGTCGAATTGACGGAGTGCCCAATTGCCTGGCAGAACGCCTTGCCGAAAGCGTCGTCCGAACATGCCAAGCAATTAGCAGGGTCACCTGAACATTTGGCGGATGACGATGGGACTGAAATTGGAGTCACAGAGAAGACTGGGTTTATGGTCTGACCCTGCGTTCTTCGACGTATCGGTACAGGCGCTTGGTATGCCGGGAGGTTCTCGAGAATGTTCATTTGCGAAGACGTAGGTGCTCCAAGCGGCGCGGGTTGATCCATAGGTGACATGATGGCAGGATGATCATGTTCCGGTTTGAGTGACATGTGGCTTAAATTAGTGTCAGTGGCGGCTTGCTGCATGGCCATTTCCCTGCAAACGCAAGGAACCTCTGGAGTACACAATACACATCGGAAAGAATCCTCTGGATCTTGAGGATCTAGTGCTGGGACAGGCTCTGACGGAGGGTAGTTGAGCATGTGTGTGAGTGATGGTGGGGGTGTGGGAAAAAGTCCTGAACGACTTTCGTGGCCTGTCGAGGAGAAGCTGGGGGCGGTTCCGTCATCAGGAGAGGAAGCCATTGAAGTGGATGGAGGGCTATAAGAGGCAAAATGAAGGCCCTGTGGGGAGTCGGTCGCCTCGGCATCCATCTTCGCTCGCTTGTTGCTGTTGCGAAGAGATCGCTCGGGAGACATGCTAGGTGACACGACCCCAACATTCTCCCTATTCCTCTTTCTGTCTCCATCATTTGACTCTGCATCCCACTCGAGACGAGCGATTTTTTCCTTCAGCATTTGATTCTCCTTTCGGAGCTCCTCGTTCTCGTCCTTCATTTTCTTCGCAATGTTCTGGAGTGCGACATTACGTTCTATCTCTCCCTGTTCGTAAGAGTGAAGGCGAGCTTGTAGCTCAGCAAGCTGGGACTGCTTGCGCTCGCGAAAGGCACGTTGGGCGGCTCTGAAATAGGATTAAGCATACTGTATCACAGAAGACTACTTAACTCCTCACCTATTTTGAACACGCCTACCTGCGGACTCCGAGTCCTGCAATCACTGTCAACAATATGAAGCGCACTGAAATAGTGAAATACTTGCTTCATCATCCTTCGGTGCTGGAGGGCCTGCAGAACTCTCCTTCTTGGGCTTTCGCCCGGGCTTGGGTTTAGCTGGGATCACCCACTCCTTTGAGGCTACAAATGGTTTCGTTGGGACGATGTAGCTCACAATCACAGATCAAGCTTACCTGTTGCCCATAGCGTGGCGTTCGAGGAAGAGGCTGCCAGTGACACGGGGGACGGTCCTATAGGTACCATGCTTGAAAATGAGCGCCAGCCGAATGACAAGGGGTCGTCAAGCAGATGGCTGAAGAGGATGGGAGAGGGGAGGATATTAATTCTAAGCGTTTTTGTCCGATATCGAACAGAACTTGTGCTTAGCGTCAGAGTCAAGCTCGAGGAAGAATTGAATGTTAGATTAGATACTGGATCGGTTTCTCGGTGGACGATTCCGAGAAGAACCCAATTGAATGGTAACACAGAACCCTCGACGGAACACCGCCTTTGGACAACCCCATGGACGAAGATAACTGACTAGGGCATGGGAAAACAACGTGTATGCATGCGACTAAATACAACCTCAACAACGGAGCAATCACTCTACGACCTCCTCCTCGGTTTGCTCAATAACCTCATCAACCCACTCCTCAATCTCTTCCTTTTCCTCTTCGTGGTGTTCGCCATTGAGTTTTTGTCCCCGACTCCGCTTCTCTTCTATGATATCCCGCTTGCACCGCGCGCGCCATGCGTTCCATTCGTCAAGGAGGCGCTTACGATGAGCGATAAGCTCAGCACTGACATTGCTTTCCTCCGCAGCGTCTTCCTCGTCGAACGCACGGCTGTACTCCCGCAGATTCTTGCGAATCAGCCGCTGTTGCTCCTTTGTAAGGAGACTGCGGGGCCGCGGTCTCCAGATGAATTGCTTGAAGCGATCAAGGATGTGCTTTTCTAATTCTTGTCCCCGGAAGTCCCAAATAGCGTAGCCGTTTTCGAGCTGTGTAACACAGAAACAATGAGCACAGCACATTACTAGCCAAGTGTGACAGACCGTGTGCCTCCATGCGCTTGCACTGGTAGCCAAGTATCGCCCACTTGGATCCCACTCCACATCAGTTACACCATAATGATCGGCAGAACCAAGTTGTTGAATGCCGCTGCCCCATTCTTCTTTTACGTTTTGGCCTTCTCGGCGTTCTTCGGTGCTGAAATCGAGGTCCCAGAACTCGAGTTCGGACTTCGTCGATGAACCAACTGTCGCAAGAACTACATGTCTGCCTCGAGGAGACCAACGTATCGTGTTACTAGTCCTTGATGTAAGTGTGCCTGTGTATACAAAAAGTTGAAAGACAAAGCCCGACCAATGTTAACAGGACGTACGTAGCAGTTTGAAATCATTCTTGGCACGATCCAGCTGGTAGAAGCCAATGTCGGTTTTTATTGTAATTCCAGGCCCAGGGTTACCGAGGTTTGGATCATTGCTTGACACAATAGCAAATCGTTCCCCTTTAGGCTCCCAAGAGAAGTCCGTCACTGTGTCTATATGACATATGAGTGAACGATCCAGCAAGGTCAGGGGTTTCTGTACCTTTCAACTCGACAACTTCAACGGGATAGTCTTTCTCGCGGACTCGGAAAATCTCCAGATTGCAGAAAATAGATTTCTTGGTCTTCGTATGACGGTCAACCTTGACACAAAGGAAGTCACCCTGGTTTTGCCAATGAAGCTTACACTATAACATTGATCTTCAATAAAGGACCAATCACAGAAAAGATGGACAACACCAACCTCTGTGACATTGAATAAGTTCTTTTGTCGTAGCACAGTGCGAGTCGGGAAACTAATGAGAGTCACTCGCGCAGGTTGATTGGCAACTTCAGGCGTCCAGTAAGCAAGCATGTTCTCCCTTTTCTTGGCACCTTTCTCGGCTTTCACGGTCTTCTCCACGTCTTCTTTGTCCTTATCTCCGTGAGGGCACCATTCAAAGTCAACAACCCCCTCAATTTTTAGACTCTTTTTGTCGTGAAGACCCATGGTTGGTAACTCGTAGACACTGATCTGCTGCCCTGGTGTTACACGAGCGACGAACTTATCATCGGAACTCCACTTTAATGCAGGCCACTGCATTTGTTTTTTCATCGCTGGATCCTCGTTCTCGTAAGCCGCGGTGGGAAACGTGCGAAGTAGTTGACCGGATTTGATATCCCAGACGGCAATGTTATTACCCTCGTCCTCGGGAGAAAAGAATTCAGGGCCTTGAGGGAGGTTGGCAGGGACTGAGATAGGATCATGTGACCAAGTGACGAGGTAATTTTCGCATGGAGAAAAATCAATCAACTTGACGAGAGGGTGCGCAAACCGATGCTGGGGTTCCCATGATGGTCCACCCCATAGGCGGACACCCTGGCGAAAAAGTGTAGCGAAGTATGTACCAAGGGGTGACCATGAGGCGTAGAGTTCTGTCCAATTCTGTCAAGATATTTAGTGGATGCAATGATGACCGGGACGGGCACATGCCTTTTTCGCATAGGCAACTTCACATTGCGAGGGCTTCCCGTGCCAGTGGATTTCTACGTCATCACCCCGGTAAGTCACGTACTGATCACGTCCTTGAGAATCAGCGAGCCATGCCCGAAGATGTTCCTTTAGCAAGGGTGAGTCCGATGTCTTGATCGAGGTAGAGAGGCCAAACCTTTGGACGGTATTCCTCTACCGCGGGTTCGATGTATGTCTCGTCAATGTTGGCATAGCGCTCAATGTCGGTGAATCGATTGATACGGAAAGTGTGCTTGGTGTCAAAGGGATGTCCGTTCATTGCGCTGGCCGCAAAGGCAGCCGCATCTGGGTTCCCAAGGTCAACAAAGACAAAGCTACCATACTTTAGGTCTCAGAAGTCTAACAGAAGGGCTAGGGCGAGCGTACCCTTTAGTTTTTCCTGCATTGTCGTCCCATGGTACGAAAATGTCATCAGGCTTTATCACAGCCCCTCTTCTGGAAAACTCCTTGGAAATCTTTGCGAGTAACTTGTCGAGCTTAGACTTGTCGATGACAGGCACGCCGTCGACCACTATTACACTGTCGAAGCCATCGTCAAAGTCCACTCGGTATCTAAGCGGGAGAAAATAAGTGGAAGTTCAATTGAAAGTGCAAGAAGTCCGCACTTGTCTTCGATGTCTGAAAAATCAAGTTCATCATCGATAGGGTTGTGCGAAGTGCCGTTAGGACTGGCCATTTTGTCGTGCTCGCTGTTCTCGTCGGCAACGAAGTCTGCCTTCAGAAAAATAAAGTTTAAGCGGAGTATCCTTGCTTGCGTGAATTACATAATTACGATAACGTTAACTGGTTGAATCATTGAGCCTCATCTTAGCTAGCTTGACATTTCAAAAAATCGGATCCTTTCAGATCTTTATACTTATGGTGCCTCAGGCCTCAGGCAGCGGCCATCAATGATGGTTTCGGTTGATTGTTCACTGTTCATACTCTGAGCAAGGCAGCACAGTCGATCTTGGAGTGCTAGTGCAATTTGCACCTGGAGGCACAAACGTGCTCTGGACGAATGCACATCTACGAGACACGTTCTATATGTTCCCATTGACACAATTGATTGGGGCGTTCAGGCCTCTGACAGGCCTATGACCATCCTGATTTAGGATGTATGTGCATTGTGATTCATGCCAAGCGTTGAGCGCGCTAAATATGTGACTTACAGTGATCTTCCAGAGCTTCACTATTGTAGCACGTGTATCCACTTATAAAATGATCGCTCTACGAAATGAGCCGCGGGACCTTAAGCTTCATATCTCTCCCACCAACTTATTATCTTCCAGGCATCCTCAGCATGTCTGTCGAGAAAGATGTCAATTCCATTGATGAGAAGGAAAGGAAGGCTGGTGACCTTCGCAAGGTCACTGCAAGGACCTACGAAGCGGAACTAAAGGCCACAGCACATGACCTCAATAAAAAAGAGTCGCTCAGTGCATATTTCACCATCCTGGCCGCGGGTTTTGGTTTGATCAGTGACGGTTGTAGGTTTTGGCTTTAGACCGCAGATAACAGCTAGTCACCTGATTTATCGCAGACCAAAATAATCTGATGACGATGAGCAACGTTCGTCAGCGTCATGCAGTCATAAGAAAGTTCCTGACTTGATCTTCTAGGTAATCTTCAAGCAATTATACCCAAAAGACTACACATCTATTGTGTCCACTCGGGTCTCGAATGCCTTGCTAGTTGGTGAGCGGTAGTGCTAGTAGGAACGTGACGCCTGCTGCCTCAGGCTGCACATACTAATTTCGAAATTCAAAAGGTGCTGTAATTGGTCAGATATTTGTGGGTTTGATTTGCGACAGAGTGGGACGCAAAGTCGCCCTTGTCTCAACAACCTTACTGATTGTCGTTGGTGCTACCCTTGGTACTGCGGCTCACGGTGCCCATGGAAGTGCTCAGGGATTGTTTTGGTTCTTGACTTTCGCTCGAGGCATCACGGGTATTGTATGTATTTTTTCCATGCTACATGCTACATTCTTCATTCTCAGTTTTGTTAGGGCGTTGGTGGTGAATATCCTGCTTCTTCCACGAGTGCTAGCGAAGCTGCGAACGAGACGGCACTGAACAATCGCGGTCCAGGTTAGTTTGTATCATTTATCCGAAGTATGTATGGCCTTAAGAAGTGAACAGTCTTCATCATGGTCACAAACTTTGTTCTATCTGTGCGTATGCTCATGCTGTTTTAACGGAAATCTCAACAATCTGAATTAGTTTGGCGGCCCCCTCGCTGTATCGGTGTTTCTGATTGTCCTATCGGCTGCTGGAGAGAATCATCTTGAGACCGTCTGGCGCGTGTGCTTTGGAATTGGCATATTGCTCCCCTTGACTGTATTTTTCTTCCGTCTTCGGATGCTGAGCTCGAAGCTGTACCGCAAGGGTGCCATCAAACGTATGCACAAGTTTGCTTTGATATCCTTTGTTTTCAATTTGATTTTAGGTCACGTACCATATGCACTTGTATTCAAGCGTTATTGGCGAGAGCTGATTGGAACTTGTGGGGCTTGGTGAGTCGTGCTCGGATCAAAAGAACTTGTTAGTGTCTCATCCTAGAACCAGGTTCCTTTACGATTTTGTGAGCCAGATGTAACGATTGTGCTTTTCGCAAACTCTCACATTTTTCTCGCTCAGGTCACATTCCCTAACGGTGTCTTCTCGGGTACCATTATCTCAAGCGTTATCCACAACGGCGATATAAAGCAGACGGCAGAATGGCAACTTCTTCTCGGAGTAATCGCCCTCCCTGGTGTTTTTGCGGGTGCCTATCTCTGTAATAGACTGGGTCGAAGAAACACGGTGGGCAATGCCACTTTGATCATGAGCGCACACCGATTTGTATCTAGATGATGCTCGGCTTCTCTGGATACCTCTTGTTTGGCCTAATCATTGGACTGGCTTACAACAAGATAACGAAAATTATACCATTATTCGTCATTTTGTGGGCTATTTCATTTGATCCCGCTTGTCTCTCATTGACAGCTTCCCATAGCTATGGGCTTATGCAATCGGTCGGAAACATGGTATCTGTGCAATCTTATGAGCCAGCGACGTTTTATCTCAAATTTCATCCCTTAGGGACCCGGTGATATGCTGGGTCTAACGAGCTCCGAGTCATATGCGACTCCGATCCGGTACGTCATTAATGGCAAATAGGTTATCCGATGTAAAGTACAGACCAGTTAACAGCGGCACCTGCTACGGCCTATCTGCCGCCATTGGGAAGACTGGAGCAGCCGTTGGCACTCAGGCTTTTACTCCAATACAGAACAACCTGGGTAAACAGTGCGTTAACTTTTCCTCGATGTGAATCCATTCCTTGAACTGCCTTTGAAGATGGACATTCATTATCGCCGCTATTTGTGGCGTAGCTGGTGTTCTGATCACGTATTTCTGCATCCCAGACATGACTGGGGTTGACCTTGCCGAAGAGGACACCAAATTCATGAAATACCTCGCTGATAATGGTTGGGAAGGCGAGGTAGGTGAGGGTGATGAGAAGGGGATGTTCGCAGACCACGACATCGCTAAAGCTGGTTCTGCTGAAGAGCTCTAAAGGCATACTTGAATTTATTACTTCAAGTTAGCGGTGTTTTCGTGTTAAGGGGTGTTTTCGTGTTAAGTATGAATGTATAGTCACGTGGTCTATGTATGCTTCCGACGCGAACCTAGTAGTTGGTTTTCTACCACTGGGCTTTCTTTTTTGAATGTCGTATCCGCTACTACGGACATCGCGTTCTCTGTGCTCATCGTGTCTACGTTGGCGGCGTCACAGACTCTACTCGTCACAGGCAGCGTTAGCGACCTCGATTGTTCCAACAAGCAACCTTCAGCAGACAGAAACACTATCTGCTGGACCTAGTAATGGGTTAACAAAGACAACGCCGCAAAAGCGGGCCCAAGCCCCTGGGGAAGCAAAGACAGGGCTGCTGGTTGAGAATGAAACACCCTCACAGTCTCGAAATCCGCTAGAGCCGACTCGCGTCGACCTTTACCTCGCCTCAATACACGCTGCTGGCTTGGAACCAACCTTGGATGACATAGAGCGCTGCAGACCTAAGAGACACTCCTCACCGGAGTCTTTTAAATATGCGGAAGAGTACAATAATCTCTTGGACACACTCTGTCGGTCCTTCAGCAAGGACCAGCTACGGAAGTTTACAGAGTTGTATAACCTCGACCCTATATGGACACGTAGCTCCAGACGGAAAGTGGAATATGCGGAATCCATTATGGAGAAGCAGTGGAACTGGCCCTCCCTGAAGGAAATCGAGAGAAGGCAGAGGGATAAGACAGAGGTTGTCGTCAAGAGTTAGTTTTGTTCTGCATACTGTTCCCATGCTGACCTGACTTCCGTAGCATTCTCTGTCAACCCCAGTCAACTCTTTCTCATTCTTGGGAAAGGTAGAGTCTACTCAAGTTACGATATTCCATTTGTAATGACAAATCTCCAGATGGTGCCGACTTACTACAGCTTTCCATGCAGTATAACGTCCACATTTCACTGGCTTCTAATCCACTTGCCTTGCGAGTGGAGGGATTGAGAGGCAAAATGAAACGACTCACGGAGCATTTGAGTGAATTGAAAAAGGTAAGTTGCCGAGCTTCATGCCAGTGATAGAAAACTCACCTGCCCCGAGGGTATCATTGATGAAATCGTTGAGCTGCCTTCAAAACGACCTATTCGTCAGGATCTGGTCCAACGTATATCACGTCTTGCTGGTGCTTATGTGGAGAATCTTGGTCACAAGGGCAAGGCAGGTTGTATTGCCTGTCATCCAAGCAAGTATTAAAAATGTCTTTAGATCAGGATTTGTGCGAAAGACACAGAAAAAATGGACGCTGCAAAACGGCTTGCTCTCCGTGCTTCAACGGAGGTTAGCTACTTCATTATATGAATGGTGGTAATCATGCTGGACTGATAGATGGCTTAGACTCAAGGTGACAATTCTTCACCCCTCCTTTGCTATGTGCCAGCAAAGGCAAAGCTCGAGCATTCCGTAGCGCCTTCCTTCATGCCGCACACGTACTCTGTCTACCCTTTCCTCTCTCCTCGGTCATTACCTTGGACGATGGTGAAAGGTGGATCTTTCCGGGTTCGCAGAGTTGCAGATTGGCTCGGTGCTGCTGCCATTGAAGACACAACGAAGACAGGTGGCTTGTCGGGAGGGCAAGGAAAAGTGGTAACAAAAACTGAGTTAGTTTTTTCCCAAGTCAGTCTGAGTTTTCTACTGACGATTTCTCGAAGGGAAACCACAGACCTTGAGGCACTTCTCCTGAGTGCTCCAATGACCCATGGTCACGAAAGGCTTGTCTCTGCCTCGTAAGTACTCGTTAGATCAAGGGCACTGTTTCTGACACCACCCAAGCTTTGGACACATCATCCTTGGGTCTGTATCACCGACCGGACATAGCGTCCTTAGTCCCCCATTAAAGGGAAATTGGACGTTATCAAAAATTCTCAAATGGTTGCACACTTCAAATACTCCACTTGCATTCGTTCCCAGGTGTGTCTATTGATGCTACAGTCATTACAACTATGTACTAATCGGAGCTTCCAGTCCCCCTGCTACATTATTGAATTCACCACCTTCCAATCAAAAAGTCATTCATCGCGTTTTGTATCGCACGCTTCCAGAGTCACAGCTTGAGAAGAGTCTTCATCAGCAACTAATCAAACTAGAATTGGAGTTCTCGATGTCAGATACGGCTGTCTCCAAAGCGGCAGGACTTGAGTACGGTGACTCAGATCGCGGATTGGCTGGTGACTTTACATCGGAACTCGATATCAATCATAACCCTTCATATTCCCTGGAATATTGGCAGGGTTCAGAAGGACCTTCGACATACGCAGAGCCGAATCCTCCAGAGGTGGTTGTCGACGTTTCCGAAGCAACCTGCCTCGAAGGTGTTGAATCCACGTTGGATGTCATGATGCCTGATCGGTTCGTTAATTCTCAAGTCTAGTATGATATGAACTAATTTTAGGATAGTCCAATGGATGTCCAATTCACTGTATTTGAACATACAAATGTTTGTGCAGGTGACCAACCTCCGCTGCTTGTTGATTATGCGAAGCAGCTTCGCCATTTGTGCGCTTCTTTCAATCATACTTTTCGAACTTGGTCTCACCCGTCCGATCATTGACAGCTTAACGTCTCAAGACCGTGAAGCGATTCAACCACAGCCACCAGCTACACTCAACTTTCGCGGTCGAACCTACTTCCTTCAGACTAGTTTAAGTGTGCGCAAGGTTACCGAGACAACTCAGCTGTCAACGGGTGCTAGTGGAAACATGGAGCAGTCTGTTTCTGCGCGAGTCATAACAGAAAGCATGTTGGACTTGGAGAGCAACCAGAAGTTTACAACTTGTCAGGTGTGTGACAATCCGATTTCAATTTACGGTGAGCTTATTCGTGAACTAGGTGACGCTTGATGATTCTGCAGGTCGTGAAGCTTGGACTCGATTCCTCGCATCGTGTGACCTTATCAGCACCGTTTCAATCCCTGCTCAGGGTCTGCTCCCAGTCCCTTAACTTACCACCTTTGTATACACTAAACACAATAATCGATGCTCTCAAGTCATGGATGAGATGAATGAGATGGGCGTTGCATGAAATCGATTGGGGTACAGTGGTAAACTGGTCACCCTCATCTTCGCTTTTTGTTTGCCTTGTCTCTCCGTTTTTTGGCGCGTGTCTGATTAACAGTAAGTTTCTGCAAGATCGACGGACATGAAGGATTCACCTCTTTTCTCATCCTTGCATCGACCATAACATAACGCCCCTTGACGCCTTTTGGTCTCCCTTGGACTCCCTTGTGAGCACCCTTCGCAACCACCACTTTCGCTTCCTTTTTCTGGTTTGCTTTGGCAGTTCCTTTACGCATAAGCTTCTCTATCTGCTTTGCCTTCTCGCGCTCGGTCATGTCTGACGTATCATTCACACCTTCTGCCTTTTTCATCGCCTTCTCTAGCCGCTGTGTTGCCCGTAGTTTCTTCCTCCCCTTGGCCTCTGCGACCTTCTTGATTGGACGTGCATCCAGTGCGCGTTGACGTGTTCGCAGAGCAGCAATAGCTTCCTTGGTCACGGGGATATTCGGCCTGTAATGTTTTCCCTCATCATCCAAGAACCACGACGGTAAGCCGTCTTTTGCGTTAAGAGAATAACGGTTGAATCCGTCATTAAGAAGGTGCGTTTTGGTAGTTTGGCGATTTACTAATCGCTGAGCAATGGACACAGCTTCCACCGTAGTTAGGCCATACTCTGGAACATTGGTCAGACTGTTTATCGAGAATGTCAGGTGGGCATTGCACGAACTTTCAATATGTTCTTTCTTAGCCTCATCCTGATTTTCGCCCTCAGCGTCCCACATTTCAATGTCATCGTCGTCCCGCTGGGGCACAACTTCAAAGTCGCCATCCGATGAAACAGCAGACTAAGGGATTTCATGAGCATGGAACTTAAATGAGTGATTTGGGACGTACATCATCCTGCCATTCTTCCTCGCCACCATCATGTTGCACCGATGTCATGTCTACATCCTCCCCTTCTTCACCATCCTCTATATCATCAAGCCCTTCTACACCACCAAAAAGCTCTTGGCTGAACCATACCTGGGAAGCACGACCGCCTGCAGTTGGCTCCTCTAGCTTCGTCACGAGCTTGACCTTCTTGTTTGACTTTATTTCTGTTGCTTGAGGTCTTCTCCTCTTTCGACCTGGTGTCTCGGGTTCCTCATTGTCACTTTCGTCCGAGGAATCGTCATCGCCCCCCTTTGCGGCCTCCATTTGATCCCAACCGCCTTCCTCGTCGCTTTCACTATCCTCGCCTTCCTGAATTCCGCCCCATTCCTCCAGGATTCCGTTCCTCTTTCTCGCTTCTCTGGCCTTGAATTTTCCGTCGCGCTCCTGCTGTTTCTCTCGGTAAGCATCGTATAGGTCATCCATTTCTGCCTCAAGTTGTGATGCCTTTCGATGCCTTTCTTCCTCAGAATCGAGGACCTCATCCTCTTCATCGTCTACTGCCGCCAACTCATCTTCGTCTTCATCCTCCGGCGTGTCTTCGTCCACCCGTATAATCCCAATTCCACCTTTGTTTCTTAACTGCCTTTCAGTGCCCGTCAAATCGAAAATGTCTTCTTGGCCCATTCCTAGTGAAGCGTCGATTTGCTCGAGACCGATATCTAATGGGGCGGTCATTTGAAGCTGCATTCGTTGAATTGTCTTGGTCTTAATCTCATTTGCACGACGACGTTCACGTTTGGTACGCGCAGCTGCCTCGACGTTCAATCTTTCGAGCTAATACAAGAGTCAGAACGATAAAACGCCATAGCCCCAGAAGACAGACCTCGTCTCGAATCTGCTGCTCTTCATCAACTTCATCGGTGATCTCGACAGTTTCTATAACATCCTGAGCGTCCTTCGCCTTCACGTCTAAGCCGATCTGTGGGTAAATGTGAGCGGCCGTAGCAAGTTATACAAAATGGCACCACTGACTTCTTGACGAAGTGCAGACCGCCACCTGAGCAGATTCTTAAAATCTCCCTTGCCGAGCACCTTCAAATCCTCGCAGCTTGCCTGAACTTCGGAAGTAGTGATATCAAGCTGCAACCACCTGAAGAACATGTCAAAACAGCGTGACAGAGGACAAATGATCTTACTCTTTTTCCTCTTGCAACTCAAAAGTTATCTTGTTGACCAGTCCGAGCACAGCTATTGGGTCAGCACCCCGAACGAAGTCACTTGCAGTAGCCTTTTTGAACAAAAGGTAGTCCCCGTCATCGTAACCATCACGTTTCCGACGCTTCTTTTCAGGTTGAAACACATTTGCTTGTGCATTGTTTGCAGAGGTACCTTTGTCTGTACCAGATGCAATAGTAGTAGACAGGTCCTTAAAAACATGTTTGGGGTCCAGAAACTTGGGATCGATGTGTTTGGGTGCAAGGAAGTCCCGGCAGACTACGAAAATCTCAGCAGACACATTTCTATCTCCATGTAAATAATGAAAACGACTACCAGAATAAAAAAAGACACACCTAGATGACGGGGGTTTTGTAGCTTCTACCTTTCCAAATAACTGGTTGAAGACCCAAATGAGATTGTTGTAGTCGACACTTCGGAAAACTTTGGTGACAAACGTCCCGCCTTTGACGAGAAAATCCACGGCAAGTTTTAAACTCATCAGCACAAGCTCCGATTGGCTGTATGCGTCCTGCACCCATGCAGTACCGACGTTCGGTGCACCATCATGAAGAACAACATCTGCCTTCCAATCCTTGAGCTCGCTACGAATGAGGTTACGACACTGCGTAGTGGTTATGTCTGCAGCGAACGTGACAACACGAGGTATAGGTTTAATTGGTACAAGGTCCACGCCTACAGAGTGAAATGAAAGAATTAAGAGAGGGATATTCAAGTATCTGTAAATCACTCACCGACGATGACACTATTCGCAGGCATGTACTTGCTAGCAACCTGTAGCCAACCTCCAGGTGCCGCGCACAAATCGATACAGCATCGGGCTGATTCGAGGAAGGTGTATTTTTTGTTCAATTGAATTAGCTTGAAGGCTGACCGCGCACGGTAACCCTGTTCTCTAGATGCAATGTGTTAGATAATGTGATTTTCTGATCTTCTAGGGAATGCGTACTTTGCAAGCTTGTAATACTTGTCAAGCCGACCCTTTCCTGTCTTTTTCTGTGCTTTACCCATGGCTAGCTGCAAGCAGTTACACAGCCAGATCCTAAGGACGAAGATGGTTTTTTTTGCAATAGACGTTCGGTAGCAATATAACACTAAGTTGTATGCATTGATTACATCACCACTTAGCACGCTTGACTGTGGTCAACACTCTCTGCAACTCTGGTATATATCGCCCATCTCAGCACTTATAACTCTTCGAAATGTCATTTCCCAACTCGTCTACGCCACTTCTTCCGCGAGCTTCGAGTTTTGTAACACCCGCTCTCCTCTGGAGGTCAGGAGCTATCCTTGGTTAGCTATTTTCGCACAGCTTGGTGACATGATCTGAAATTTGAATCACGTCTGTCGTGTGGTGCTTGCTGTTCAGCTGCTACAGGAATGATTGCTGGCGCATTTGGCTCCCATGCTTTGAAGCGCAGGCCAGGAATCACGCCCGAAGGCTTATCCGCTTGGGGAACGGCGTCTCATTACGCGGTTCGCAACTGCTCCTCATACTTGACTTGTTTCTAATGAGCGCAAAGATATTCAATGGCCTGGCCTTGTTTGTACTCTCGATGCATCCTCGATTTTCGACGCACAAATTTGCTGGCCCTGCTATAGCAGGAGGAGGTTTTGTCTTCTCTGGCTCTATCATGGCACTTGTTCTGTGGAAGTGCGGGATATCTCTTATAAATCATGTTCGTGCTCTAATATTTCCATGCCGCAGATTGAAGTTCCTTGGACCTATCACTCCCATGGGTGGTTTAGCTATGATTGCCGGGTGAGCCGAACACGAATAACAACACTTCCAGTACACGCTCACGTTATTTCATTGGCTAGGTACATTACCCTGGCACTCTAGATCAGCCATTCCTTATTAGAATGTTCCTAAGCCGTGGACCATCCGTCCCATCATGGTCGTGCGTCAGTTCAGTATATGACACTTTAGAAACATGCAGGGATTTGCGCAATGCATATTACTTTTTCCCACTCTGGTGGTGCAGGATGAACCTTTTCCTGCTGTTGACAACTGTCAATACACTCACTTCCGTTTCCTTAGGTTCGTGTCATTGCAGTCATTTCCAGCCGTAGCATAAGTGCGTTTTCAATGTTTGCCTTGGAGTAGGCTTAATTGGTTTGTCATCCAAATTACTGGTGCGGTTCTAGCCTGTCATTTCCAAATTTGCGATCCAGGATAGTCGTGAGTATCGAGAAGGGGCACTAGAGCTTTGTATTCACTATACCTCTTTGCACGCCTGCTCCGCGGGGTCTGTTAATTAAGCTCTGAACTCCCATTAGTAACGCGAAATTCAGTGTCACGTGATGGTCGCGTTGAGGACGTGTCAGCTCCGCTTGAAATGTGAGAAATAATTGTACCGAGTACATCCATCATCATCCATTTTCACAGCCTGTGTAGACCCCTCCCCGTGATATCCCCTGCCATCCCGCCCACAGCCGCACACGTCGATATTTAATCATCTTGGTTTAAGACACCGCCAGAAGTCTTTTTTACGCGTGAGTACTCGTTTTGTCGAGTACAATATGTATAGCGCTTAAAAGTGACAATCGATACACATAGCCTAGCAGTCACCTGCCATGTCAGACACGCGACCCACTCTAAGCACCTCGCTTTCATTTACTGGCACATCATCTACGAACGCAACTCGCGCTCCAAAGCGACGTTTGACGTCTACTTCAGACCTTCCTTTTTTCACGCCTGCCGCCACATCATTTAAGCCAAAGCCCTATACACCAAATGGCTCTTCGGTTCCCGTCCCGCCCCCGCCCAAATTGCAATCTGCTGTACGGACGCATTCAGCGTCATCTCTAGTTCAACATATGCCAATGATGGATCCCTCCCCGTCTGACCCGAATATCGTTTTTCTTCATCCGCCGTTCGTTGCCTTTCCAAACGCTCACCTGTATCCGGAAGGCCTCTCCTACTCTTTGATGGCTGCGAATCCGGATTGGTTCTTGGAACAGAACGATTTTGTCAACGGTTCATCAAACAATCCAGATGCAATTCCTTATCCTCCGCAGCTCGAACCGCCCAGAGGATGGTGCCCAGCCAAGAAAAAGGATCTCAAGGCTTTGGGTCCTGATGGCTGGCCCGAAGGGGAAGAGCCAAGGCTGCGTTGCACGTTCTGCAGGAGAACGTACGCAGGGGTCAATGCAAAGAGCATGTGGAGGCGACATGTGTATGAGAAACACAAGATTGCCATGTCGAATCGTCGTGAGGGACATGATCGCACACGTGGTGGCCGCGGATCTGGCAGTAAGCTTATATCTGAGGTTGCATCCCTATAACTGAGTTGTTCTCACTTCAGGGGAACGAAATAACCATCACGACAAGGAAAATTATACAGATGATCGTCGAGGCTCCAGGGGACCAGACTACAAATCCAGGAAGTCAGCAACCGGAGGGTCAACCTTGTCCTCAAGGAATAGCGTAACACCTACCCCAGACCCAGAGGATGATGATGATGATGCAGATGATGATGATTATCATATGCCCTCTGCGCCTTTCATTAAACAGAATGAGTTCCCTGCCCTTTCGTCTCCTCCTGTCCTCAAGCACGCAAGGCCGTTGGACGAGGAGGTCACTCTGACAGATTCCTATGATTCGCGGGCAAGTCAAGCTGATGATACGAATGCGTCTCCAAAAACATCAAGCTTTGTCGTTCCCATGTCTCCTTACGACCCAACATTGACACCATCGTTCCGCCACTCTCCACCGCGCCTTCCTTCAGACCAGCCCTGGCGCTTCCCGAGTCCCAGCCACCCCCTACATTCGGGGGCGAGGGAATTTTGCCTATCTATGCTCGCTCGTGCCACTCCTGCTACGAAAGGTTCCTCCGCCATTGACTCAAGTTCCCCAAGCACTGGTACGACGAGCGTCATGAATACCCCATGCAGTACTACATTCCGCGGAAAAACGTTTGGCGACCTTAGCAGCATATTCACCGAAGGAAGCTCTCCTATCATCTTCAGACCTTCACCACGCCACCTTTTTTCTGATAGTCGTTCACCAGTGCCAGTTTTTGCTCGCCTTGACTTCCGCAAACGCTTGAATGACTCTCCGCTCGGTGGTGGTTTACGTCGCAAGAGTCATGACCGAAAAAAAACTGCTATGAGCAACTCCTTTGACTTGCAGGGCGGCTGGCTTTCTGACAACTCGCTCTCATCTTCGGTGAGCAGCTTGAGCAGTGGAGCAATACCAAGTCCTACCCGCCTAACCAGCGATGATCCCTTTGGGAGCCCATTCAAGCCGCTTGAGTCTAATTTGCGACACCCGCCCGAAAAGAGGATCATATCACCACCTCGATCTAGTCCAGACGCGGAAAGCCCAGTGATGAGACATTTCCGTCTACCGGACAAGGGAATGTCAAAATCCAATGACGACGGCCTCATTGGTCTAGGCATTGGGCTGATGGCACCATTTGATCTTTCTACCTCCCATGTTTCTCATCGCGAAGCAGAGGAGAATGATGAAGCGGAAGTTGAGGGAGTGTTGATGGATGTCTCTGATGATTTGGCACCACCATCAAAGAAACGCAGGGTGACATTTGGTTAGCCTGAGTAATCTTGTTTGTTCCACCAGTTTTCGATCCGCTTTGCCTTTGTATGTCGTTATCTGAATGGTTTTCGCTATTTATCAGCTCCAGAATTTCTCATTTGGCTTTGGCAATTGTTTCAGACCTGTACACCCGTGTTTTGATGCACACCCTACCTTACTTGTATACTGTTTTACCTTGACATGTATTTGTTTCCGAGGCCGGTTCTAAAGAACGAAACCCAAAGCTAGGGTTTCCTATTGGCCGGATTGTCTCGGGAGCGGAATATCAAATATAATTGCTATTAATATTGGCCAAGATTTTGCTCAAAAATCTCTGCCCAATCAACGAATAAAATGCAGTTCATTTGGTGTTTCATTGGCTGCCAACACATGAGGAAACCGTGTGAAAACAGTGGAGATATGGACGAAATATTCCTAATTTAAGGTGTTGTTGATCCATTTATTGTACGTTTGCGGAGAGGATATCAGGCTGGCCCATCAAGGACAGCCTATAGTCGCACCGATTCTAAGAGCAAAGCATTCTTTCACCAATTCGCTCGTCTCGCCTCCTACCATCTTCCGAATTCGAAGTGAAAGGTATGTTTGAAACTGTATCTCCAGTTGTTACTCTGTTTCAGTTTGCTGACCAGCCACAATCCACTTGGGCCTAATGATCTCCTTGCGAAAAATGGCAGGTTTATTCAAGCACTCGCTTATTCTGCGGACACATTGCTCTCCTTGAGGGCTTCTCTTTCAGGCAACCAAGTAGGATATCAATCAGGATGCACAACATTAAATGTGAGTCTTGCTTGCATACTGTTGTTATCAGCTAACCCGAGATTCAGGTGTTGTAGTTGGTGATGGTGCTGTTGGCAAGGCAAGTTCTCCTTCACATCAAAGCTCTGGCGTCGAGGGACTTATGGGTGGTGCAGACGTGTCTTCTCATCTCTTATACCACAAATGCCTTCCCAGTGAGTTTTATGCACCCTCATGTTGGAACAACATTTAAGTCATCTCGTAGGGAGAATATGTCCCAACAGGTATGATCGGGTGGGTGACCTGAAGTGCTGCCGGCTCACGTAGTATCAGTATTCGATAACTACTCTGCAAATGTGATGGTTGACGGGAAAACCATTTCTCTCGGTCTATGGGATACCGCTGGACAAGAAGATTACGATCGTCTTCGCCCACTCTCCTACCCTCAGACAGATGTCTTTTTGATCTGTTTCTCGCTCGTCAGTCCACCTAGTTACGAGAACGTTAGAACCAAAGTGTGTCACTCTTTGCGCAAATACCTCGCTGTTTACATTGACCCTGCAATCTAGTGGTGGCCCGAGATTTCACATCATGCGCCATCTACTTCGGTAGTCTTGGTTGGCACTAAACTGGATTTGCGCGAAGATCCTGCTACCATCGAGAAGCTGCGTGACCGGTAAGTTCGGCATGCCACCTGACATATCTCATTAACCTCGATGTACCCAGGCGCATGCAGCCCATCCAGTACACGCAAGGAGTCTCGATGGCGAGGGACATCGGCGCCGTCAAGTATCTCGAGTGTTCTGCGCTATCGCAGAAAGGCCTGAAGACTGTGTTTGATGAGGTTATCCGTGCTGTTTGTGAGCATACGCCTGTACCCTCATCATGAGAAACGTTTAACCAGACTTATAGTGAACCCTCCCCAGAAGGAAAAGAAGCGCGGTGGCCGTGGTTGTGTTATCGTATGAGAGTGGACTGTTATTCCCCATGCTCATATAGATGGATTTTCTTTGTTTTATCATATCACGCCCATTTATGTTGTTGCTTCCGTTACGACCTATATGTTGCATCTTCCCGTCGATGATGGGTTCTTAGTTTTTCAGCGGTAGCGTGTTTAGTGCAAGTCTAAGTGACTGCGGTTTTTGATCTCAAGTGCCACAAATATTATGATCCCGGATATGGCTGAGCAATAGTTACTTATAGGATGGACAATCTTCTAGTGCCAGTTCTTCGACGTTTGAACCTGCACTTCTTCAAGTTACACTATTCGCTCTAGCGGACCTTATTTAGTCGGTCCAATATTGCATGCTGTAATTGCTCGCAGCCATACCCTTTATCGAAACCACGTTTCTGATCTTTATCGATGCCTAAAGCACCAGGTTCAGTTGGTTCGGGAACCGGCGGTGCTACTGTCCTCAAGAGAAATCAGGTCCAAGACTTTTTTTCTTTCACTCCAAAAACACTCAAACTTGTTGTAGGCCTGCCACCAGTGCAGAAGGCGCAAATTGGTGAGTTTCAAGATCATATTTGATGCATGATTCTGACTTATACCGCCACAAGAAATGGTAAAGTCATGACTAGTAGATGAGAGCTGCCTTTGCTCAGATGATGCTCCACCAGTGATGCCAGACGACCCTGCTCGACGTGTGTTCGGTCGCACAAGCATGCCCGTGACCATGCTCAGCCCGGGGCAACCCTGCCGGAAAGGCCGGAATGCACATTCGACGAAGGTACGCGTCATCGCTCGTGGTTTGGTTCTGTGTTCAAATGTCGCATCAGTGGCAACGACGGAGACCCCATCTGCCCCATCAGATAGTCCCAAGAACAGGTTTGAGCGATTGGAGACTCGGATAAGTACGTATATGGCTCGCTAAATTCGTGGGACTCAAGTGGGACTCATCACCAAATTCTCGTCCTCAGAGGAGCTAGAGGCACTTTTAAGTCAAAAAGAGCAGGCAACATCCCCGGATGCCAATCCACCTAGCAGTTCGGCTCCGCCGTCTATCCAGAATTCACCTGGTTCTATTCAATCTGTGCCATCGGATTCACGTTCCGGATCGGCATCGACGATGAGCTTTCCGAGTGAACTGGAATCCCTATTGTCACCATCTAATATGGACGTGAATGCCCAGACGGTTAACCCGTACTTTTGGAATGGCAATTCACATCTCATTGAAGGTGCAAGTGTCGGGATTGATGCTCCCTTGCTTTCATCCAGCATGGGTACGTGCGGTAACCTCTCCTTTATCCTGTAATTTTGAGTCCATTTCTCTCGCCAGATGTCATCTGGTCACATTGGCCTGTCAACCTCCCTCACCCGGAACTCATGAGGCATCTGTAAGTAATTTCCCTCGTCAATTTCTTTGACTTACTGGTTGTACCAGGGTGGATATGTTCTTCTTGTTTCACCCGCACGCATCTCGCCTTTTCCACAGGGGTACCTTCATAGCTTCGCTATCATACCCACCGGACCATCCTGACTTTCCCATTGCACCTATTTTACATGCCATATGCGCTGTCAGTGCCATCTACACTGCAACTGGAGGACCTCGGACGAATGCTGCAGACTTCCCATGTAAATACCTTCATCTTTTAATTGTTGTAACGCCTATTTAGCTGACAATCACCTTGTGGCAGACGAAGGACAATTTGCACAGCCAGACCTGCCTGATACATTTGCAGAGCAACAAGTAACCCACGCTAAGGAAACGGTTGAGAAGTTCTTGAACAAAGGCCAACATTTAGTTCAATGCGTGCAAAGTTAGTGAGTGTATGCGAGTGGCTGCGTAGTAACTAATTGTCTTCCAGCGTACGTTCTACTGACGTGGTACTATTGGTGTCACTCGAAGTGAGTTTATTCTCTAATTGGATGTTCTCTTACTTACCAGCTTGTGGCAGATGGGTTGAGGTTGCTATGATTGACATTTACATCATAGAATATCGCTGACTGCCCTTGATGCACAGTTGTTCACTTGCAGTGGCCAATCTTTGCGCGTTGCGATACCGTTGGGACTCAACATTTGCCCTCCTTTCCGTTCGCTACATAAAAGCTCTCCAACAATGTCAATAATCCCTCCGCCTCGCACTCCAATTGAGGATGAAACACGGAGAAATACCTTCTGGCTGGCATACGCAGTCGATCGCCAACACGGATCTGGCACTGGGTGGGCGCTTTCCCTTGACGACGATGACATCGCCCAAGTGTTCCCAGTCACGACGGAGCAGTTTGAGTTGGGGGTTAGTATAAACATATGCATTTCTTTCTGCTAGCTGATAATCCATTTAGATACCTGTGAACTATAACGTACGGCAGTGGTGTCACGTCAGAGAAGCAGTGCTCTTTCATCCCCCCGATATCACCGACTCCTTCACATTGTATATCAAGAGCACTATGCTTCTTTCTTTCATCAAAAACTTCAACCACCGATACAAGATCAAATCGAATTTGGGAGACACGAGATTCCTGCCAGCCAGGAACTTTGCAACCCAGGGGTATGGAGATCAGCCAGATATGCGGTCGTCCCCCGCCTTCCTAGAGTTGGATCAGTTGCTCGTGTCGTTCCGATCGTCATTTCCTAGTAATTTGAAAGACCCATTCCGAAACGGACTAGTGGACTCTCACTTATACACGACTTTCCTCACCGCGCATGTGTGAGTTGTTGAGGTTCTATGATTACTCGTGCAAGCTCATTGGCATATTTCTAGATCAATAATTTTACTTCATGAACCTCACGCCGATGTTGATAGGGCCAATTGCCCTTCCGCTGCCAAGATACTCGAGAGTGCCCGTGCCATCCTTGAACTTATATATGCGGTGTGGTCTACGAATTATGATATCGGGCTTTTGGACTATTTCTGCCCGGTATGTGCTTGTTAACCCGGGCACGCATATATCTTACCCGCTTTACTAGTTTTGCTGGTATCTTGCTGGGCAATGCTTTGGCCGTTTCCTCCGTGCTGCCCAGGATGCTGCTTGTGTCCAACAGATAGAGACCCTCCGGGCAGAGCTTGACTTTGTAAGGTTAGTGGCGTATAACACAGAGTGACTCTCCGAATAATTAATTCTTGGCTCAGGATGGCATTGAGCAAGATGGCCGAACGAGTTCCCCTTTCATGTACGTTGTTCGGATGGTTTTGTTTCCAGTACTCAATGTTACATTTTCAGACCGATACCATAGAATGCTGGATGCTTGCATTCCGGAAGTTTGTAGTCCGGCAGCCGCGCGTTCGGCACATTCGAGTCCTGCGGACGGGAGACCGGGTTCTGCTGTCACTGATCAACCACTGCTGGCTAATGTCACGCAGACGAGTCCACCTCAGTACGACATGGCATACTTTCTTCAGATAAATAACCTGGATCCCCAGCCTTAACCTTTCCTCATCTTTTTTTCTTGGCAACAGTCTGTCTCCTTAGTAAGTTATCGCAATAATAATGTATTGTAAAGTCCGCCGTGTTTTGTTTGTGTCCATGAAGTACTGTAGCAGCCAGCTTCTTGTACTCTCTTGTTTTTTTGAGTTTTGATGTAGCGATTACCGCTCACGTTTCATGACGTTTATCTCTGTGTGTAATTCATTAATTGACCATTGGACTCATCCTGATATTTGAAGCCTTGGAGTACGATAGACTTTATCGATGTTAGATACATTGGCATCATGCTCCGATGAAGTGCAGGATATGCCTGCACTGGTTTTCTTAGGTCCGCCCGGAACATATTCCCATCAAGCGGCGTTTGACGCTTTTGGTGATTCTGTTCGTTATGTCGCAAAGCAGACCATCGCCGGTAAGTCAATCGCTGCTTTTCCGAGTCCTTGCTGTTCAAATCTGCAATCCATTGGATCCTCTAGGTGTCTTCGAATCCTTATCGTCTGAACTGCCCTATGGTATTATACCCCAAGAAAATAGCACCAACGGGTCGGTGATCGAAACCTACAACCTCCTACGATGCGAAGTCGTTGGTCAGGACAGCTTTGTGAGAGGGGAGACAAATATACCAATCAAACACTCCCTGGTCGTTCGCCAAAATGTCAAAATAGAGGACATCGAACACGTTCTCAGCCACGAACAAGTGAGAACACGTTCCTCTTCATGCGTGTGGCTAGCACTTTCTGACTCATCACCGCAGGCCTTAGGCCAGTGTAAGGCGTTTTTGAAGGTGTTCCTTCCTGGAGCATCGCTTGTGCCGACCGATTCGACTGCGAGTGCTGCTCGTGCATTGCTGAACCCACCATCCGATGGGTTTGACCCCTTGAAGAGTGCAGCGATTTGTTCAACGGTCGTGACTTCGTTGTTTCCCGGCCTGGAAGTGTTGCGAACTGGCATTCAGGATGGAGCATGTATGTGATTTTGATGATGCAGCACGGGAACGAACTGAGATTCTGCAGCGAATACGACGCGCTTTTATATTGTATCCTACGGTGCGGACGTTAGGGTCCCATGGAAAACACCATCTACCTATCAGAAGCGTGCTTTAATCCGTGTCTTACCTGACAGAAACTCAGTGGCATGGGATTCTTCACGAGCGATCAAAGCACTCAACATGCCCATCTCCCGTATAGACCGAAGACCATCCCTACGTTCAACCACCTTTCATGATGTATACTTTCTTGAAGTATATGCCGAAGAGGGAAAAGACAGTGATATTACCTGGTCCGATTGTGTGAACCAGGCTGTCGAAAGATTAAGGCAAGCAGGTTTAGAATCCACAGTTCTGGGCGTGTGGTAGTAGTATAGATATTCGTGCAGGCCAGAATTACAAATGTATCTGTTTCATACAAGCTCTACTTGCGCTCTTTTGTGTTATAACAAAACTCCAGAAATCCATCCACTAAGGACGTGAAGACAAGAAAGGTATCACTGGGAAAGAACGTGAAGTTCACGCTCTAGACTTTCCACTGATTCGGATAGCGGCTCAAGAGGCAGTACCGTTGATTAACTGACCAGCTCTTTCCGATCGAAGTATAAAACGAGATTTGAAGGGCATTGGTCGGCTGATTCGTTATTGTCATTAAAAACATCTTCCGAAAGCAGCACGATCGCCTACCTAATCAGGGAGGGAGTGTATACAACTTCTGGCACAATCTCGAGGCCATTTTCATCAACGGCTCTCTCGATCGAGTACACGGATAGAATGCACGCTATGGTAAACCAAACAGATTCGTAAGCCAGCCACCGTCCAGGACACATCCTGAATAAAATGAATCATCTTGGCCAAATGAAAATATATGTTGTAACAAACCGTCTTCCAAACCCGAAGGCTTGCCAAGGAAGTTTATTGATCCCAAGGTCATCGTTCCTTTTTTGGTCAGAGAAACGCTCAGGACTGAAAATTAATGGATCTGGGTAAACGTCGGCGTCATGAAGGATTGCCCTATAAACTATAAGCTTCGTCGTTTTCTATGTGATGAACGTTCGACTTACCAAACGTTAGGCAAGATAGAGGTACCTTTCGGAATGAAATAACCATCGTACTCATCATCTGAAGCTGCAAGGCGAGCTAATCCCATAGGGAGCACTGGGTTCCATCGTAAACATTCCCAAACAATACAGTCAATATATGGCAGTTCTGATCTGTCGGTAAATGTTGGCAGGCGGTCCATGGCAAGAACATCATCAAGTTCTTTTTGCGCCCGTTTCTGCACTTCGGGACAAACCAGCATCGCTAGGACGAAGGAAAGCATAGTAGACACCGTCTGTAAATCAAATAAGTAAGCACCAAAGAGCTCGCGTATATTGCAGCGAACCGTATCTGCACCAGCTAAAATTGATTCAGCATCTACATATCCGTGTGCAATCAAAAAAAATACCAAACCTGCATAGGAGATGCCTGCAACATTTTTAATTGTGTTCTCATAGTTGGGATTCAGATTTTCATCCTGTTGCAACTTCTCTAATTCCTTTTGCACAAAACATTGAATAGCAGTGCCATCCGCCATGCGTTCCCTCACTGCCTGAAATGGTTTGTCGATCATGGCCCTGGTCTTTTTGCGCCATATCAACGCTTGACGCTTGAAATCTGCCCCGGGCATCCATGCAGGAATGTATTTCACTGTGAGCATGAATGCTGGTCAGGATTGTTGATCGCGGTTCGTGAGGCCAACTCACAAGATGGTAGATAATCGACCAAAAATGTGCCAAAGATGCCTGCTGCGCCAAGACCCTGCATTGCTTCATCCGCCAACGTCACGTAAATGTCACCTTTGTCAGAAACTTCATGTCCGTACGAGATTCTCATGACGATGGCTGCGGCTGTGCGGCGCAAGTGGTGAGCAAAATCATCCGGTGTATTGGCCAAATTTCGAAGAGTTGTATAAGTCTCCTTTGTTATAACTGAGTAATAGTCGGATGTCAGTAGCCTGTGAAAGTGACGATGGAAGAGGGATCTATCTGGGGGGCGAAGTTCCATTTTTTGCATGCCTGCTGTAAAAAACCACGTACGTTGTTTCCACCTCCTCCCATATGGCATTGACGAAAATAGCCAATCAAATCCCATTCTGTGGCTCTCAATCACTTATCAGTAATCGCTTCACAGCGGTACTTACAATTCGACTACCATAGTTCTGATGGGCCTGTTTTTTGATGATCACTGAAAAGACGGAGCAAGTTGATCGTGAGATGTATTTACCTTGAAGAATATCTTCTGCTCCTCCTCTCAAAAAGTTCCTCTGCCACCTGCGCCGAGCTGATGACAATGACAGGATTGCCCAGAATGTAGACATAGATGATGTCGCCTGTAAACATTACAGGTAGATAAGTTCGTTCTAGCCATTATCTCTAGTGTTCCATGTGTCCTACCGTATACTTCTTTCCACTTTGCATAATGAAGCCACTGATAGCTGGATGGCAAACTAAAATTCCCAAACCAACCTGTGGGAGGACCAGGCGGTAGACGTCTTCTCACAAAAACACTGCCAAGCCATGTGCGTGGAAGGACCCAAGCCAGCGTAAAGGCGGCAAGGAAAAAGATCGAAATTTCGATGAAGGGTACGCTGAATGACGGCGAATTCATGGTTTATGGTAGGAGGGAAGAGACCCTGACCATGCGATACGTATGCCAGCTGGTATTTAGTGTCATATCGAAGGCCTACCAATTCGTTGTAAATTCATAAGCCCATCCAACCCTTAACTACAGGATTATGCCGTTGGTGCCCCTGTGTTATGTAAGCCACGTGTACCTTCGATATCGTGCAAATCCGTTGAGTTCCCATATTCAGCACAAGTACTGTCCGCGATAATGAAGCGTGAGCTCTCATTATATAAAAGTGGAAACCCGCCTGGATAATGGCGGGAAACACTAGACGAATCGAGCAAAGAATATCAGAACAGAACAGTGGATTTCGCGATACAAGTGAGCAGATTATGATAGTCAACAAGAGACCCCGAGTTTGTCAATGTCATGGGGGGAAGGGACGATCACGTGGCTCTTCTCATCGTTGTGCTTACGAAAGGCTCCGCTTTTGAGTTGTCAATAATGGCCACCAACTTGAACCCGTTAGCTGGTCCATCAGCCCTCAAGGACATCGTACATCCTCAGTTCCACCAGAACAACTTTGCCGAAGAACTGTATATCAAAAATGAACTCGGTCTTAAGCTCGATAAAGGTAGATTTATTGTTTTTTAACACCGACTCTTCTACTGACAGGTCTTGAAGATGATCAAATATGTCGTTTGTCGTTGACCCCAACTGGATGTCCATTGGGACCATTACACTGTCCTTTACGACATACAACGCCCTCTTCACAGAACTTCCAGCCCCCAAAGCAGCTGCCAACCCATCCCCGCGAGCGAGAACGTTTAGCTACAGTCTGTAAACATTGGCTACGTGGTTTGTGTAAAAAGGGTGATGCATGCGAGTTCTTGCACGAGTACAATCTCAGGCGCATGCCAGAGTGTTGGTGGTATGCAAAGTACGGTTATTGCTCGGCAGGAGATGAATGCCTCTATGCTCACCCCAAGGAACGCCGTGTTGAGTGCCCTGATTACAAACGCGGGTTCTGCAAATTAGGTGCGCCTCAGTCAAGTTACTCGTCACATCGAATCTATTAACTGTATTTATAATGCAACACAGGACCAACGTGCCCTCGCAAGCATGTTCGCCGTGTCGCCTGTCAACTCTACCTAACTGGTTTGTGCCCCCTAGGTCCAGACTGCCCTCGTGGCCAGTGCGTGTAATCGATACTCGTTCCACATACTTGACTTAATTGTTATTCACAGCCCAAAACCTAATTTACCACCACCTAAATCATATGAACCTCCGTCACCGCCATCAAATCGTGATCTCGGCCCGCCGCCACCAGGATATGGTCGGTATGCAGATTTTGATCGGGGAGCCATGGGGGGTCCGCAGGCGATGTCGCACAGTGGAGGACCGAACGGTAGTGGACCACCTCGTAGAAACCTCGACGAAGTGCTGTGTTTCAAGGTTTGTTTCTGTGCGTTTCGTTGTCGAGGAAGATACTCATCATACCCAGTGTGGAGAAAAGGGCCATTATGCTAATCACTGCAGGAATCGTAATGTACCAGGCAATCGTGGCGGTTTAGATCGTGCCAAGAGGTTCGGTATGGAGGATTAATGCCTTCTGCTAGACACTCATTTTCCTCGTGTATATTGTATGTATTTCGAATGTCGTTTGTGCGCCCTGAGAGACACCGCTGAGCGTGTGAGCGCTCAATCGTGTGACATAGTGTCAAGTTCCCGAAACAGTAGAATCTAGAGTTGCTCGGAACCTTGATCCAACCTTGATCTTTCTTTTGCTGTTCGTGTACATAATATGGGTTGGCAGAAAACCTTTACGCTTTCACAAAGATCCAAAGGGTGTCATCTTGTCACGGATGAGGTGTACGCCCAGATCACACCAGGCATCAAGGACGTGAAGGTACAGTCAAGATTCACATGATACGGTTGCTCTTCCAATCCAATGCTCAGATCACATCTTGCACAGGTTGGGATGCTCTTCCTCTTCATGTGAGTGTACTAGTAGCACATCCTGTGTTTCGGTCATTCTCAAACACTGCCAGTCAACACACGTCAGCCGCGCTGACTATCAATGAAAACTATGATCGAGGTCGGTCCTCCGTGAAGTAGGTCTGTGAGTTAGTGCTCATCGTATTCGGTACTTCAGACGTCCGCAAAGGAGAGTTATCATGAACCGATAGGATATGACCATGTTGGCTGAACAGTTCAATAGATATGGACATGGCTCTAGATAATATCGTCCCCGAGAGTCTTAACTGGATGCACACGGATGAAGGTCCAGAGTGATTATTCTATGTTCATTGCTTGCTGATAAATAGACTCACATGCGTGTGGCCCACAGCGACTCGTATGTTACTCTGTTGAATTCCGAAGGCACTGTTTTCATTAACAATGTTCTTTCAGCGTATCTCACACGAAAACATCCTTGATCGGTGCCACCATTTCGATCCCAATTACCGATGGCCGACTGAACCTCGGCACTTGGCAAGGTCAAGACTCTTTCTCCTACAGAGTTTGCTTAGTTGTTCACATGGATTTATGTTTCAGGGATCTACTTGACCGAGTTCAGACACGCAGCACATTCTAGGCGGGTCGTTGCCACAATTTTGTGAGTCATTTATATATTCTCGGGGTAGTGTTAGCTATCGGCTAACTCAGAGAGCAGGTCATAGAATGTCGGTAATACACGTATGGAGCACTCGACAGTTGCAGATATTTCACAGTGATTACCAAGACCTTTTGCGCTGTCATGGACGTTTGTGGCTATGTGCTATAGTGCTTTATCCCCCAGTGGATGATTTAGACTAACATCGATCGGCTCAAATCAAAAGACTCCCATTCTATTGTCTCATCAAACCCTGCCTGAAACGATCGGGATCATGTCAAATCTAGAAAGTTGCGCGCACTGACAATTCTGTTGAACGTTAAGTAGATGTACTCACCTTGCGTAACGCGAGTTTAAACATTCAAGCTAATATCCTAGTTGAAAACAGCAGAAGATCGCACATCCCGTTGTTTCCGCGATAAAGTTCACTTTAGCGCTTCAGCAACCAAGTTAATGACTCTTCGGCACTCATTTATGCAACACCCACGCCAAAGGCGGCCATCATGACGATGCGGCAAGCTTTAAATTTGTTCTTCCATTTCAAGAAGTGCGAGAGATACTCAGCTAAAAACGTTTTAGGGTAGCGGGGGTTCTACCCGTTAGTGGCAGAAGCGTTACCTCTAGCTTCAAGCGTTACACAATTTCGAGTCTCCAGCTTGTCAGGAAGAAATGAATGTCAAGCTTTGCAACAAGCGCAGTACTTGCCCCACCACACGTAACCCCTGTAGTAACTTACATATTGATTAGCAGACGGGTATTTACTAGTATACCGATTTCATTGCAAATGCCATTTACGTGACTTACCAAAAAAGGAACTCCTGAGTCGCGCACTTCACCAAGTGCATCACTCGCCTTCTTTGTCTCGAGCTCCTCTCGCATTTTCATATCCTCGTGCTGTTTACCATGCTTTTCCGCGTCAGACCGTATGCTACTACCCACCGTATCGTATTCTCCGCTCTTATCCAGTGTGCGGTGATCTGGCGTCAGCCCGAGCAGACATCATGGTCTGCCACTGTGCTCATCATTCCCCTTGGTGATATATGATGTGTTCAAGTTCACAGGGCACTCTCCCACGCTTGGCATGATAAGTAACTTGCGTGAGCCTCGGGCTGAGCGTTCGGGGGGTTGCCAATTGTCTGTGATTTCAATTCCGACCAGATACTAAACTGCGCGGGAACAGCCGGGAAAGCCCAGTCAGATCTCAATATAAAGTTAAAGTGTCCACCCTTTCGTACTTGCGTTTCACAAATGTTGGCGGCACAGAATCCAGAACACGCTCAAAGCAACATTAAGTATGTTGATGTATCGTTCATGCCTGGTAGCTGTGCTAAACTTTTTGAGTAAGTATGTACGTATGCCTGCCTGCCATTGCGGTACATTTGCAAAGAACGTTTCAGTCTCAATTGTACCTGATCCAACATTATTAAAGGTCCGCGAGGTCGCTCACCCAATTTGATACATACTCATGATGGTACTATCTATGCAAAGTGCGAACTCCTCGTCGACTATATCACAGTTGAATACTCCCCGCGAATAGTTTCTTTTTATTCTCCAACCGCCCACAAGGCAGAAGTCTTTCACTTCCTCCCCATTGACAGAAACACAGGCATCACTAGCACTGCCATTAGAGCACAAGACCGTCAACCACACGTACTAATGCCCAAGGCAACCCCAACCGCTAGTGCTACAAACCGCCCTGCACTTCGCAGAAACCAGGTAATCACATACCAGTCTTACTTTGAAATCTTTGACATCCCCCAAAGGCTTGTCGGCCATGTCGAAAGAGAAAACTTGTGAGATTCCGATCGACCGCCCTCGCTCGCCAAAGGCTGAAACCATGTTGCCTCTAGAAATGTGATGCTGCTCGTCCCCATTGTGGCACATGTGTCAAGTGCGTACAATAGTTCTTGGCGCTTGGTGACCAAATGTCCTGACATGCCGGACACAAGGCAATGGCAGTCCCTCATAAGCGTACCAGCACCGCCTGACTATGCGTAAGCCCTCTATGAATGCATATCCATATGGCTGGTGATTTTCACATCCATATCTCAGGCACCCCGCAGAACCGCAATGCGTCTATGATCCAGTAGACGGTCTCAATTTGGCGCCAGATACAAATCCTCTCGAAAAAATTCGGCTTTTGGAGGAAGAAGTTTGTACGTTATACAACCAATTTAACTAGTCGTTGACTGAATCTCATGCAGCGAAATTGAAAATGCAACTTCAAGAGCAACGAAACACTGGGCCCTTAGGACCATATCAGCAACCACTACGCCTGATCAGTCAGCGCCCTGGATCCGCCTCGTCTTCCTTTGGACCCGGAAGTCGGACGACTAGTTCTGTTCTAACACCGTCGCTTCCTTACCCAAAAGATCACATAACTCCAGTACATTCGCACGATTCTGATCCCCGTAACTGCAGCAATAGTCCAGAACTGTACGAGGTTGAGCACAAGAGCTCTACTGACACCATTCTCGACATAATATATTCCGGTTGGAATCCCGATCTCCCTGAGCGCAATGTTTTGGAGCACTAGTGAGGTTTGACGCTCCGTCCGTCCGCGTTCACTAAGGTTTCCCTAGCATAGATGTATTTTTCAAGTGCGATCCTTGTGGTCCTCGCATCCTTCATCGACCATCCTTTCTTGCAGCCGTACGTCTGGATCCTAGAGATTCTTCCTTTCCACACTCGGCCATACTCCATGCGATAGTGAATCTGTCCCCAGTTTTAATATCGAATGTTACTGACGGTAGTGGTAGTGTGCGTCAGCTTCCAGGTGGTCCTCCCGCAATGTGGCAACTTTGCCCGACGGCACGAGACGTGACGAATTTGCAGAGTTCCATGCCAGTAAAACTCGACAGTATATCGACAAAACCATGGCCACTGGACAAGACATCTTTCCCGTCCTTCAGGCGTGCATCCTACTTGCTTGGTATTTCTATCAAGAAGGACGCTGGGTCGAAATTTGGATTTTTGCAGGATTCCAGACTCGCGTTGCCATACCACTACGGCTAAATTATCCAGGAACTTTCTCGACACATCACACTACATCACCGGGTGGGTACCTCCCTCCCCCCAGGGACCTCAGAGATCTGGAGTCACGTCGTCGTACCTGGTGGACGACAATCATCTTTGACCGTATAGTATCGGTCGGTGGATGGATCCATGCAATCGATGAGAGGGACATTGGAACTGAGCTTCCTCTCCGAGGGGAAGACTTCGACTCGGAGGTGAGTATTTCTTCTTGTTTGAGAGCTTACGGGGACTCCGGGTTAACCTCGCCCTTTATAGCAATTAATGCCCAGTAATCCTCAAGACATGTGTACAGAAGACGTATTTACCACACATTTGCCAAAATACACCGATTCTTTTCTACTTCTTATCAAGGCCATTATGCTGTTCGGTCGTGTCACGGACTTCAATGTCCGAGGAAACTTACGTGTCCCGACTGCGCCTAGCAAGTTTCAAGACCCCTACCAATTGCCTGGCTTTGCAGATCTCGATCGACTCATCTACGATGACTTCCTGGAGAACCTCCCGTCTATGTTCAAAATGGCAAGCGCTAACGAGCCGCCTGGTAATCATGGCTCGATGGATACGGACTTATATATGGTCCATATCATACCGCACGCGTAAGTGCCCCTCGCCTTCCTCTGTTGAATTTTCATCGATCGACTTGAAGGGCTACAATTACCCTTCATAATCCTTATCTTGACCTGACCGACTTGAATCGCACATCCACGGCCCGATGTGTCAATGCAGCAAGGGCCATTCTTTCAGCTTATTTCAAGTTATCCGAGACCTCCTTAGATATATCACGACTACACCCATTCGTCGTAGTAAGTTTCTGAATTGTCCCAATCAGATGCCATTCATTGTCTATTTCCAGATCTGTTGGTACCTTGCCGCAGTAGTTCAAGTCCAGGTCTGCAAGCACTTCATAGAAATAGGGGATGAGGCAAGAGAAGATCAGGTATGGGGTGAAATCAACGTCTTGCGGTATGCTATCGTTCAAAAGCTCGTGGCACGGCCATTGACTAGTATCACAGACAAGCAATGATCAACTACGGAGCGAGATCTCCTATAGGTAGTACGTGTATCCCTTTTATTAAAGACGCCTCATTCATTATCCCGCAGCTCGCCAAGAGAAGTTGTTACAGGGCCTTATGAAGGAAATCGTACGATTGACAAGCCAGAAGCAGCCATTGGAGGTGGGGCTGCCCCTATATCCATTCTCTCATACCACATTGTTTGCCACGCCAACTTTACCTGAAAATGCTCAAATGGCGCCTTTGCCCAATCCCTCCATATCACACACAATGGAGTACGATTCCCCGATGTTCGTACGAGACTCGGGTTCGCTAGATTTATACTGCCGTCCGGCTGGCAACCCACCTCACCTCCCGCCCAGCTGGTCACCCCACGAGCTACAACAGTCGCTCCCTCCTGAGAGCGGATTGGTGCGATGGAGCTACCGCACATGAGAGATTATATTACTTGGTTTCGAACTATTACTTAAACTGTTGTCCACCCTGGACTGTGCACATATCACTTACTTATAATACATTGGATTATTGGTGGCTGATTGTCATTATGGAGAAATATGTACGGGACCTTCGTTCAGTTCATCAATGGATTAACATCATACAAAATCGCGAGAGTCTTGTGACTGTCCTCTCCTTCTTTCGGCCTCCAGAATAGCGTCAAACTTGGCTTGTTCTGTTGTTCGTTCATCAATTCCTGGGTTGTTACTTGGCGGCGATGACGTTGAGTCGGGCAATCTGTTCCGTTCATGACGCTGTCGAATAGTATCCCAGGAAGACACATAACCAGCAGAACGCGCGTTCGCTGCACGTATTTCCTCCCAGCGATTCTTTGGTTGAGCTGCTTGGGGTGAACCGGCTGTGATAATGTCAGGGCGGCATATACCAGAATCGGGACGGTCACTCGCCATCGGGAGCATTAGATTGAGTCCAGGTTTTCTTCCAATTTTCCTCGTTGACCATCTCAGGGCCGTGCTCTTTGCTACTCCCGGAAGTAACAGCGTCGTCCAAACGTGCACCATCTTTCCGTATACGTTCTAGCGTGAAGCCCAAGTGCCCATCGCCGCCAAGCCTGCGGTCAACATCACGCAACGCTTCCATAAAGCCTGCTGGGTTTTCCAGAGCTTCTGTGAACTGTTTGTGGGCCAGGACTTGTCTGACCTGGCCAAAAACCATCCCCATCAGGGTGGCAGCACCCGAGACCCATACAAGCTTCGTATGAGACCACCTGGGACGCGCAATGGAGCGCCCATAACCAAGGGAGGCACCTGCGGCCCCGACCCCATATATCACCTGTTCCGCGGTCAAATATGAACATGATACCGGAACAGCGGACGAACAGGCCAATGTCTGTGCCCCCCAGGCAGGAATCTGGTTGCTAGATCAAAATCGTGCTTTGTGATGACGCCTTTCTCTAACTCTGGCTGGAGGAGTTCAACGGTGCGTGTTCGGGAGGAGAAAGTGGTTTTGAGCCAGTGCACGGGATATGACATTGTTCGTGTCAAGGTTAGTTTATGGTAATTAAATAATTAAATCCTCTGCTAAGTTGGTTATTGAAAATGTTGATACCCATCTCGAACTGTGATTGAAAGGCACTGCAGGCAGATACATATATATATTGTTTTTGTTCTATGCTCTCATGCATGCCACGATGAAAGCGCAATATTCTGAATAGCGTGAAATGTTCTCATATCAAAAATGATTGATTGAAATAATTGTCGTGGTTATCCTCGCGACTGTCAGTCACCTTTCCTCACTGGATGAATTGTCATATGCATGCCTGATGTTCTGATCTCAGCCACTTGAAATATCTCGCTCTCTCTATCGTAGCAGGCTCAATGATGGGACCGATTGGCGTTGGATACAGACCGTTGTTCATTCCAGGTCGTGACGAGAAGCTACCTCCCTTACCACCCGATTCACTGATATCGCCACCACCACCGCCACCTCCCAAGAATATCGGCCTTGTGCTGGATACCCACCCTAATGACGGCCCTCAGTTACCTCCAATACCAAGCTTAGCATCTCTAGGTAACGCATCCTTTCGGCCCTGATTTCATAGGCACGTATTCACACCGGGCATAAGGATTTGACTTGCCCCAATCTCCCGCATCGGCAACTGCCTCATCAATGTCCCTTCTCTCCCCTACCTCCCCAACAGAAAAGACGAAGAAATCTAGTCCATTGACCGATCTTATCGAGAGCGAAAAGATCTATGTGGAGTACTTGACGGGGATAATACGAGTGCGTCCCTGTATTCATTACAGACTCGGACTTGTCGAGTTCATCACTTTTGTAGAGAATAGCCGCAGCATGGTCACGATCCAATTTGCCACCACCGGAGCTCGATGTCATGTTTCGCAGCGTCGAGAGTGTGTACAAGACAAATCGTACACTCCTCGCGGTAGGCGACACGCTTTAACGCATACAATGTGGCTAACACGTTCCTAGAAACTGAAAGAAATCGGCTCTAATCCGTCCTCGCCCAAAGCTCTGGGCGACCTCTTGATGCGATGGGTGAGAATTTAGCACTAAGTAGACTTCCCTGCATCCTGAATGTGCTCTAAAGATCGATGACCTCGACCGACCTTACACGGCGTACTGTCAGAAATACGCTACTGGTTTTGATCAATGGGAGCCTGTCAAATCAAATACGAAGCTTCCAGGAGTTATCGAGGCGTTCTCTGCGGCTAGCCCTCCCTCAATAGCTGCAATTCAGTCGTCTCAACTACCCGACCCGTCGTTATGGACTTTGGATGCCCTATTTCTGTTGCCCAAGGGCCGTCTTTTGTATTACAGGAAACTATACAACAGACTGCTAAAGAGCACGACACCGGGCAGAAGCGACCATCGACTATTGACGGGTGCTCTTGAGAAGTTAGATGATTTATTGGAGACTTTGGAAGGAAGAAGTCAGGTCAAGGTTGGCCACAGCCCTTCCGCTTCCTCTTCCGCATTACCGCCTGTCACCTCTGAGATGAGGAATGAGCCTATCGCTTCTCCAGCGACGTCTCCGGTGACGGAATTTGACGGAACGCACAACCAGCTACTTTCAGGTCAATTCGGGGGAGGAAATGCAAGTGCACCCACATCCGTCCGTGGAAGCGGTTCGTCAAGCGGGTGAGCACGGACAGTATATTATGTCATGGTTCATGATGTTGACATGCGACTAGAGAGCGATTTTCACGGGAAACAGGGATGACATCCATCAGTCGTGACTCCACAGCACCCATGCCTACATCCATCGCTAACCTGGAGAAACGTTTGGCGACAGATACGACGCTGGACATATTTACGATGGAACCCAAGGTACGTTCGTTCGTTCGCGTGATGTCGTGGTGATGTCCCATTGATTGTTTTACCTCGAATATTTAGCTAGTCCGTCTGCAAATGTCTCCGCCAACGTTACCTTATGCCCGAGAACTTAAATTGTCAGCCAATGTCGTCGTCCATTTTACTCCTCGTTCGACGGGCGTGAACGTTGTTCACCAACACGGCTTTGTCTTTGTTTTATCAGACCTGTTCTTGATATGCGAGAAGATGACCTTGGGCGATAGAGTTGCAGCGGGTGTGGACGGTCCCGATATGAGACTCTGCTACCCTCCACTTTCTGGAAAGGTCCTGAAGGTGACTGAGGTACCTGGCCAAGGTGCGTAACATGATCCGTGATCATCACAACCGAATAGAACCTCAGGATATCGGCAGATAACGCACTTCAGATTTCTATCATGCGGAAAGAGGCGCTGATCCTTGAGGCCAGCTCACCGCATGCCCGGGACGAGATCATCAAGGAATTTAAGGAGTGTATCAATTTTGCCAGGACTAGTATGTGCATATACCTCTGTCTGCAATATGCCCTGATGACATTTTGAAAAGTTTCTGCAACCGCTTCAGAACCAGTGCCCCCCATGCCCAAAAGTCTCCCTGTGTCACCAGTAGCTGATTTTCCTTCTGCAAATGAAAGATTTCCTTCGCGGGAAATGGCCCACAACACCGCACAGGGTGTTCCACAAGAACAGGTCGCCAGCTCTAGTGTGCTGAATGAAAAGCCAAACCTCCCTGAGCTCCCCTCCGCTCCTAACTTCTCGTTGCCTCGCATCACATCACAACAGAGTTTCGCGCCAAGAAAAACAAGCCTGGGCCCAATTGTTACAGGGCAGGTCGTGGGGAGGGACGGAAACATTAGTCCATCTGGTGAAGGTGTTGGTATGGCCCAGATGCAAAATTTTCAAGGTGCTCAGAGGATACCTTCATTGCACGATGCTACTTCTGGAGTCTCTCACCCTATACGCAAATCATCCACTGTTCAAATAGCTTCCACACATCCACCGCCTTCTTCCTTCGGTATGGGTCAGGTCATGCCACCAGCTCGGAGTGCGAGCATGGTCAGCTCTTCACATCCCTTGCCCGATCAGGACCCCAGCATGGGAGGCCCACCTCACAGGGTTTACTCTCCTCCTACTGTTCAAGGATATACGCAACATCCACCCTTGCATCATCAACCGTCAGTCTCGTCACATCACTCCTCGATGCATTCTCTTCACCATCAACCGTCTCTCAATTTACTTCATCAACACCCGTCAATGCATCAACATCTCCGTCCTCCACAAAGCGCACCTCCGCAAGCTCAATCTATGAACTTTTCTCAACATCCCAATCAGACTCGGTCACTGCCTTCTCGGTCTGCGGGTCCCGGAGGTCCTCCTCATGGAATTCCTCCTCCTCGACCACCGTCTGAGCCCCAGCCGTCCTCCGGGAGACTCCATAAGTCGACATCATCGCGGTCCCTCCGCTCTCAGTATGACTATAGTCCGAGTCCAGGTCATGCACCACCACTTCCTTCCTTACCTGGAGGGTTGCCGATACCATCCCGACCTTATGCCCAACGCACAGATTCTATCATTTCTGTCAACAGCGCTACGATAAGAGCTGTCCTACCATCGCAGCAGATTAGTTCCAGAGCAAACTCATTCACCGAAACAACCTTCCAAGATCATAGTCCTCCGACTTCTCCGATTGAAGAACCACAGCCTCTGGGTCCAACCAGGCCCACAATAACAGGAATGAAGTGCAGGGTCTTCCACCAGCAACAACATGCACAATGGAAGTCGTTGGGCTCTGCACAATTGACACTTTATCATCAGCAGCCTACCAACGTCAAGCAACTCGTCGTTCAAGCGGGCTCCAAAGGCAAGAACACCCTCATCTCGACGATCGTGCTTACGGACGGTGTGGAACGAGTGGGCAAAACTGGTGTTGCCATTGAACTCAGCGATGCCAAAGGTGCACGGACAGGCATCATCCACATGATCCAACTTCGGAACGAGCAAGCTGCTCAAGAATTGTTTGATAAATTACTTGCAGGGTCGGACAGGTCGAAATAATTTGGAATATCGTATCATTCCAATGGACCAGGGGTATATCTGTGTTTTCTTTATCCTTCCATCCATCATTTCAAGCTTTTTTTACTTCATCCCGTTTACGAATGCTGGCTGGGCTCCATTACATTTGAAATACCCTAGACAGGATATGCCACATACCTCCTACTTGACGTTGAAATCTATCATGACAAAAAGAGTTCCGCGCAAAGAGAGACATGATCACTTCCACAAATACCAATCTGAGGAAGACCTGCTTCCATGTCAGTGGTACGGTGTGGGTTGAGATAGCCCGCGACATTTATGCTGTGTTTGGGTGTGTCCACGAAGAAAATGTAATCTGACAGAACCAAATTCAGGGAGCGAAGAATGGAGGGAGGGACACAAACCTAGCGTCGTTTTCCAGTAGTGGGTGTAACTAGTCCACATTGGCTCATGAGATCCGAGTCTGATTGGGGGCGAAGAGACTCGATCGCCAAATGTCTGTAAATTACCTGCGGTGCCATTGCCTCTCTGAATTCTCTGGCCTTCATCGTAGGCGCTCCGAAGCTTTGCACCATTGATGAAAAGTGATGTCAGCTCAAGGTCGGAGAGCAGCCCGTCTGACGAAGTGGCTACTCTGGAGTTATTGATGACTCTATCTGGATCAGCTTCTGAACCGTCTCCTTCCTCATCATCTGCCTTCTTTGTAGTCGGCGGTACTGTAGGATCGATGGTTGTATGAATAACACGAGACGTATGCAAACGATGCGACTGCGCCTCAGTAAGCGGATCGCCGATGAGCAAGGAGTATGCAGGGTCATCAGGAGCAAAGTTGAAGTCTAGAATCGCGAGGAAGTCAATACATGATATTTCACTTCCAGTATACCGTGTTTACCGCCAGCGATGATGCAGGGCCAATGGTCAAGTTTCATAGACTGTCGGAAATTAAGGACTTCTCGAATGAGGATGCCGGCCTGCCTATGAGCTAGCTCAGCAATTTGCTCGATCGGTAAATGCGCTGGACTACCTTGCCCTTTCATACGTGAATCTGAAACAGTGGGTCAACATGGGCTCAGATGAAACATATTGAATGCACCAACGCAGGGTGCCAGAACAGATGGGTGGTTGCAACGATGACACCTTTCTGATCGGCGCCGGCTTCGGCTAATGCGACCATGAAACCGATATTTTTCGTGACGCGACTCGATCCAATACGTGCAGCAGGATGAGCAGAATCCTCACGCACTTCCTGCTTGTCATACTCGATGACGAGTTCGTCCAGTCGATTGTATTTGTTCTGCTTGTAAGCAATAAGGCAGCCATGCTGCTTTCCAGGGCCAGTAGCATAAGCAGATGAATACCCCGCTAATTCTAGAACGGGAGAAAGCTTTTCTAGGCGATCCACTTCCTGTGGGTGGCAGTACTCAGCATGTGGACTCGATTGTCTTAGATAGTTGACAACTAGCCTGCATGCACATTATATCCGCAAAATGGGACAGAATTTCTGCATGTATCATAGGCTCCCTGTGGGTAGTTTTAAGGGCTTTCGAACTTGTCGGAAAGAGGTTCGAGCCTATCCTCGATCATCACTGAGCCTGAGCATACACCGGGTGTGAACCAAACCACGCACGAATCAGACATTGTGCAAGAAGCTAAGGTATTGATGCATCATGGTTCCAAAATACAAGATGAGGATACACAAACATTCCAGGACATGACCTTGATGGTGGACCGAGGTACAGTCTGTGTGCTTGGTAAATATTTCCAATCCCTTGAAAGAAATGTTGGCGAGAGATGGGTATGGCTCTCGTGCGTATTCTGTTGGTGCAATTTCTTTGCTTCGCGCTGTCTACGTCGTTCCTCCGCAAGAAGCAATTGCTCAGGCGTTGGCTTGTAATCGTACGTACGCTTTGTCTCCATGAGTAGTGGCCTTGAGGAACAGCGGCGTAAGAACGCAGGACAGCGCAGGACTCGGAGCCAGCGTCCTCGGTTGCAGTCACATGTGCGAGTAGCATAAAATCCAAGTAAGAGCTGACGTAAAGAGCGCTGTTCCGCTCACTGGAAAATTCAACTTGAAGTGAATGCAGCGACTGTTGACGGCGTCCTGGCTTTCTGCACGGAATCTCTCTCGGAGACGCATCGGACTATCAAACCTATCAGTCCAGCCGCAAACGGGCGCTAAACGCGATCTCCCCTTTCTGATTCCGCGCCGCTTCTTCCAATCCATCTCATCGATGTCACCTTCTCTAAATGGCTCAGCTGCCCCACACGATAACTCCAAGACTTATGGAAATTTCGACTTGGTTAAACGTTTCAAACTAGACTACACCGACGTCGTCGTATCAAGATGGCAGAGCCGCGTTACTGGTCTCACTGTTGTGCATCTCGATTATGAAGGTATGAATAATGGCATATGGTTCCACACGTTCGTCATTAATATCTTGCCCAGCACCTATCGTAAATGGCTACTTCGTTGTTGGTACCGAAAGTTAGTGTTACCCTTGGTGCTACTAACGCCGGGTGCTAACTAAGTGACAGTCTTTGATGACAGCGGCTGTCCGCACACTTTAGAGCAGTAAGTAAAGTGATTAATTGATTGATAACTGTAGCTTAATGTACCGAAAGTCTCGTCTTCATGGGTTCGGAAAAATACCCATACAAAGGCATCATAGACCACCTTGCAAACCGCGGGTTTTCTAACGGAACCAATGCATGGACGGACACCGATCATACTGGTAAGTCTTGCACAGTGCTATATTCCTTCCTTTTATCGACCTTATGCTCCCAGCGTATACTGCCTCAACTGCTGGGGAGCAAGGCTTCCTTCAGCTTTTACCGATATATCTGGATCACATCCTCTATCCCACAATGACCAAGGCATCCTTCTTGACTGAGGTCGGCATTTTTTCAAAGCTGTTGTTTCCCGGATATCCTGACACGCGTCTAGGTTCACCACATCAATACAAAGGGCGAGAACAGTGGTGTCGTATACAGTGAAATGCAGGGCCGCGAAAATACGTCGGGCGATCTCATGGGCCTTCGGTCTGTTATCATGTTACGCAATGGTTTTTTGTTGTTCATGTTCACCTCTTAGCTCGCAGCGTCTCTTGTACCCTCCTGGGAGTGCCTATCGTAGTGAGACCGGTGGACTCATGGCAGCACTTAGGGTTCTATCTGTCGAGCAAAGTGAATTGATCCTTCTTGACGTCCATCCCCTGCTGACATCCTTTGGATCTCAGTCAGGGACTATCACGCCACTTACTATGTCCCGCACAATTTATCCTTGATCGTGACCGGGAAGCTTTCAAGCGGAACGGAATCTCTGTTGGCTGTAGTGCAGGACAAGGTTGAACCTAGCATTATTTCACATGGTCAGAACCATGGCCCCCGCCCGAGCGGTTGGAAACGACCCTTCGTGGAGACTGCTAGTGCCAACCGCTCTCCCATCATGAAAATCACGAAGGAAACCGTTGAATTTCCTGAGAAGGACGAGAGCCAAGGCGAACTTTTGATCATTTATACTGGTCCCTCGCCCAACGACTTCATGGAGCGAAAAGTCTGTGGTCTTACAAACCTTCTCATTTGGAGTTTACAATTTCTTCCAGGCTTTAGACATTCTTGCTACATACCTTACATCATCGCCTGTCGCCCCTTTGAACAAGGAGTACATCGAAATCGAGTCGCCTCTCTGGTGAGTTTCCTTGTTTCGACCTCCGGTACGGTATTCAATTGACGCTGCTTGTAAGTTCGTATATCTATTTTAGCGAAGACACTCGCTCGACAATGGTTGATCTGCCGATCTACATTGGTTCGGTCCCTGTCGAAGAACTGGATAACTTCGATCAGAAGCTTGTCGCAAGTTTCAAACGGATTGCGTCTGATGGTATTGATATGACGAGAATTTCCATGGTCATCAACCGGGACGAGCGCCAGGTAGGTTAGCGTTACCAAGCCATGACTGTTATTAACGTTACCTAGCTTCGCAGCAAATTGGAGTCAGCCAAAGGTGACACCTTCTCAGGTGCAATTATAAGTGACTTCCTGTATGGCGCTGCGGATGGTTCGGATATGCACCCTGCCTTAGATGAAATCAATTATTACAAGACTTTGCGGACATGGACTGATTCCCAATGGGTGGGTCTCATGCACAAGTAAGTCATGATAGATCATGATCGTGACGTAGCTCAATAGTCGCTAGGTACATCATTGACCGCCCTTACGTTGTCGTCATTGGCAAACCATCTGCAACTCTGGCAGAGAAGCTCGAGCAAGACGAAAAGACTCGCCTCGCTACTCAGCGGGAGACGCTCGGTCCCGATGGTCTTGCCAATGCAGAGCGGGAGCTAGAAGCTGCAAAAGCTGAACATGAGAAGCCAATACCGACCGACATTTTGACATCGTTCCCTGTTCCTGATGTGAAGAGCATCTCCTGGATACCTGTTCAGTGTGTTCAAGAGCCTGGCAAAGGGCGGCCAAGTACTGTGCAGAGTTCTGAACCGTCTCAGCTTTCCAGGCACATCCAGTCTGATGGGTCGCCGCTCTCTATGTTCGTACAATACGACCATGTCAAGGTAAACGTTTCGTGATCTCATTTTGACTATGACACTCAAGACTGTCCAGTCCGACTTTGTTGCTGTCCATGCCTTCTTCTCTTTGGCTAGGTTGCCTGATAGGCTACGGCCCTACCTCTCAACGTACCTCTCAGCGTTTTTCTCCCTCCCTGTGAAACGCGCTTCAGGAGAGGTACTCAATCATGAAGAGGTTGTCAACCAGCTCGACGATGTGACAGTCTCATACGAGGCTGTTCTAGGTATTTCCGACCAGTTTTCCGAAACATTGCGGGTCAGCTTCAAGGTCGAGACATCCCAGTACGAAACAGCCATTGCATGGTTACGTGATCTCGTATATACTTCGATATTTGACAAGGAAAGGTAGAGTCTCGTGTTATTCGTCTGGTTTTATGTCTCATGCGGCGTAGACTGCAAATTTCTGCTGCAAAGCTGGCGCAATCGCTTCCAGAACTCAAGCGTGATGGAAACAATGTTCTGTCCTCTGTATGGGCCGAGATGCTTTACGATAAGAGCTCGACATCGCTCGCTGGCGCCATCCTTCCTCAAGCAGAATTTGTACCAAAGCTCATCCAGAACCTGCAAGAGGATCCTGACACAGTGGTCGCGGACTTTGAGGAACTGAGGACATACTGTACGTATCATGAAAGTATGACATGGCATTCATTCACCAGATGATCAGTGACGGATCCCACTGGAGTACGGATATCAGTCACAGGTAACGTTTTGGACATACCCAAACCACGGAGCGTCTGGTCAAAACACTTTGGGGACCTTCTACCGGTGCGTGTTTCTTCATCTAGCAACATTGGCACTATTTCATAGTTCACGCAGGAATCCAAACTTGCACCGTTGAAGCTCACAAGCGACACCCTTAGTGATTTGGGTAAGAACCCTGCCACCAAGGTGCGAAGAGCGTTCTTCCTGCGGCTCTGTAACATTCTCATTGGTTCTTAGGCTACCGTGGTCAGCTTGCCAACGATAGAAAGCTCGTTTGTCAACCATACTACGAAAGCAATTCGAGGCTTCGATCACCCTGAATTTCCCGCTCTCCGTGTAGCGCTCGAGGTTCTCAATGCTGCAGAAAGTTTCCTCTGGGTAGGTGAACCCGTTGTAAGCGGGAGCAATTCTTGCTCATTATGATAGCGTTCTATTCGAGGTTCTGGTCTGGCGTATGGCGCCTATATGTCTGTAGATAGAGAAGCCGGCTTGCTGACATTCTCGCTCTACCGGGTATGAAGCTCTCTGGCGAATGGTTGACTTTGCAGCTAATGCTCTTGCAGAGTTCCAACAGCATGGAGGCGTTTAAACAAGCAAAAGAAGTCGTGAGCGGACTAGTTGATGGAACTGTACGTTCTATATTTTCTTGATGATAACATTTGCTAATCCAAGGCAGGTGGTACTGGAGGACACCGCTCTCGATGCAGCCAAAAGCAGCATTGTCTATGGTGTCACCAAGAATGTCGCAACGGCTGGCCGAGCTGTACGTGTGTTTGTTCAAGCTCGAATCATGCTAATAGTGGCCATAGGCTGTTAACTCCTTTACCAACCAAGCTCTTAAAGGAGTTTCCCAGGACCACAACCTGGAGATGCTAGAGAAGTACCAGGCAGTGACCAAGGCTGATGTGCTCGCTGCACTGAAGAAGCATATATTGCCTGTGTTCAGCTCGAAGTTTTCCACGGTCACGGTGGTCACCGCACCTTCTAAAGCGGACGAGATTGCGGACGGATTGACTGGTTATGGCTTCGAAGTAGAGAAACGGACGTTGGAGGTCGAGGCCGGTGAGGATGAGGATGGGAGTGAGAGTGAGAGCGGCAGTGACAGTGAGAGTGACTCAGGACGATAGACAATAATTATACGAGGATATAAATTTACGCCGCATCCCTACTTCGTCGCTTTCCGTGCTCTAGTCAATGATATTATAACTTCGGATCTGAGAAAGCGGTTTGAGGTAGAGGGCTATTGCTTCCCACTACTTCAATCATTTTTTGCTGCGCCTCGCCTGGCTTCATCTCAACTCCTCGCAGAAAGTCGTTATCAACCAAAAATCGAATCGCTTGAGACAAATTTGATACTGTGATGCGGATTTCAGGAAGAAGCAACTAGAAGGGATTTATCAACTCGCAGTCTACAGGATCACAGATGCAAAATCACGTACGCTCCGGAGCAGGGTAGGACGTGATGCGAATGGATTTCGCGGCGGGGGCTTGGGTTGAGGTAGAGGTGGCCTTTTCATGGGTCTAGGTGGTGACTGTGATATTTCTTGCTTGACCTGCGCTGCTAAGACTAAAGTTGCCTCTGCAGCTAGAGGAGGCTTAGAAGACACAACTTCGGGAGCGCCGTCATCCGAACTTGAGTCGGAATCACACCGGTCCTGTTGCTCTGCAGTGAAGAGTGGAGGAAGAGGTGCTACCTGAGGTTTCATCTGCGATGATGTATCCTGAGCCCTTGGAACAGAGGCACTAGTGTGATTGACACGGCCGATTCCTCGGCCCCCTCCTCGACCCCTTCCTCGACCCCTTGGTTGCTGACCTCGAAATGAAGAATCATCCTTTCTCCGTTTCCTTTGGCCTTGTAAACCCATGTCTTCGGGTGTCAGCTGGCCTCTCGCGACGGCCTCCTCAAGCTTCCTCTTCTTGTCTTCCACCTTTGTAGTAGTAGGAAACCGATTCTTGCGCTCTGCTATCCAACCATCGATAGCTTCTTGGGAGTCGAGGATTAAAGATGTTCCCTGAATCGCAATGGGTTTGCTAAGCTATGGATTAATCCAAAATCACTAGCTTGACAGATATCAAATTGGGCCTACCCTTTGAGACTCGGATCGGTATCCCACTCGTCTTTTTTCTGCCATCCAGGGGGGAATATAAAGTGGCGATCCATCATATGTATCTCAACTGACTTCTTAGAGCCAGTAAACGCACAACCTTGACGGCTACAGCGACAATTTCCAGGCTGGTGCCAACTAGCATACGCTTGGCCACTGGTGGAGTCTGGCCTTCTATCGTGAGTCCTGGTAGGGGCGGTATTGCTAGTATCACGAGATACATTGCGTGAAGTAGTTCCACCAATAGTGTGCTGAGGCATGTAAGTGGATGACAAGGTATATCCTTGTGCATTTGTCGCGGAGGACTGCATGACCTGCATATATGCCTGATAATAATGCGGAGACATGTGGTGTTGAGTATACGGGTTGGCCAGTGCGGCTGTCATGGCGTTTCCTGCCATCGCAGACTGGGAGGAGGCATATGCGTATGCAGAATGCTGAGCGTCCTGGTGCGCATTCTGAGGGTGACGAGACGAACCAGCCTCGAATCGCTGGTGAGGTTGAGGAATCATGACTACGACTTCTCAATCTCAATCATATCAGAAGATTCAGAACGCGTCAAATATTTGCGCCCACGTGATCCGACACTAAGTATGCTTTTCGGCCAAAGCCGGACGTCTTAACTTTTCCTTCCAGGTTCTCAAACGTTTCCTTTGCAAAACATGTCTTTCGCTCGCCTTGCCCTTCGTACTGTGACCCGTTCACGACCTGTGCTTGCAGTGTCCTCGAGACAGGCTTTGGCATTCCGTGCGAACTACTCGGCAGCAGCGGGGTTGTCAAAGGAAACCATTCAAACACGCGTACTGGAAGTACTAAAGGGCTTCGAGAAAGTGGAAGCAACCAAGGTTTGAATATTTTTCTCAATGAGATATGTTCTTATTGGCAGTACTCTTTAACAGCTCGCAAGTTCGTCTTCGTTCGCAGATGATCTCGGCCTTGACAGCTTAGATGCGGTTGAGGTGGTTATGGCCGTGGAAGAGGTGCGTGGCCATGTTCATATTCATATGAGTACTTCATTTACACAAACTTCATTAGGAATTTGGCATCGAGATTCCAGACGCGGAAGCTGATGAGATAAAAACCGTCCAGCAAGGTGTGTTTCCTCCGCCCGTCGTATATGTGACGTTTACTGACTCTTGTGAACGTCCATTAGCTATTGACTATATCGCAAAGACACCAGAAGGTCAGGGCAGCATTTATCTTCGTATTGTATCTACTGACCTTCTTTATAGCTCACTGAGGGATTGCTAGTGCAGTCATTAAGCAGTCCCTATACACGCTGTTACTCCTTTACACAACTGACTGCGGTAAAATTTAATGTATCGCGTTTTTTACTATCACAAAGTTGTGAAGCAACATTCCCTGTACATGGGATGGTCTGTCATCAATATGTTTGATGAGGACTGGCGTCAACTGTCAAACAATTGTCACCATTATGCATGGACAGCGAAGAGCGTCCGGTACGTGATCATATTCTCCATCAGTGGTGATTTGTTGGTATTTGCATTTGCTCCGACTCCCCAAAGGCAAGGTTGACGCAAAGCTGTTTGTCCTTACTGTGTTGGAGGTCAATGTTTTCGAGACTCGGGACACCGACTGCACCTGACATGCAGTTTTTCAGGTTAAAGAAATTGTATGGAGGAGATAACAACAATATCTGGACTCCTGCGTATTGATGCCGTATAAATAACGTAGTCAAGCTTACATCAAATGATTAAGGTTGACACTAGAGGAAAGGCACTTCAGTCAGCAGAATGATGCACACGCAATCACTCTCAAGCGCTCTCGTCCATCAAAGGGCTTGGGTTCTGCTGAGCTTGTAACATCCATGGCATCCACATCCACATACCATATCCACATCACCTATTTTCCTATGCGAGCGCGATGTGAGCCGGTGTTATACATTCTCGCAGATTCGGGGGCCCAATTTGAGTACGAAGAAATTCCCCTTATGAAGTGGGGGGAGATGAAGAAGACAGGCCAAGTGACGCCCGCGATATTTCCATATTCTGGCGTGCCTGTTCTCCGTGTAACAGACGAGAGCTCTGAACAAAGGAGCGAATTTCTGCTTGGAGAGACTTCAGCTATCCTGTCTTACCTTGAGGAGATCCTAGCACCGCCAGGAGCTACGGTAAGTCTTGTGTGCTCCTGATATACTGCACCAGCACTGAATCATCATCCGGTACTAGTTGAACAAAGACCTCCCACTGCAAACCCGTGTGCGCACTCAAATGATCCGGGAAGCATCTTTGTTCTTTACCAACAGGGTATGGCAAATGAGTGTGGAAAAGGTACTTGAAGTCAATGATTAGAACGTGGACTGAGGAATAAAACCCACAGGATTGGCTAGCACCACCGTCACGAGATAAAATTTGGAAGGCAATCGTCGTACGATACCTGCGCAACACAGAAGCTGCACTCAAAGAACTGCAGAAGGAGACGAAAGTAGTGCCAGCAGAGACGGACCAATTGACTGCGCTTCATGCAACAGTGGCAGCAGCCATCACGTTTATAGTGCAAGTATTCCCATCTGCCAAGCTGGGGTTGGGGTCTGGTGGGCATTTTCCGTTGTGCAGGCAGCTATGGAAGGCAGTTATGACTCGCCCAAGGATTGTTGCTTATTGGGAGGAACATAAGATTGCCGAGAAGGCATGGACGATAACAGAGTATGGGACAGCAGAGTGGATTGCAAAGGAAGCAGCAAAGTATGACTCGCCGTGGTTGCTGGTCAAGTTATGACAGGCCGGGATGTGTAGTACGTTCCCAAAATCCACGTGATATGGGTGATGTTCACTGCGTCTGACGCCAGTTATAGGAGACTTACTGTATGATCTCGTGTCTCTTAATGGTATATAGATCCCGTCGTTATTGCGATTGGCAAATGACACCGTATCCCGCTCAGCGAGCGTAACTGGCAAATGACCTCGCTTCTCATGCACGCGAAATGCCCCACAGGCCTCTCATAAACAAAGCGGGAGTGTTTTTCGAAATATTCACTATACGTACAAATAAGTACTAGGCAGTCGAACCTGCAGTGTCGAGGGCAACAGCGATGTGGTGACATTCCAATGGCACTACAAGCAAGCTACGAGGATTATCTTCTGAGTGGGGATTTCTGCGAAGAATGAGTACGTTGAAAACAAAGTTCAATTGAAAGCCCGGAGATTGCCGAAAGGAACTGCATAGTTCTGGTCACAGTGGCTGACACTTGCAAGTTCCCACATTCGACAACGACCTCAAGACCTTCAAGGTAAGAATCCTATCCGCCGTGTAGACACTCCTGAACACGTATTTCTATCCCCTAGGTGAGCGCGGAATAGTCATGTCACTTATCTCAAAGCTGAACTCGGCGCGTGATGGATATAGACTTTGTAATGGCCACCTTCTCATCGACACCCATCGTTATTGATGGCAAGGGTCACCTCCTTGGTCGACTGGCCTCTATAATCTCAAAGCAGATTCTCTCTGGCCAGAAGATTGTTGTCGTGAGGTGTGAGGAGATCAATATCTCCGGTAGCTTCTTTCGCAACAAGGTATTTTGTCTTGTCGTTGAACCGGTCAATGAATGAGACGCATACACTTAAATATCCAGCTGCGCTACCACAACTTCCTCCACAAACGCCATATTGTCAACCCCAAGAAATCTGGCCCTTTCCATCACCGCGCTCCCTCCAAAATTCTATTCCGTGCTATTCGTGGTATGACTCCCCACAAAACTCCTCGAGGTGCTGCTGCTCTCGAGCGCTTGAAGCTCTTCGAGGGTGTCCCGCCACCATACGACCACAAGAAGCGGATGGTTGTTCCTGAGGCTTTGCGTGTGTTGCGGTTGAAGCCCGGCCGGAAATACTGTACTGTTAAGGTGGGCTCTGTCGCTCAGCAGTTTGGCTTGGATGATAATAACGTGTGATCTAGCGTCTGTCACATGAGGTTGGCTGGGGCTACAAGGATGTTGTGGACCGTCTTGAGGAGAAGAGGAAGATCAAGGCTGAGGCCTTCCACCAGCGCAAGGCACGTGAATTGGGCAGGTTTCATTGAACAAGACTGACTGAGTCATCATTATAAATAGATTGCAGCACTGAAGCTGCGCCAAAAGGCAGTTTCGGACGCCTCGCCATCCTTTGAGAAACTGACGACGCTGGGCTACTAGTTGGATGAGAGACTACTTCATCTTCGATGTGCTTGCGTTGCTTTATGTTATGATCCATTCCCATAAGACATGCATGTAACTATGCGATCTCTGCTGAGCTGGCGTTTTTTTATGATGATGAACCTCCTCCAAAAACACTTGCAACAGAGATGTAGTTTTAGGCATGCATATGATACAATTTGAAGGATAATAATCACTTGGACAACAGTTTGGGAGAGAAAGCCTGAAGCGTCATAAGATGTGGCTGTGTGATCGGACGGACGGTGGCGGCACCGAAAAAGGGATTTGTGACGGACGGAGGCTAAGGTTGTGCAAGTTTTGCCAACAAGTTTCTTTGCATCCTAACCTCCATCATCATTTAAATAAGCTGTAGCTTCCCGGTCTTCCTCATCTCCATCCTCTCCCCTCGTCTTCTTCCCCCTTTCTTTCCTTGCAATGTCTGCTGAATCTCCAGTTCGCCACGCCTCTGGTAATATTATCTTTTAACCTAGGGGTGATCGCTTCAACTTACATTTTAATGTCACACCAGCTTCTCCCGCAGGATCGCGTTCATCTTCTCCAAATAATCCCCGTGACACCTTGACTCTTCGTGCTCTTGTGAACACAAAGGAAGCTGGCGTCATCATAGGCAAAGGCGGAAAAAATGTCGCTGATCTTCGTGAGCAGACTGGCGTCAGAGCTGGCGTCAGCAAGGTTATCCCTGGCGTGCACGAGCGCGTCCTTACCGTTGGCGGATCTGTTGAAGCTGTTGCAAAGGCAAGTTAATTCAAATATATGCTCAACTTAGCGCTCACACGTTGTGGCTTATGAATACAGGCGTACAACCTCATAATCTCCCAACTTGTGTCATCCAGCCCGTCGCCCATCTCTCTATCATCGTCATCGCCTCATACCTCAATCCGTCTTCTAATTTCTCACAATCTCATGGGTACGATAATAGGCCGCAGCGGTGGCAAAATAAAAGCTATTCAGGATGCTTCGGGCGCGCGCATGGTCGCATCAAAGGAGATGCTCCCACAATCAACTGAGCGCATCGTCGAAGTACAGGGCGCACCTGATTCGATCGGCCGTGCCATCGAGGAGATTGGCAAATGCTTGTTGGAAGATTGGGAGAGGGGTCAGGGCACCGTTCCCTTCCATCCTGGTGCTGGTGATGCTACCTCAGGTACGAGACGATCAACCAATGGCTACTCGGCTGGGACCCGCAAGTCCAATGGAGATGTAGCCCGACGTTCGCCTCCACCTTCGCCCCATTCACCTACCGTTGCACAATCGACAGCCAACCTTCGGACGCAGAATATTTCCATACCATCGGATATGGTTGGATGTATTATTGGTCGAAGCGGAAGCAAGATCACAGAAATTCGGCGACTGTCCGGATCCAAGATCTCCATCGCCAAAGCTCCACATGATGACACGGGCGAACGGATGTTCACCATCGTTGGTACTCCGGAGGCCAATGAAAAGGCTCTTTTCCTGCTCTACAATCAGCTCGAAAGTGAGAAGGAGAGGAGGGTTGGCAGAGAACAGCAACAGCAAGAGGAATAATTTGACATACACACAATTCAGTGTCCGTTTTCGTATTGGAGACTCTTCAAAACCTGATCCCGCGTCCTACTCGCACACGCGTCTCATATGTATCATGTCCCATCACTTCGCCGCTTCTTGTCTTGCTCGTTGTCCTCATGCTGTTTCGGCCGTACTCTGTTTTGTGCATCGCCTCGCGCCATCTGGTACAACATGCTCATACTGTCCTCTTACCCGCCTGTGCATTCCTGTTGTCTCCTTCCATCCAAAAATCCTACATTGATACGTGTTGATAAATTTCTCTCGCCTTCTCCCTTCGCCTTCTTGCCTCGCTCTCATGCTTGTGTTTGCCATCTTCCTCTCTCGTAAAAACTCATCGCTCCCACTGTCATGCGTTACATACAGCACATTGTAGTACACATACTCACGGACGATAAATCTATGCACGTATAAGTACTTGCTGTTGTTATACATATCGTCATACGTATCATCAGATCACGTGTGAGCAAAGAATTTTCGGCATTCACAGTACTGGCTGTCACGTCGTTTCGTGTCGCTTCGTTAACTCTTCAGAGCACGTCGAATTTGTGCAGTCATGAAACATGGCGTAGCCTTTCGAAAATTCTCGAGGACGTCCTCGCATCGGAACTTAATGTTACGGTAGGCAAGTCGGTTCATTTTGGTTGCTCTAGAGTTGAAAATGCCATAGGAATCTTGTGACTTCATTATTTGAACATGAGCAGATTAGAACAACATTAGCCAAGGCCAAAGATACCGCCAGGCTGGCAGAGAAGGCAAGACCATGTTGTTAATTCTTGCAGTCTGCTTACGCGTGAATAGATCATTACGCTGGGAAAGAAGAACAACGAGACATCATATCGCCAGGCCCAAGCATTTATTTTGAAACCTCCTGTGCTCCCTAAGCTCTTCACCACCTTCGCTGAGCGTTATGCAAACCGGCCAGGGGGCTACACTCGAATCCATAGGCTCGACAATCGAACCGGAGACAATGCACCTATTGCTCTCCTTGAGCTTGTCGACAACCCCCGAGACTTCAAGTTAGAGATGACTGCACGCGCAGTAGGGCGGGAACTCTTGAATGAGAAGCTTGTATGGGACTCACCCCGCGGTGTCGTCAATAGCGGTGTTCCACATGCGGAGACTGCTGTTGCAAAAGAGCTGAACTTGGGCGGATTTGATAGCAGTGGACTGCGGCCAACGACAAGGCGTAATCTTCAGAAAGTCATGAAATATCGAGGTCAAGAGGCATTAACAGATATAGGCACCAAGGCAACAGCTTACATCGTAAGATCCTAGTCGTTATCACTCTGTTCTTTACCCTGATTGCATGCGAACGCGCAGGAAACCATGTTGGCGAAGCCAATTGCCGAGAACAAAATGCAACTTCGAGCTGACTCTAAGGAGAAGGAGAAAGCTCGGAAACGAGGGAACCCCAACTTTGTGGGTCACTTCCCAGTTTTGCCAGCCCGTGCGGGTGTTGCAGCACCTGGAGAAACTCGGCCTGCTATGCGGCTTGTTCAAGGAGCACTCGGTCGGCCCGCTCGTTGGAGGGGTAGGCATGCACTGGCATGATATCATACTTCACGCATGTTTGATAGTAATCTTAGGTTCTAATTCATGCATAATGTTCGAGCTCGAGTCACGTATGACTCTTCAGCGTGCTTCAGATGATCTGGTGCGTGCTCATCATATGTGGCATAAATGTCGTGGTGTGCTATGATCTTCATACAACGGACATGTTGTGCACGATGCATAAGGTCGTACGTGGCGCATGGACCGCATCTGGTATCTGACCCTTCGCTTGCATGGCATCCTTTCCATGTCCTCCGCGTAGTTTGATGCCAGCGTCCCGCGCCCGTATTCACGCACCCATTGGTTCGCACACCAGGGGGCGGGCGTAATACGGGTGCGGGGTACTGGATGAAGGAATCAGCGGGATGCCGGAAAATGCATGACAAAGCCGAAAGGCAGAAACATGCAACCTGTCATACACATGTGGAAACGTAGGCAACCGCACGAACATGAACATTTGCATTTGAATGGCTGCACCAATGCTGCATCGTACATTTTTTCATGAATGATCACAACAACCTCCTTAGACTATGTAGCTACATATCACCTGCAAAAACCTTGCGTGACCTTTTTTTCCTTGATCAATCGATCAAATACTACGAGTTCAATACATTACACAATAAAGACATGATCTGAACAATATCAGACGTATTAATAGAAATGGATCCAACATGCAATGCCTGCCTCAATGCGCCCATTCATCGACTCGAGTAAGCTTCGGAGTTCCATCGGAAGGCGGCGAGGAGAACTGAGTTTCCACAAACACTTTCTCAACACCTCCTACACGCTTGTCAAAAGCAGCGTAGAGCTTTGACATGTCTTCCAATGGTACGCGATGAGAAATCATGCTAAAAACTAGGTCAAGTGAACTACGTGAAGGGCGGGACAAATGGACTCACAATTTGGGGTCAAACTTGCCCGTCATAATGTAGTCATGCAGAATTTCTCTCCAGTACTTGTGGACTGGCGCTTGACCGTTGCCGATAAATCTCACCCCTTTCTCCATGAGCGCACCGATGTTGAAGCCGTTGGTAAAACCAGAATATGCAGCAATAAGACCGCATCGACCCATCTTCCTCACTGACGCGATCATCTCGTTCGCGGTTTCGGGAACATCAGTCTCAAGCATGAGCATCTTCATCCCTTTATGAAGCCAGGTCTTCGGCTCGTGGAATGTACCTGAGAACTGTTTCAAAAAGGAAACTACATGCATCTGCGGCAAACTAACCACAGTCAAGCGCGACGTCGAGTCCTCCGGGGACCATTCCATGGATCTTCTGACTAACGTCCTTGACCTTGCTAAAATCGATCACTTCGCAACCCTGTTCCCTGGCACGCTCCAGACGTTCTGGGACTTGATCTATGGCAATGATGCGAGATGCGCCTTTTAATTTTGCCCAGCGAGCGCAGCATTGTCCGATGGGACCAAGACCCTGCTCGAAGTTAGGTTGGAAACTCGGCAAAGTAAATATACTAACCCATATTCCGACAGTGTCACCTTCCTGCACGCCTGTGTCTACGACGCAATGGTAACTTGTCGGGAGAACGTCAGAGAGATACAGGGCCTCTTCGTCCGAGACTTCATTTGGAACAGGAAGAAGGTTAACTTCGCCTAATGGAACCCGGACGTATTCTGCTTGGCCACCAGGGAAACCGCCGGTGAAATGGGAGTATCCAAAGAAGCCAGCGTCGCGTGTTCCATACATATAATTCTGCAAACTAAGAGAATATCAGTACATTAGTGTGAAGCAGGAGAAGGTTACAAACGTTGAATTATTGGTGTTATCACAAAAGGAAGAGAGTCCCTCTTTGCAATATCGACACTTTCCACATGCAATTTGGAAGGAGGCAACAACGCGTTGACCTATGGCGAGGTTTTTGACATTCGGTCCAATACGATCGACAACTCCCATAAACTGGCAATCATGGTGAGTAACTCGTCCTCGGAAAATATGCAACGCGGACCTCGTGGCCCAAAATATCGCCCTTTCGAAGGGTCAGGATCTCCCCATGGTACAGATGTAAATCTGATCCGCATATAGTTGTGCCAGTTACTTTCACGATCACGTCGTCCGGTTCTGTGATGTCGGGGATAGGTGCATCGATAACTCGAACATCTGTCGCGCCGAACCACGCGAGGGCTTTCATAGTTGAGCCATCTTCACGATGTTTATATTCCGGCTGAACGGCAGTAGGCAACTTCCCCAGTTGCTTTGCAGATATTCATTAACCAGCGTGCCAGACGGGCATCCACAGAGACATACCGACTGTGCTATGTTGGCGGCGGCTTGCATGTTGCGTTTGGAGGTTGAAGGACATGATGCATCTTGTCTGGGGATAATTTATACACAGTCCTTGGCCATGATGCAATGGATTTCATACTTATGACGCTGTCCCATGATCATTCTCACGTGACGCATTGGCCGAGCTCTGAGCACGTACTGCCCAGGGTGATTATCATGTCTGGCAAACATCCTGCATGTAACAGTCCACCTGGTCTGGCACCGGCGGATGCCTAGTCCGGCCGACATACCTACCGTTTTTATTTTAAGCCGCATCGAGGTACTCTCATGCACTGACTTGTACAAGGCATGAAATATAACATTCACATTTATGTCCCTGTCCAGATGATCGATGAAGTTCCACTAGCCGAAGTCAAACCGGAGCAGGTTAATTACCTCAATGTCATCAAACACGGTGTCGATTAGGACGGGAGCAATTAGGAAGGATGACAACAATAAACTCGTGATTGCTTATCATCCTACAGCATGAATTTCAATTGCAAGATGAGGTGTGTACCAGCAACAATAAAGAAATAAATTTACGTTACAAGATTACGTGCAAATGCTGATTGGTTGCAATGATGGTATCATATGAAGGCTTCTGCCCCTCAGGGTATAGTCTCTCTCTTCAAGAGGTCTCGCTTCACTAGATAGTACGAAGGTTAGACATAATGAATTACGGCGAATACGGGAATTACTTACAGCATCATTCCAAACATTGAACCGATAGTCCCGCCATACTCGGTCAACGGTGACGCCGCTAGCGGGCGAACCCGTAGACCCACGTAAAGCAGACCATGATGGTGGGCTGGCAGCAAATAGATGCGATATTTCGCAGTGAATGTCTCGCCAGCTCCGTGCACTACATACAAAAATATGTATGAGAAACGAGCGACGGGCTTGCCCTGCATACGCACCTCACGTTGGCAACCTTGGAATGTGATTTGAGAGCATATTTATACATGGAACCTGCTTCGAGGACCAGGGTGAGGCTTTCTCCAGGGTGTAGCAGAACAACTGCGCTAGTGTTACGGCCATAATCCCGCAGCAGCTGGATTGTTGCGCAGTCATGTGTATCGTTCGTGAAGTCGAGTAAGACTTCATATGGTTGTGAAATTGCAGGCATAGTTGTGATAGCGTCAGACACGGAAGGTTACGGGAGCTAGTGTCGATAAGTAGAGGTGGGGATTGGAGAAAGAAGAAAGGAGGAATAGCAATATTAACGACTTGAGGATGACACGCGAAGACACTTCACTCGGAGAAGTGTTGATGCGCTGGCCTCTTTTGTTTGCCTTACGGCACGCGCTATAGTCGTGCCAAACACACTGCGTTATTCGATGTCGGATTTGGACTGTTTCAAAAAATCAGGGCAACAAAACCGCGATGGTGAATGAAGGAGTGCAAGTTACGGTGATTTTATGTAGCTTGAGGCATTCTTGGGGCAAGGCAACGGTGACTCAAGAACAAATAAGTAGCCAGGCTTAGCCAGGCGTGTTGCCACGTTTTGCTTGTTTTATTGTCCTCGTGCGGAGGAACTGCGCTGGTATTGCGGCCTCCGATGCTTGCGAATACATAGAACACGCCAGTCCAGGATCGGAAGCAGGGGAAGACAGATCCATGCTTGAGTGGTGAGGCTTTGCGGACTGATTGATAGTTTTCCCTCCAAATGTCAAGCTGGTGATGATCTGCTGATCAACTTTGCTCACGCCTTTTTCAGTTATTTAAATATAATATAATATATATATAAATATTACTTTGTGACTCTGCTACGAGCCTACGACCTCGTTTTATGTCGACAAAAGGCCGCTCCAAAGGCCTCTCCTTGGTAGATATACCTTTCGACGTTCGCATCCTCATCTATGAAGCCATATTGGCTGACCATCAGTGTGTGAAACAAAATCGCCAACCCTCAAATACCCATATCCGTATCCTTCATACCTGCAGGCAGATCTTCTATGAAGCACGCGTAGTATTCCATAAGTATGTCTCCCTGCGAAACGATTGGGAGGTGGATCACTACCTCACTTATCTGGATTCCGAGCCACAAGCTGCCGCAAAAGTTCGTTGGGCTGATATTGCCAACGATGGACGTGTCTTGGAGAACACACTTGGCCACGTATGTAACATTCTGGTCCCGTGCCTTGAATAGGAGGTCGTTAAATTAGCTAACTCATCAAATCCCTAGGCTAGCCCAATCTCTCGGTTGTATCTTGTATTGGCGAAGTTCGTATCGCTGGAGAAATTACGAGTCTTCAATGTTCGTCACTATCATCCCCACACAACCTCAAGTAGGTGAGAACTCTATTGATATATATGCTTGGCGCCATAGCTAAATACAGTCCCACATCCAAGATATCAGTTGAACTTCGAGGGAGCCATGTTTCCCGGTCCAAAGGGTCACAAGCCACTCTTGCAAGCATACGAACTTCATCTAGATCCATCCACGAGGGCGAATCCTTTCCAAACCCTTCCTTCAAATCACATCCGTTCTCTGCGGTTATCAGGAGATTGTCGTTTCAAGAAAGCTCCTTTTCCTGCGCTGCGCCATCTCACCATTCGGGGTGTTACAAGCAATGCATTTGATCAGATACGCTTCAACACCAGTTTTCCTGACTGTCAACTTGATTCCTTCATCCACGCACAAGGTCATCGACTTGGTTTCGAAATCAGAAATGTCCATCTGGAATCCCTTCTGGCGGGCCCCGGGTCACGTCTTCGTAAACTTGTCCTATTGGGCAGCAGCCGGCTATCAAGTGCAACCATCGCTTCATGCCTCCGCAGTTTGCCCACGTTAGAGTACTTTGCTCTCTCACTGGTGACCGTAAACGAGCTGCGTGAAAACTTTATTCTGGCTCTGGGACCCTCACTCCAAGTGCTCAAGTTGCAAATAACTCACGCTTGGTATGCAGTGCCCCTATTCGAAGAAGAGCGAATTATTTGCGACGCGCTAGAGGAGAGAATTCTGCTTCGGCACTGGCCCCACACAGTGGTGCATGTCTCATTTCATAGTCAGCTGATGGCCGAGGATGGCCGACAAGACAGGTGGAAGAACATCGCCGCTGCGCAGCACTTATCACTAAAGATAGGACCCTGGGAAGATGAGGAGGAAACATAGTAACTTCAGGAGTGGCAGGGCAAGAGATTCTACATCAGGCCAAAGAGATAGCCGTAAAGATAGATGTCCGTGTAGACGAATGTATGTATCGCGATCGGTATACTACAAGTTTCAAATAAACGTTCATGGGGGAGGAATGTTACACACTCCATAAGAAGTCCACGAATCAATGATGGAATCAGAGAGTTTCCTTCCGCTACAGAAACGTGGTGGTATTGACCGTTCGTGGCGTAGGGCGACAGAAGGAACCTTAAGCTAGGAAAAAGGAATCAGCTTATAATTATAACGCTATTCGGGAGAACCAACAAACCCGCTCATTCAAGTCGGCACAATGGCGATTGTGATGAGCGACCGAGGAATCAATACACACCGGGGTGGGCCTGAGTGGTTGCAGGTTGCCCGAGAGAACCACCTGAGCCGTAATGGTTGTCAGCATATGGATTAGGCTGAGGGCTCTGAGATGCGCTCGAAGGGTGTGAAACGGCAGTTCGCGTCGACTGCTGCCGCTCAAATTGCGTCTGAGGTTGAGGGGGATAGGTGGGCGTAAGATAAGATTGACCATCGGCGTAAGTTTCTTTCTGTAATGGAGCGTTCATGGTTGATGCCGTACTTGCGTTTCGCATATGACCGCGGCCATCCTCGTACTCGGCAGACGCTCTGTAGTCCCAAGGATCACCACGATCAGACATCGGAATATTATCCGTCAGCGGCTTCGTGGTATCATTGAGAGCGTCGTACTTCTCGTAATCTCGCCTTTGTGCGCTCCCGTAAGATGAAACAATAAAGAGCATATATGCCTACAGGGAGATGATCAACTGTCTGCCGGATAACCAATTGATAAGTAAGTTACCTGCACAAGGGCAAAGAAGACCCAAGCACCGGCCATCAGCCCGACATCAATCCACGTGATGATGTCGCAGACAGTCTGACCCTCAGAAGTATTGCTACCATTGGATGCTGTAGGATAGAAATTCTTCTCGCAGTTGGACAAAGCAGTCGAGTGACGACTGCCTGAGATTATGACCCACGCCGCGGCAATTGCGAAAGCGACGATGGTGATGAGGGAGTGTAGAGTGGCATAGCGGCGAAAAAGGATGGGTTTCTCCTAACGACGCACATCTCAGCATTGGCAACTACAATGAAAGAACAAGCATACCTTATATACACCTATGAATCCAAGAACTTGGATTGCAGCGCCCACGTAGCATGCTATTGCAAGAAGCCACGGGGCGAATGACGGAGTTGCTGCTCCAACAACTACGCAGAGACGGGTCACACACTACAAGTTCAGAGCGGGGGTAACTCACTGGAAGGTGTTCCAACAGAAAGGGTGCCTATGATAATCCCAAGAGAGAATTGTTCGATCAGCGTGGTATATATGCCAGCCTTGACCAAGGGGATTGCACAACAGCAATACTCTCTAGCTTTCATTTTGGGCGGCCCGGGAATAAGATCAGTGAAATATGATCCTGAAGTCAAACGCTGTTGTTGGTAGAATCAATCTATCAGTGTTCTCTGACTGCTTTTGCACTTGTTAATCACCTTTGGTGGATGGTTGAGAGCAGAAGGGAAGCGAATTGCGTTGCCAAATGGTGCGCAGCTATGTCTGCGCTCATCGCCACCTCGTATAAAATGTTCCCACGCCATCCTGGTACCTTTGCTGAGGTCCTTCCTTCAACTCCTTCCCTCAGTTCTTGCTCGAATTCCCTTAACGTTAGCAATGGTTCGTGTATTCTCCATTTCCTTGCTCGCTATGTTGGCGGGTCTTGCATCCGCAAGCTCTCTTCCGGCACAAGAAGTTATAAATCAGCCGGTGCACGTCATGGAAGGCTGGTCCTATGAAGATTGTGGTGAGACCTGTTTGATATCTAGAGACGCATAACCATATGCTAAGTTTCTTCAGGCTCCTCATCAGACGCCATTCAGGTGAAATCAATCAGCCTCTCCCCGGATCCACCCAAGCCGGGTCAAGACCTGACCGTCACGGTTGTAGGGACTGCTCAACAACGAATCGAGGTTAGTTCCATTAACGTTACATATCGTAAAACGCTAAGTTTCTTTGCAGGATGGAGCCTATGCCGATGTCGTCGTGAAACTTGGACTCATCAAACTTCTCTCGAAGTCGTTTGACGTTTGTGAAGAAGCGTAAGTTGGTGTTTCGGCGTTATGCTGGATTTTGGTTGAAGTAAGACATAGACGCTCCGCAAACGCAAGCATCCAGTGTCCAATCGATGAGGGCGAGTATACTGTGGTCCAGACGGTTGCATTGCCGAAGGAGATCCCTCAGGGTGCGCGCAGTTTCACGTATATTATCGGCAAGTCAGTCACTGAATTTTTTGCAGCCAAATTCAGCGTCAGTGTGAGAGGTTACACTGTAGAAGATGAAGATATGCTATGCTTGGATCTCAAAGTTGATTTCATGAGGAACCCCTTCCCAAGATTCGGGTTTTAAATTGCAGTTACCTTCACCTCATAGCGATATCCTTTACATTTGGCTTGTACTATAATACGTTTTGACCTTTGGCTTCAAGTCTGCTATGCAACATTCTATTTTGGATTTGGAAGACCCTAAATTAAAATATGCAGTCACGTGACGAAATTGCTGAAGGATTTGACAGCTAAGATCAACGCGTTTTCATCCATTCTCGCTATCCGACATCATGCCAAAGAGCTCGAAAAAGAAGAAAGAGAAGGCGGCCGACTTCTCGGTGAGTTCTGCTCACGTCCTACTTTTTCTATTTGTTAATCGTCACAAACAGAAAGTTAAGTTGAAACTTGGTAAAGGCAAGCAGCTACCAAGCAATGTGGTGGATACTTCATTCAAAGCTCGTAGTGAGTATTAGATTTGATTGCAGTTGTTGGTTCGGGATGTATCTTATGGTTCAAGGCATTGCACTTCCCATGCAGAGTATTGCTATAGAGAAGGATACTACAATTCCTACCACCAGGAAGAAACAGTCATTTGATGACTTGGTTTCGCTCATGAAACACTATAATGCGAATACTCGAAAAGGTGTGTTATATCTTTCTGCAATACGAGAAGTCAGTTGAATTCGATAGATGCTATCTTGAGCGTTCGGGAGTTGTTTGAATTGTATCCTGACATTGTGGAATCCTCAATGACCACACTGCTGGGGGCTTGTGTCCGTGTGATTGGAGATGAGGTTTGTGCAGTAGCGCATTCATGGAAATTAAATTAATGCATACACAGGATGCAGGCGTTCGAAAGACACTGCTTTCATTTCTGAGCTGGTTGCTGCCTCTTGTTTCGAAGGTGATGTATTGTATGACTTGCTGTGATCGCCAAATGTTCAACCTGTCTGTGTGCAGGAGGATCTGATTCCTCATGTTCCACTGCTCATTCTCTTCACTACGTCCGCCCAGACCCATATCTTCCCTGAAATCAGGATTGATGCTGTGCGATTTTTGGACCTTTTTCTTGAATTAGTCCCAGAAAGCGTAGTCGATGGCTGGATACAAGGAAATCCTGGACATGGAAAACGAGTTCTAGAGGGATACTTGGGGATATTGAGTGCAGGGACCAAATACGGCGACACCGAAGGTAGGGGGTTACTTCAGAACGTTTTTCATACTCATATGTAATTTCTCAACCCACAAAGGTGCAGTACAGGCAACATCGACCGCTAGCGTAGTTCTCTCGCCGCAGGTATGACTAAACCATCACGCATGCAACACGATCAATACTGAATGTGCATTGCAGTCGAAGTTCGTCGTACTGAAGTCACTTTCGGCATTTCTCACTCATGCGGTATCGCGACAACTGCGACCGTCAAATGATGAAGCTTCTAACCTGGACCCAGCCGCAGTCCCATTACCAACGTGGTTCCTCGCTCCTTCTTTCCGCTCTGCTCGGTCGTTCATTGCTTACGAACGATTATTCCGATCCGAGTTGGTGGACTTTCAACCTCAGTTGGACGGTGAACACCCTCGGGATGACTTTATATGTATGCCAGGCTTCGTGACTGGCCCATTAGCCACAGCTTGGTCTTTAAATGACCTTTCCGGCTTATCACTGGCTCATACTGAATCATTGACTCACCTTAATAGTAATACTTCCTCCCTCATCGTGCGTCACCGATTGTCCTCATCGTGTATTCTTCCACCAACGCCACATGACCCATAGCACTTGGCTAGAACGCTCTACTCAACTTTACTTGGCTCGTATCTCGATTGCGCCCCCATTGTTTTTTCCCCCAGCGCGAATCCTCCTGAAGCACAGCTGAACCTTCTTACCGTGACAGCGCGAATCATGAGGACGCTGTATGGATCAATATTGCAAGACAGGTTCTCCTTGAACCTAGCCGAAGAGGAAATGCTTTGCGACGAACTAAGGACGTTGCTCGGCTATATGACAGGGTACTTTCCATTCAGGCCTGCTCATCGAGAAATGAAGGTAGTCGTTTGTCAATCTCGGACGAAGATTCCCCAGCTGAATTACAACTAGGTGGAACATGCATTCCAAGATCTGAATGTAATCTACTGCGAACTCACAGCGCTGCTGGTTCTCGTATCCTTCCGCCGACAATCAGGAGATATTTCGCGCAAAGTCCGCATTGAAACTTCTCGATCATGCGCTTCTTCTTCTCATGTCAAAAACGAGGGCAAGTTGACCTTACAGGCCGGCCTGGTCAGAACATACGTCATTCGTCTCTTGGTGGGAGAAGACAATTCTGGTGCGCATATTTCAAGGCCGCTAATGCCTACGATGTACATCGCACTGCTGCCCACGATCTGGGCACTCCTAAACCAGGGGAAGGAAAGCCAAGGGGAGGCTCACACAGACACCGTATTATCAGCGATGCTCGATCATGCCATTAGGACGAGATCGAACTCTGCTGTGAAGGCGCTCACTGTGGAATTTGTATCACGGATTCTTCTGGTAATTGATTTTCCCGAGTTTTTTATGAAATGGATTGATGACATCATTTGCAAGCTTGAAACAGAGAGAGACTATTGCGGACATTTCGATGTACGCAATACAGGAGAGCAAGAGAAATTCCAAGAATGGATTTTGCATCTCCCAAAGACTCTCTGGGAGATTGGTCATCAAAACCTGGCTGCTTCCGAGGTAACATTTTTTGTCAATTTTATTACTATTTTAACGGAGTTCGCTCTAGACAATTATCAGATCGTTGTTACGTCTTCTCCAGCGTGGCTCCATCATGATTAAGCATGAGGTGCGTCCTTGATCGGAACGACGGCCAATTCACCAACATATGATGTCATTTATAGCAAATCATCGGATTGCAATCCCGTCTTGCACCCTTTTTCTCCATCACCCATCCTCTTCGCGGTCGGCTTCCTGGCCCGTTCACCAAAATACCTACTTCTTCACCGCTTATCCGAAGGTTAGCAGTGGACCTTGTACTTACGATTCTCTCACTCGCAGCGAGATCGGAGGGAGAGGAGAGAGAGAATCTTATCAGCGCGGTGGGTACCGCAGTATCAGGCACCCTCGAGGAACCCTATTGGCAGCAACTTGTGAGAGCAACAGGGCTGTCGTGAGATCCTGCGACGGCCACTTGTGGCTATATTTGCATTCGGCTTACTGTGCTTTTTTTTTTTTACATCAAACTGCTTGCCTGCCTGCGCTGCAAAGCATGACATCGTTTGAGGGCCGCGGGGATAATGCGTCATTCCGCTGGCCATCATTCGGCATTTTTCCAGCGTTTTTTTGAGGGAGGCTGTCAGTTGTCACAGCCTTCAGCCCTGACTACCCCAAAGGATTTATCGCATTACCTACGCAGCTATGCTCACGTGGTAATTACAACGCTTGCACAACGGCAGCGATGCGGAGATGAAACAATCACAGCTTGATTCCTTGATTCTAGGACCGAGGGCAGAAGTATCGGGCATGAATTTGGCATGAATGAGTTATCCATCTGACTCGGAGCGCCGAAATTTTACGCTGTGCGGATGCGAAAATTGATACAAGATTGATTTCCGATGTCATGTGATAAGATGGCCGTTACTCGCAACCAACAAGATATACACGATACAATATCAGGCGGCATCTATATTCCACTTTGCATTATACACTGCACAATAATAAGGTTTATACCAAAGCTCAGCATCAAGATGAAAAGCGCTGCAAAACCCATCGACCCATCAACTAGGTATATAGGAATCATCCGGTGATCGTAAGTACGTAGCACACGTGAATATGTGGGTAAATGGGAATGAGCGAAACCAACAGCAATCCCAAGCTCCCTGCTAGCAGAGAGGCGTCTGGCGCGAAAGCTGTCGGAAAGGATATATATACCTTGAGGTATTAACCGCAAGAATAAAGAATAAAAACAAGGAAGCTTTATATCCATTCGTCGCGAAAGCGTAGCGAGAAGGAGGTGATTAGGACCAAGCCCAAGTGATGTCGATGCGTCCCAACGATTCGTCAGCGAGTTGGGTGAATGCAGAGGGTGAAAAGTCCAGGTCTTGAAGTGCACAGCCCGTGCATCGGTCTGTGATCGTCACCTGGACACTCTTGCCGCCATCTGAAACTCTGATAAATACATCATCATCATCAAGAAAAGATAGAGGGACTGACAGTGAGCCGTGACTTGCTTGTTGCAGACAGGGTTGGTGTTGGGGTTCACACCATCGTAGCCACTTGACAATAAGATTAGAATGCGGGAAGCTACGAACAGAGTATAGCACTTACGGGTAGGCGTCGAACAACAAGTGCGAGACGGCAGCAATATATTGACTGTCGTTGTTTGTGATGCCACATGCTCCAAGACCAGTCGCGTAGAATGTACCTGGAATGAAAAAAATAAGCCGTGAACCGAGCAATGATTTTAATAAAAATTACCCTGTCCGCTCTGAGTGCCGCTCAGGAAGCCGTTCGACGAACCACTACTGGATGTGGAAGTCGTAGCAGGAGCACTGGTGGTAGTTGGGGTAGGAGTGGGTGTAGGAGTTGGGGATGTGGTGGGAGCTTGGTAGACCGACGTGGAAGTGGACGAGGAATGGGAAGAGGTCGGGGAGGTGGTAGGAATAACGGGCGAGGGAGCAACGTTAACCGGTGCACTTGTTGCAGCAACGGAAGTAGAGGTCGAGGTCGAGGTGGATGATACAGTGGAGTTACCAGATGGTTTAGGTACGCAACGTTTGTTCAGAGAACGTTTACGGGGAGTCGGGGGAACATCGACTGGACTGGTAGCTGCCTGTACGGCTACGTGAGCAACGCCGCGACGGTGATTGAAAACGTTGTTGGAGATGTGAGGGGATGTGAGGGCAGTTGCTGAGAGGACGAGCGAAAAGAGAGCGATGCACTTCGTGATGGGGGCCATTGTAAAATGAACGGGGAGGAGAAGGCTCTTGCTGGGTTCGACTGAAAGGATCGACAGTGACTTTATAGTAGTAAAGCTTTTTTAACAAGAAAGCGAGCCGACGACCGGAGTAGGGAAAGAACGAGAAAGAACCAACAAGCAAGACAAACACCAAGAGAATGAAATGGTAAGAAAACACCGTTAACGGACACTCTTTTTCAGTTATATCCCCACAAAGTTTATTAGGTAATCACATCACCCTAAAGGCTATGTAAATTCCGTGGATTCCTGCAACCACGTTTAGGGTACATGATTCCGTTAACCTGCCGCAAGCAGCCTCCAGCAGCTCTTCCTCCACCGTGCCCTCGACCGGAAAATTTCTTGCCTCCCTTTACCCAGATTAAATTGACCCATCGCGATGACTGCGGTTCAAAATTTGACATCCTTGACCACCCTATTTTTGTCAGGAACCAACAATGGTAATATCCTGTTTTATTGTTTGGTCACCATCTGAGTAACCTTTGTTCATCCCATCTTGTATATTAGCCCCTGTATAGTACAAGGCAACTCATACACCGGAGCTAGCTTTGGCTGCATACATCTTCACTAATCCCGTACCTGCAATGCTCTCAAGGCTCTTCGCGTAAGCATCCACCTGCCCTAGTAAGAGCATGCTCTCAAGCCGGCTCGGCTCAGGCGGGATCCTAAACAACCTGCTTACATCCTCTTCGGGGAGCGCATTCAATCCCTGCGCCACCCGCCGCCCATTCTCCTCTTTCCGTTTCGCAACATACGTCTCCGCACGAAGCTTCTCCCGTGCGATTTGCCTCGACAAATACGCGACATTGCCTTCTTCTGTCCGGTAATTGTCGATCGCTTCGGCGACTTGCTCCAGATTCTTCGTGAGGCCCACATTGCCTATATCAAGCACTGAATAAGACGGAGGTAACGCTGACGTGGTCGCCACCCCAGGATGAGAACCCGAAAACGTTGGCATCGATGGAGTCTCAAGCGTGTTCAAATACGAGCTCAGAAGCGCGTTTGTCCTAACTCTTAGCGGGATCTCCTCAAGTATCGAAGCAAAAGTTAATCGATGGCTAATCAACCTATGTATCGCACTAAGTTAAATCGATCGAGGAGCATCAACAAAACGAGAAAGCATACCCGGCAGCACTAAAATTAGCTCTTCTGTAGGCATCCATAAATGCAGCAGTCAGCTTGAATGCACGGAATGACGCATTTCCTCGTGCTGTCTGCGAGATGTCTAAACCTTGTTGTTAGCATGTGGCCACGGCATGTCGCGCCACGTGAAATTACCATGAACAATAACAACACCGCCGTGTCTAAGCCTATCTTGGTGGATTGCTTGTGTATCTATCAGTGTTTGATTGAAAAAAGCGCCAAGCGAGGTTGCTTGGTAAAACCCAACGACATTGTCGTCTCCTTGAACCTCTTTCAAGGACCGCAGCATGGATGACTGGTAGCGGGCTACCATCAGCAACGTTTTGTCAGCGCATGTCATCCGTGGAGATAACAACGGATGGGACCCACCAATAGATTTCGTGGCCTTTTCGTCGTCGTCGTTCGTGTGATTCGGTAATGCAAACGAGTTGGACACCTCGAGGATGCCATCGAGATCAAGACCTAAGAGAAGTCCATGGGCGGTTGTCGAGAATGCCTCACGACTGTGTTTCAAAATTTTGGTAATAACCTGCGATACAATTGTCAGTTTAACATAAATAGAAGTACAATGCGGAACTTTTGAAAAGTAGAGCCGTTCATAGGCAAACAATAGGCCATAAAGAATATAGACGATCCATCAAATTACGCACTATACCATCAAGCTGGACGCATGTAAGAGGTATTTCAGCCTCGATGTCGATCGCCTTTGACATGGATGCAGGGATGGCTTCATATGTTGGCGCTGCAGGTGTTGGTGCAGCCTGGGGAGCGGGAAGTGATGCAGCCAGGGCTGCGGCCATCGATGGAGCGGCCATTTTTGTTTCCTATGTAAACGATTCTGGTGGTCACCGTGATGCAACTTTAGTCCTGCTTCAACAAACAGCAAGATTTCGACGGCAGCCGAAAAATGTGGTGCATTTCTTTACATAAGCAGGGGTAATGAATTGTTCCGCGCAGGTTCCGCGGCAAACGGCCATTACACCATTACTTAGTACCACTGACGCACCACCAACTGACCACAACTTGATGTCCGTCTTTGGGATGTCTCGCTCAGCGCGAATTAAGCTGTTGCTTGTCATCGACGTGATATTTTTCTTCATTGAGCTCATCGCAGGTGAGTTAATATTCCGTAGTCTTACACTAGGATCCACCTAAGACAGACACTCCCAGGTTATGCTGTTGGTTCACTTGCTCTAGTCGCCGACAGTTTTCACATGCTGAAGTCGGTTCAACTTTAACTTACGCTGCAAGTAGCTAAAATCCCTCAACAGCGATGTGATAAGCCTTGTAGTTGCTCTCTACGCCATCAAGGTAAGACGCTAATCGGCTCAGGTCTTAGAGAAATCCCTTACCTTTCTTTTTTGCCTTTTAGTTGTCACAAAAAACTGCCAACGATTCTAGATATTCGTATGGGTGGCACAGAGCTGAAATCCTCGCTGCCCTTGTGAATGGGGTATTTCTCCTTGCGCTCTGCTTCTCTATCACTATGGAAGCTTTGGAGCGCTTCTTTACTACTCCAGGTGAACTGACATCTATGTACTCGGGGGATTTTTTCTCACCGTTCGCTCCTGCAGAAATTTCAAATCCTCGTCTCATTGTGATAGTAGGATCTTTCGGTCTGGCGTCTAATATTGTTGGTCTCTTCCTCTTCCATGGTTAGTTTTAATGTCGTCACTATGCGTACCGCTGCTCAAACATGACCACAATATTTCTAGAACATGGTCATTCACATGGTCACGACCATAAGACCTCTGCGCCCGCATCCCGTACTCCGAGCATCACTAATTCAGAACGAGCTGTAGACGATGACATCACTTCCCCGGGAAAAACATCTGCGTGGCCTAGTAGCCGTGAGCGCTCTGGCTCGTTGTATGGACACCCAATTGCGACGCGTGCGTCCGTTGTGCAAGCTGCTCAGGACATTGCATCATCCGGAGGCCAATCTCCTTCGCATGCGAGGCGAGCAAGCTCCTCCAGCCACGTGATCGATGAGCGCCTCCCACTACTCGGAGCCGAAATAACCGAGGTGTCGACTTCAACAGCCCACCATCATGCGCATGGCTCCATGAATATGCGCGCCCTGGTCCTACATGTGTTAGGTGATGCCCTAGGGAATGTCGGAGTCATCGCTACCGGCTTGGTCATCTGGCTCACGAATTGGCAATTCAAGTTTTACTTCGATCCTGTTATCAGTCTTGTGATCACGGTCATTATCTTTTCGTCTGCTTTGCCATTGGGTATGTGTGTTTTCTTATCTGTATCTTTGTCATCAACTAACCTATCCCAGTCCGGAGCGCGTCTTTCATTCTCCTCCAGGGCGTGCCACCCACTATATCCCTAGACGAAGTTCGGACATCCATTCTGAATGTAGATGGGGTGCTTTCCGTGCATGAATTGCACGTGTGGCAACTATCGGAATCCAAGATCGTCGCATCGGTACACGTGATGGCGTCACGAAACCACGACTTCATGCCTGTTGCAGCAGAAATCAGGAAAACTCTTCATCATCACGGCATCCATTCTAGTACCATTCAACCAGAATATCATACCCGCCACATGTTTCCGGAAGAGAACCTGAAGGTGCGTGTCCTGCCTCGATTGCATGCATCTCCATTTGGCTGATCAGTCTCAAGACATCTGCAGACTCGTCGTGTTTGATACTATGCCCAGCGGATCAAAACTGTGATCCGGCCGAAAACGCTTGCTGCCGTGAGTTCTCCGTCTATTTTTCATTCCATTGCTTTGACTCACATGTCGTGTTACCAGCCCCGCCCGCACCAGGCGTTTAACTTTACTTTATGGGTCAATAGTAGGTACTTACGTGTTTCGAACCCTCGTACATGCCCTCATATCACACGCCTTTGCAGTGCGCGATAATTTGTTCTGGGCGAGTGATATATGGCAGTGGAAATCAGACGGCGAGGCGTAAATAGATTTTCGCGAGATAGATAGATGGTCATGAACTTTGTCTACATAACAAATGCAGGGAAGTTTGTGACGAAGGCAGTGGATGATCCCAGACGCTGCAAAATGGTTGCACTCGTAGGTGAACTCTTCTTCTGCGCTCGGAGGTCAGCTGCGAGTCGCCTCGCGACGGAGGCACTTGGTTGACCGAGCACAAAGCGCTGCTCTTCGCACACTGTTTGCACCGCCCATTCGATGTGTAACGCGGCGGTGAGGGCGGATGAAATGATTGTCACCAGCAGCTGTGTATTCAGACCCTGCTCTGTTGCCTGCTGTTGGTCTATGGCCGCAATAAGGCAAGGGAGAACGTTGTACATAAATATCGGAAGGAGGGGTGGCGCCGATGATAGCTGACGCGGAACGGCTAAAACGAATGTTGCGAGGCGCTTGCACGTTTCCATTTCCCCAAGGCTGGAAGCATCACTGAGCTCTGACCAGAGTAGACCAAGGAATTTAGAGGGTGAAGTGGCGGAGAGACAGCGTGTAACGTCGATGCGAGGAGCCTTGTGGCGCCGAGCTAACGCGAGTGCCTCGTGGATCTCTTGTTTTGGGAAGTCCATCCATCTGGTGGCAGGGCTGATCTGATGATCCTCCAACGCTTTGCAAGATGCTGTGTCAGATGATCAATCCAGCTGGTAGGAGGAAAAGAGTAATTCCAACTTGTTACTCACGGTCTTTGTTGACTCCGAGGGTTTGGAAGCACGTGGCTCGTATAACGCTGATATCCAGAATTGGATTCACGGAAAATGCTTGGATCCGTCTACTAGATAATAGCCTGAGACAACTCGGACTACAAAGACGGCGGACGACGAGGGGACAGCAGGAAGAGCATAGAATAGTTTGTAAGATTGCGAGGTGAAAGGGAGCTACAAGCCTGCGACGAAAACGTGTCGGTGATGATTTTCTTTGAGGTTGGTGTTAGACTCACGCTCTGTGCCCAATTTCAAACAACATGGCATGGATCACGCCAACGAGTGTCCACCGGAGCAACGGTCCAAGGAAGTATGACATACCGGTCTGCAGCGTGTCGTTGTCGATTCGATTTTCCTGGCGAGCCAGGGCAGCCTGCGAGAATAGCGTGGCGGAGATTTGCAGGAGAATTTGGGGTTTCGTTGTGCTACGTCCGACATGAGACACAGTTTCCATCGTAAGGGCGGAAACACATTACCGGAGTAAGGCGTCGTCGATCCCTTCGCTATTGATATCAAAAATTGCCTTGAACCAAGTGGCAAATGCGGATTTGTGTTCTGGGCTTAACTCATCCACCTGATAAACCCTCGAAGTGCATCGGAGAAGTTCTGTGCGGTACATCTTTCCGTCTTTCATGATGGGCGATGAGATCTTGACAATCATATGTCAAGGAACAATCGCATTCCGATGACAAAAACATACCCGGAATTTCGCCAAGACCATCTCTGCAAATAGAACTATATCACCCAAATGGCTCACTGCAGTCTGTGGATCACCTATGACTCGTTGTCAGCACTAATATCGTAAGCTTCGGTGGCGAACATACCAACTGTTTCGCAATCATACTCAGATATTATCTCCAGTGCATCGCAGATCAAGTATGAGATCTTGAGATGCAGTGATAAGATATCCAAGGCGAAGTCATGGTGGTACAGTGTCCGCGTTAGGTGACTCAAGTGCTCAAGATCCAGGGACGTAGAATGTGACGTAAATCGCTGAAAATGTGCCTGATTAACATATGGGATTAATCATGAATGGTCCAGCAGGTACTTTCTGAACAACGGTAGCAAAACAGTGGTGGCTGCCAGGTTCTTGGCGAATTTTCTCCAGCAGTGATAAAGTGTCATCTGGACTTGAATCTAAAGTGAGTTTTGAGTCCAGATAAGTCTGCAGGCCTCGTCATCATCAGCAAGGAAAGCATGGTGTGATGACTTTACTTCTATGGAACAGCCATGTTCAAAGGCCTCTGTCTGCAAACGTGTTGTGGGGTCGTTTACCATCATGGGGTCCATTGAGACCGCGAATGCATACTCGATAATCCCAACGGCTAGAAGTTGTTGAATGAATTCGCGAAGAAGCGATCTCTGCCTTCATAATGAGATGTTAACGTGAAGGTCGCGGAACAACGATCAAACCTACAATGTGTTGTTGTCCTGACTAGAATCGTGTCCCTTGCCTTGTCGGGCTACAGCATCACATTGCGCCAATAAATCAGACCGTTGAGACAATGATGACAGTGCAACATGCATTGCGGCTCGCTGATAGGGTCGTGATCATGCTAAGCCTTCCTGACTTTCAAGAAAGATCTTGCATACCCAATCTGCCTCCGTTGTTCCATGAGCTTTGAGACTTTTTTCGAGGGCAAATAAAAGCCGCGGAAGCTATAGATCATGAGTCGGTGGTAAGCTGAACTGATACTCGTAGTGGCTTGCGTTAAAGCTTACACGACCAACCACAAATGCTCTCCATAGAGAAAAGGAAGATTCATGATCATCCTTAGCAGAGCTTTGAGCGACGCAAGTCAGAGCAGCCACAAGTAGCTGTGTACAAAAGACATTGGGTGCCCATGACGTCCACCGCAATGTACCTGTCATGACTGCAACAGCCTCTAAGTCACTTCCCGCTCCAAAATCACTGGTTCGACATGCCATCTGTAAAACATTAGTGGTGATTGGGACATAGCTGTGAAACACGTACAAGGCTTTGCAGCAACAGACCGCAGGTGATGGTGTCAGTTTCAACATTGGCGCCGAGTACGTCGTTTTTCCCCATAGTCAGCTGCATAGTGTGTAACATTTGTGCATCTCGGACGGCTTTCGCGTCGTCTCCCATAAGCAAACTCAAAGATAACACGAAGCCCTCGAGTACCTGCCGGAGTTCTGGCGAAAGGCGCAATGAGTGCAGCACATCGTTCGCATCCCCGAGATAAATCATAGCTTGAGCGGCTGTTACCTGCGACATGTCAGTGACACAAGACAGTAGCAGGATCGCGAGTTCAGAAGCTGATAAAACAAGATGGTGGAAGTTAGAAGGGGGAAGAGAGTGGGCAATCCGCAAAAGAGCCAGCGCATCTTGTACTTTGGAAAGCACAGAAACCTGGGAGTCTGCCAAGGGGATAATGGATTCTGTGGGTGATAATCCGGATGTGTAATGTGCATTAAGAGCCAAACGGCAAAGCATATCCAGAGTGGTCCCGTTCTGAAGTTCTGGGTCCCGAGCAGCGCGTATAAATGTAGAGACGAAGACCGCGTTCGAAAGTAATTTGTCACTCAGGGCAAGCTGAAGGTATTCGCGAAGAGTAGGGTCTGCAGGGTACAAGCGATAAAGTTCAAGGATAGTGTCTGTTCGAAACACGTATTCAATCCAAAGTCTAGATCCTGAGTACGCAGGCCACATACTGCTAATAACGGCGCTAACGTCGACACCGACATCATGTTGCTGTACAAGCAGTTTGCATAATCCTAGCCACTGAGAAGCTCCAGTACATCATTATAGCATGTACCATGATTGAAACTACCCACCTGTTGCGGAGTTACCCCGCGTTGATACGAATTCCTTGTCAACTCAGCGAAGGACATATTACGACTGTTGCCACCTTGTCTGCTTGGTTTATGTTAATGTTTCGCGACGTGTTCGCGGCCGTCAACAATACTGCGTCAGTGTAGAAATCAACTTGAAGCAGCGGAAGTGTGGCTCGCAGACAAACAGTAGACGCTCATTTACGCAACATCAGTGTCCAATAGTAGTAATGATACGGTAAATTGCAAATGACAATGCGGAAAAAGTATGTAGGTATATATGATCTATCTATCCCTCAAAGCTTCATCGAATAACTGTAATAATTTCCTCATTAGACCTTTGCTATCAGTCTCCGGGTCTCTTGTGGTGTAAAACGCAAAATGATGGACAAAACGCGGACGAGATTGGGCTGAAATAATGGGTTATTAATGTGAGCGTAAATATATTTTCAGCATTTTGCACTCACTCTCATCTCCTTGTGCTCTAGGAACTGCAATATCACGTTTCTAAGGTACTCCAAGTTGATGTCTTCATCGCCTTTGGACGGGGTGGGCGATGTTGGTCCAGGAGATGCAGCTCGCGATGGAAGATCGGAGGAAGATGATATTGATGCGCGAGAATCAGTGTTCTCGCTTCGTGAGGTCCAATAACCCACTCCTGGATTACGCTGACGCTCAAGCAAAGCAGCCGAGTTTTGCACTTTACGGAGTTCCTCTCGGAGTGTCTGCGAGTGCTATGAGACAAGGGTGTAGTAGAGAACTTGAATAGTCATCACCTTGATGTGACTACGCAGCTGTGTTTCATGAACCTTCAGGCTTTCAAGCTGGCTCTTGTAACCCTCGGCTTCAGCTTTCGCATCTGAGATGCGAAGCTGTACTGACGTCTGTATGGCACTCATCAGAAAGAGCATTTTCGCGCATAATACACGAGCAATACCTCAGTATCCTTCATACGGTCAACCTGTAGCTGAAGCTCCAACGCATGACGCTGGTGATTCTGTACTTCAACTGTTAGCTTCTCGATCTCGCCTTTCAGCACCCCTGTAGTGCTCTCTTTCTCTTCCCGCAATTTTGCAGAAGACTGCAGAATCATCTTCAGCTCGTCCGTTTCTCTAGTTTTCTCGCAGAGCTTGCGACTCCAGTCCGCTTCGCTCTCTGTACGCTCCTTCTCTGCGAGGACCAAGTTCCTCTTGACCTCTGTCAATTTGGCCTCGTACTTAGCCTCCATCGCGGAGATGAGCTGCGAGACGTCTTCCTGGGAAGTGCCTGGCCCATGCGGTCGCGTTTCTTGTTCCCCTCGAAGATCTGAGATTTCCTCGGTGAGAAGGGTAAGACGGTCTTGTGCTTCTCTAAGCTGGAACTGTAGTTCAGTGTGTTGACTCTGGAGGGTCCCGACGTGGTGCTGAGAGGATTCTAACTCAGCCTGCCGAATCTGGAGTTGCTCAAAGGATGTCCTGTTCTCCCTGGAGAGATTGTTGACAGATGCTTCCAAAGTAGCGATCTGTGACCTCTTATGAGTCAATTCCGTTGAATGCGACATCTGTATTGCAATTTCTTAGATCATTGGCAAAGTTGCGATCATCTATACGAACCTTCAGTGTTGCAATTTCAGCTTCAGATTGTGCGCGGACGGCAGAAAGCTCCTTCTCACTGCGGTCCTTGACAGCAGCTACCTCCTTGTCAAACTGGGTCCTTAATCCTGTTACCGCTTTCTCTCGCTCTGCATTGACCGCGTCGATTTCCGACTGCAACCTTGCTCGTTCAGCCCTATCTTTGTCTCGCTCCTGCCTCTCCTTCTCCTTAGATTCACCGATTTCCCTCAGCGCGTCGTCTCTGTCCTTCTCGGCTTTGACAAGCTTCTGACGCACAGTCTTGAGGAGACTGATCGCCTTGACACGCTTTTCTTCCTCTTCTTTTGCCACCTCTTTTGCTTTTGCAGCCTCGGCTGCAAGTCGCTCCATATCGGCATTCCGCCTCGCTATTTCTTCTTCCGTATGAGAAGCTGAAGCTTGGGAGGCTGCAACGAGGGCTTCCGCTTCGTCGAGCTGTTGACGGAGTTTGTCGATCTGGTCCGACTGAGACCTGGTTTCAAGCCGGTGAGTATCTCTGAGCTCCTCGATACGCTCCTCTTGACCTATTTTAACACACGTCAGCATTCTTTTACTAACAATATGAAGACAGTTCATTACGTGTCAGTTTTCCGTTGAGACGCTGCAGTTCATCTTGTGCAAGCTACTCGGACAGGCAGATGAGAGGATAGAACCAGGCAAACATTGCGGTACGTCACCTCGGTCTTCATGTTCATGTTAGACAAGTAGTCACGGAGTACGGTTGCATCCTTGGTATCTTCCAAAGGTGTCAATTCCCGAACGACGTCATCTACAGTTGACCGTTCTGCCTGAAGTCTCTTAAAAGATGTCGACACATCTTGCAAGAGTTAGCATGTACCCGACGTATTGTCCAACTAAGAACGTACCTGAAAACCGTTGTTCAACGAGTCTTAGACGTTCTTGAAGAGCTTCTACATCAGTTTCGCCGCATTTTGAAGGCACAGTTGAAGGGTCTTCTGGAAGTTGTTCAGTCTTTTCACCATCACCATCACCGTCACCGTCTGAAACAGATGCATCTATTTGAATGGGAACACCGGTGTTGCCATCAATGTCTCCAGAACCTGACTCGTGAACTTCTGACACATGCGAATCAGATGCGTCTATATGAATGGGAACATCGGCGTTGCCATCAATATCTCCAGAATTCGAGCCGTTAACTTGTGCCAATTGTACCGTCTGGATATTTTCTTCTGTTGCAATAGCGGCTAATACGGCTAGTGGGGAACTATCGGGGCTATCTGCGGCAGGTGTTTCTTCTGGGCTCAGTGGCAGTGGAACATCAGCTAGAGTTTGAGGAACCTCTGACGATGAGGTAGCATGAGAGCCATCTTCACCAGCACCTTGGAGGGGATTGGCAGCGAGGGAAAATGACGAAATATCTGACGGAAGGTCGCTGGGCTGGGTATCAAATACTTGTGGTGGGGAAGCTGCTGCTGGAATTACAGGGGAGCCTGGCAGAGGAATCGATGTGGGGGAGAGTGGATGCTGCGTGACCAGAACTGCATTCGGCGCCGGCGAACCTCTGGAAGAGATAGCAGGCGATGTGGTATTGGATGCTTCTCCGACTGAGAACGACGCGCGAAGCCGTTCTTCGAGAGTAAATTTGCGTAGTCCAGGATCGGGCGTACTGTTGCTCTTCGGGATAGAAGGGACAGGGCTAGAAGATCGTGACAGCGGACTCCCAGGGCGCTGTGATGCAAATGACCTGCGCATGTTATTTAGTGCAGCGTCTGCAAGTTGATTTGTGGATTGCAGCTGCCTCGCAGACTGCGCGTCATGTGGGCCGCTTGTGAAACGGTTATCCTCGCCGTTGAGGTCTTGAGACCGCCGTGGTTGTGGTTGCGCAAAGGTTTCAACTGCCTGCCGGAACTGCGAAAACATAGGTGTACCAGAAGTACTCAGACAAAACTGTGGAGGCAACGGGGTAGTTGTTGCACTTGGTTCTGACAGCAACAATGATCGCTCAGACAAGTCTCCCACGTGAGCGTGCCTCGAATCTTGATACTTACTTTGGATGTGCGGCACTTGTCCCAATTGTTCCAGCAGCATATTTTAAATTTGAAAGTGCAACATGTTATGAAACAAATGTAGTACAAGATTTTACGATGAAGATTCATTAGATGGTGTCTCTGCTTCCTTGCCCTTTCCATTCAACTGGGCCAGAGACGTAAACGACCCATTCAGTGAAGTTGAGCTCGGTAGTGGCACTGCGGTGGATGGTACTGACGCCGAGCTAGCCAATTGCCACGTAGGTATCGACGGTCTACCAGCCAACGAGGGTAATGGTGTCGAAGGAGAGCTTGTCAGTGGAGCAGATCCACGACTGAGCAGGAGAGCCTTGAGAGATTTGAGTTCTTGTTGCAGCTCAGAAAGAGACTCCTTCTGAGTCTCTTTGTTCTTCTCAATCATCTGTGTTTAAAAATGAGAGAATGCAAGAACGACCAACATCGCTGTCTCCACCTTGGGCAGCATCTCTCGGATATTTTCCACTTCGTCACGGATTTCACGCATCTCGTCCCGCGTCTTTGACTCACCTTCCCTCATTTCAACTACTACTGACTCAACGTCTTTGGTAACTTTGTTCACCCGTTCGTTTTGCTCATGCACCGCAGACTTGACGGCTTCGGTCTCAGCCTGAATTTCCTTCAAGAGGGCCTCTGCAGCATCAAACTGTGCTGTCAGACCATCGCGGTCTTGCTCATATGCAGTCGCTGCTGGAGGAATGAGGTGTGGTTGCAGATATTTCTAGAGCCCTGGTGAGGACAAGAAATACAGAGGAATTCAAGTTGTTCACCTTGAACAGCGAGACGGCACCATACACCACTGACCCTGATATCACAGCAGTTATCTATATGGAATACATCACAACTCACGCCTCAACAAGGAGAGTCAAACGACGCACGAAATAATCGCGCCAGTCCCACTGCTGAGAAGGATAGGTGGGATATTGAGCTGGCCCATATGCTGGATACGGCGATTGGAAATAATTCTGGGCCGCAGGCTGCGAGCGCGCGGTCTGGTTCGCCGCCTGCTTCATTGCCTCCTCGATTTCTGGACCGGTAAGGCCTTTTGCTTCAAGGAATTGCACACGCTGGGTAATCGGTGCCTGTTGGCTCTGGTACACACGATGAGTGTTGTGCACTACGAGAAATGTTTAATCTGCACACCGTAGAGTCTGAGAGGAATGAAACTGCATTGCGGACGAGCTCTCGTCTGTCTGTAGCGTCTGACATAGTGGGCTAGTGTACACTGTAATGCCGGAGCTTGATTAGGAAAGTCTACTTCTCCCTTACCGCTCCGAATTCATTCTCCGATCGTTCTCCAATTTTCCCGCAAGGACGTTGCAATTGGATCCAGCATCTTCTGCAACAAGTATGTTTAGGTTGGCAGCACAGAGGGGAATAGCGAACAAATTTGCTGGCTCTTCAAGAGGTATCTCATGCTCTGGCGTCATGCCCTTTATTTTCTAACGTTTTCTGGTTATAAAGCTTTGAGAGCTTCTTCACTGTATGCTCGTTGCCGGTGCTCAACATGGAAGCCAACGTCTGGCCCTTCTCTGCCTTCGGCTGCCAACTGGGGTGCGACTCTCATTGTCTGAGCAAATTCGTTCGCGTCTGATAATTTCTAACAGGTAACCGACGCGGTTATGCTGAAGCCGCAGGTAAATTCTCCCGCGTAAAGCCCCACATGAACATCGGCACCATTGGTAAGGCCATGTTTTCTTGCACTTTGACGCGCTTTAAATTCATTTCAATCCTTAGGTCACGTCGACCATGGTAAAACAACGTTGACTGCTGCTATCACCAGAGTTCTCTCCGACAAAGGTGCAGCAAAGTTCACGGACTACTCGCAGATTGACAAGGCACCTGAGGAGAAAGCTCGCGGTATCACTATCAACTCTGCGCATGTCGAGTATGAATCTGAAGGACGCCACTACGGCCACATTGACTGTCCTGGTCACGCTGACTGTTTGTTTTTCCCTTGCTCACATACGTCCCCAGTTTTACCTAGCTGCCTTTCATAGACATCAAGAACATGATTACTGGTGCCGCGCAAATGGACGGAGCCATCATTGTTGTATCGGCAACGGATGGCCAGATGCCTCAGACCCGTGAACATCTACTTCTCGCTCGCCAAGTCGGCATCAAAAAGCTGGTCGTCTTTATCAACAAGGTTGACATGATTTCAGACCCAGAGATGCTCGAGCTTGTTGACATGGAGATGCGTGATCTGCTGTCAACTTATAACTTCGACGGTGAAAACACTCCCATCATCATGGGTTCAGCATTGGCCGCTTTGGAAGGTCGGGACGACAGCCTAGGGAAGGAGAAGATTCTGAGTCTTATCCAGGCCTGTGATGAGTGGCTCGACGTTCCCCCTCGTCAGTTTTCTTTTTACATGTGGTTTTTGATTAGGAGAGTTAATACTTTCTCATAGGTGACCTTGAGAAGCCTTTCTTGATGCCTGTCGAAGGTAATATCAAGTCTATTTTCTTCAGGGACCAGCTTTGACATTCACTCCTCTCAAAGATGTGTTCTCGATTTCTGGTCGTGGCACTGTCGCCACTGGACGAGTGAGTTTGTGTTAGGAACGCGAATCATATTAGCTCACCTGTTATACAGGTTGAGCGCGGTATTGCACTTAAGGGTGCTGAGGTAGAGGTCGTCGGCCTTGGCAACTCTTTCAAAACTACATTGACTGGTATCGGTGCGATCACTGCTCATGCGTCATTGAAGTTTGGATTTCTCATCAATTTGCAGAGATGTTCCACAAGGAACTTGACCGAGTATGGATGACTATATCATAATGCACGTCATGTTTATGTTTATCCTTCTTTCAGGGTGAAGCTGGTGACAACATGGGTTGTCTGCTACGTGGTGTCAAGCGGGAACAAGTCCGCCGTGGCCAGGTTATCATTGCCCCAGGCTCGATGAAGGCTGTCAAGAAATTCCAGGCTCAAATTTATGTTCTCACTAAAGACGAAGGTGGTCGCTACACCCCGTTCATGAGCAACTACCGTCCTCAGCTTTTCCTCCGGACTGCTGACATCACCGTTGCTCTCACCTTTGCCGAGGATACTCCTGACGCCGAGGAGAAAATGGTATGCACTATGCCGTTTTTTTTTGTATATTGCTCACACTTTTTTGTAGGTCATGCCCGGAGATAACGTGGAGATGGTTTGCGAGTTGGTCCACGATGTTGCCGCCGAGGCTGGTTCCCGCTTCACTCTTCGTGAAGGTGGCAAGACGAGTAAGTTCTGAGTCATATTCTCCACGAGGTCCCAGCTCATTAAACACAATACAGTCGGCACTGGTATCGTTACGAAGATTTTGGAGTATGCATGAAAAATACTAGATTATTATATACTATTCTGTCGTAATTCTTGCTTGTCTTCACTTGCAGTATTATTGCATCCCCCCTCAGCATCATGCATCATTTTAAAAGTAGATACAGACCTTATGTGCTTTTTTGTCGTTTATTCAGCCACCTTGTAGCCGCTGTCCGTGATTTTACGGACAGCGGTCGGCCACTCCCCTGAAGTAAACGTCGGTTATCGAAATTCTAAAGTGCAACGCGAAGATCGTTTGTCTCACACCTCACTTGCCTCAGCTACCTTACATCCGCTCGGCCTCAGCAACCTAATTATGTTCTCTGTAATCAGACAAGCTGCTCGTGCGCGAGCGATGCCCTCGACGGCTGCGCGGATAAGTCCCTCGAATATTGTGCGCATGCCCGGTTGCCGGACTATCGTTAGTGAGTGAATGCCACAACTCTCCGAATAAATCATTATCTGACAATCTCAATTAGCAAAAAAGTACACCGAGGAGCACGAAGTCGTTGCTTTTGATGACGAGACTGGGTTGGGTGCTATATCCATAACGGATCACGCGCAGGAGAGTCTCGGAGATGTTGTTTTCGTGGAGCTTCCTGCGGTAGGCTCGAAGGTTTCAAAAGGCGGTAGGTGCCCGTTTTCCTGCGAACGGTACCGAACGGGTTAACAGCGCGCTAATAACTTATTTGTAGACCAGATTGGCGCAGTCGAGAGTGTCAAGGCAGCCTCGGATATCGTTGAGAAACATTCCGTTGCCTTTTGATCAATTGCTCATGTATGTTCGTTTATATAGTATGCGCCAGTGTCTGGCATTGTCACTGAGGTGAACGAGGACCTGAATTCTGAACCTGGACTCCTGAACCGCTCTCCCGAGGAAAAAGGTAAGCTTAATAGTGATTGTGTTAATATTATCATCATCAACATGAGGCTTGTAGGTTGGCTGTGCAAAATCGAACTCTCTGCGCCCGAGGAAGTGAGTGATTCATACGTTTCTCCAAGAATTCTAACAGTGGCTTATTGCAACAGTTGAATGAGCTGCTCACGCTCGAGAAATACAAGGCGACTTGGGAAGCCTGAATCATAATGAAGAAGGAACATCTATCTACTTTCTATTTGGTCTTCCTGCGGGAGTCCTAGCAATACAACCCCTGGCCTCAACTGCCATACCTTTGTTATTACTTATATTATCATAGATGAGAGGAGATGATCAGCTCTTGCAATGCATTCTATCCCGAGCTCAGCGAGTATGGATTGTCAGAATGAAATGGTAAGGTAGTTGATGAATTCACGATGACGGCTCGTATTTGTATTTCTCTCCACGGGCTTCCATGCGTTCCTTGGCTTCCCTGAGGGCCCACGTTTGTATGCTGCATAGACCAGATTGAATGAACGAGCTGGCTCAGCGGAAGAGACGCGCCGCCCACCTTGTGTCAGGCTTGTAGTACAATAATACTGCAGCCATTGCCATTGACCCGAACATCCCTACATACCAGATGTTCTCCCACTCCTCTTTCACTCGACTCTGTCCTGGTGCAGGTGGCTAAAGCAGTTATCCCTGTCAGCTTCCCGGAGGTCCTGAACCGAGGTTAGAGACATCACCTTTTCGCCGAAGAGCCAACCACTAGGCTCGTTGAATTGCGGTGGGCCATGAGATGCAAATCGTCTGCCTGTTATGCGGCGCGGCACTCTCACTTGAAGGGCGCGTAAAGATGATGTTGGTAGCATGAGGGATATTGTTGACCGACTGCACTGTCCCTCGGGTAAATTCGAGGTGGATTGGTCTAAATAGATGCAAACACGACTGGATGAGTTGTCCTCATTCTTATGTCAGAGCGCAAAATATTGTCATTCTGATCAACTCTGCTCAGAGCGATACATGTCAATGTCGAACGGTTATAGTCATATGTGAGTTAGAATGGCGGAAATCAGTTTCATAACATTGTCCGAATGTCAGGTAACTCTGGGTTGTGTAATTGCGGCGTTGCATACCTATCTGGACTCTGGAGGCAGTCCAAGGGAAGCTGGCGGAGGCGATGAAGGTGATTAATACGCAGGATGCTCACCATCACCAAAAAGTGATGGAGGTCTCCAGCCTGTGGACACCGTGACTACACTGCCGTCTGTGCGATGATCCTTGAAGTTGCGTTGCGCGTCGATTGCTGAGTCAAGCTGCTTACGCGAAAAAGTTTAAAATTAGCACCTCGCCCAAGTCCACAACTCAAGTACTTCCAGAACTTGGCCAGCTGCAGGACGGTAAGCAAGTCCCTACGATATCGAGTCAAGTTTGGCTGAACTTTTGCATACGAAGCGTGCACGATTGCCTCGAGCGTGGTTTCACGGGCCTGTCATGAAAATGCCTCCTCAAGTGTCCCGCGACGCGTTCTCCAGTCTCGTATGTTCAAATGTCATGAACATGTCCATTGACGCGAACATACCGTGTCATAAACCGCGAGGCGCGGCACCACTTTGTCACTCTCCGCAGTAATTCTTGCGAGGCCTCCCCTGGTCTCCCAGGTATCCCTCAGGTACCATCCACCATCAAGAGAACAGTATTGATGATCACAGCCATCATCCAAGCGACAGTACAGGAGGTAGAGTATAAAAGCTGGTATGTTCATTGACAGGAGCAGTCTAAAACATACACACAAACCAATCCTCTTACCAGCACAACATGTCTGAACAACTCTTCAAGTCTTTTGCTATCATCGGCGCCGGACCCAACACCGGCATTCATATCGTGAAGGTGACTTTCGTTATAATGTTCTTGCAGTTGTCGTCCTTAACCATCTCTATCAGGCCTTTCTCGCCATTGGCACCCCACTTCTCGTCATCGCCCGCCCAGGCTCCACAAACGTCGCTGCGCTCCCTACCGACGATCCCCACCTAAAGCTTGTGCGCGCAGACTACACATCTGCATCTGAGATCTCCACAGTGCTCCGCGAGCACAAAATAGACGTTCTCATTTCGACCGTCACACTTGTTTTCGGAGGCGTAGTTGGCCAGAACATTCTCGCCGACGCTGCCAAGGAGGCAGGCGTGAAGCTCTTTGTCCCCAGCGAGTTCGGTATCAAACCGCAACTATCCAAAGGTGGTTTAGCTTTCCAAAAGACTGACTTCGCAGGCAAGTGATGACGGTAGCGCGTCGTGGCATCCACTTACCCTCCGTTTACAGCTTATGCGAATTCAATTGGATTGCCAACTCTCCGTGTCTTCGTGAGTAGCCATTTTTCCGATGTCGTTCTAATAAGTACTGAACACGATACAGAACGGATTGTTCTACGAATTCGTACCCTGGCTCACCGCGCTCGCTGACACTGGCAAGTTCCATATCGTGAACAAAGGAGAAACACCAGGGTCCTTCACTGCAGTATCCGACGTCGCTGGATACGTCGCTCATATCCTTACTACCCAACCTCCATCTCGTCTACTTGATGTTCAAATTCAAATCGAGGGACAACGCGCAACGCTCTCGGAGATCGGTGCATTGTATAAAGCCACTGTACCTGTGGTATATTGCGATGCTCTTCCTACGGAAGGTGTGGTCAACGCGCACTTCCGTACGTTCTTCCAGAAGCATATTGGGGCCGGGGGAGGAAGTTGCGGGTGGAACCCTGTGACGGAGTCGGACGACCCGGAATCGGCTAGCAGGGACAACTCGTTGTGGGAGGGGCACCACTGGTTGACTGTTGGGGAGGCTCTTGGACTGTGATTGGATTTTTAAGTAGAATTTCCGGACTCTTAACATGGGAACCATATAGCACCTCCGCAACTTACTCACATAATTTATGTTTTCCTACCAGCAGTTAACTTATCACTAGAATCGTTAGATCATGCACGAATGAAGATAGTAGTACTATTTATTGTTCCTTCTTACTGAATGACAAGGGTCTGGTCAGCATACCATCGCGTGTTGAAGTTCAAATTGTTTCGAACAATAGCTCAAATATACTCTTAGCCCTGCACTACAGCGCCTCTCTCGCACTCCGTGTTGTAGGTTCGAATGTTCGACCTACTTTAGTATCCATATAAAGCTAGCGTAGTACGTCTCCCCTATCATATAAAGTACAGACCGTACGGCAGAAGGGAGGTTCTTACAGTCGTTGGGATGATGAAAGCGACATTTTCCAAACATACAGGCCGCTACTAGTACATAACAAATTTAATAGGACATGACGGTATAGACTCGGACAAAATAACCTAGTCGCAGTCTAATTTACCGTCATCTTGCATAAACAAAAATGTTAAAGCAGAAGGCTACTATGATATCCGTGGGCTGCATAACTACTACTACGCATTTATACCATCATTCACGATTGCTCTGCCATTGTATGTTAGTATATCAGAATACCAAATGTTGTCGACAGAACAAACCTAAGCCAGTCAAACGCGTCAGTGTCTTCACAGATACACCGGGGAATCGCGGGAGAATGCGACAGGGAAATGTCTCCGGATGACTGAAATAACAAGAGGTCAGCAAACTACTTTCAGGGACAGATGGGTATTCTGCAAACACTGTGAAACCAGTGGTGAACTTCGGGACGACTGGGATATCCATGCCGTGTTCATCAAGAGCCTTGTGGGTCGAGAAAAACGCCAGGAAATTTGTGATCGCGATCCAGAGTGACGCGTCTACGACATGTCGTCCCACACTGACCAGTCGCTTTCAATGGAGAGCGGAGGAGTGCGAATATATGCTCACCAAATCCGGCGACCCCAGCCAAAGTTTAAATTCATAGTGTCGCTGTTGAGGGACCCATCATCATGGAAAAATCTCTCCGGTTTGAATTCGTCGGGACTGGGATATTTCGTTGCGTCGTGCGTCATCGCCCTATAAGTTTCGTTATGTGAAGACATTCAGTGTAAGGGTAGTGGGGGCTTTCCATGTGTTTGGAAAAACAACAACACCTAGCATACTGGGGCATCAGCTGCCGTCGTTGAATTAGGACGATACAAACCTTTAGGAATGTAATAGCCATTGTAGATATCACTGGTCGTCGTTGCGTGCGGGACGCCTGAGGGTATTGTCAGAGGATGTCTAGAAAGAAATCGCGTTGTGGACAAACCGAATGGAATCACTGGGTGCCATCTGAACGTTTCACGCAAAACAGCTTCCAGGTAGGGCAACGCTGGTCTATCATCAAAATTGGGGAGTCTATCTTTGCCAACGACTCGATCAATCTCCTCCTGCGCTTTAGCTTGTACCTCTGGGTTGAGCACCATAGCAAGAAGGAACACAAGTAACGTGGCAGTAGTCTAAGTCGAGGGAAACTGATTATGATGGGCAAACAAAAATTAAGTGAAACTCACCGTTTCAGACGCCGCTGAAGACACAAAAAATGAGTATTGCGAGGAAAGAATGATTCTTCAACTCGCATACCTGTAAATGCAACGGAAGCAGCCTCCTTGATTGCAGTTGTACCGACGTCGTCCTCTTGACTCGTCCTGTTCAAAGCATCAGCCACCAAGCACGGCCCCGCATCGTTGATAGACTGTCGGCGGTTCTTTAGTTCATTGTATTTCTATTGATGGGGTGCTTCACCATCCTCTCTTTGATATATTGAAAGGGGATCTCCTTCACATCATGGCCTGCCTGGATACACTTGAACGACGCTCGCTTGAATGTGGCACCAGGAAACCAGCTAGGTAGCTGCAAAACTAGAGATTGTTGAGTTAATTACATGCAATTACTGCTGCATGTGCGAACATACGGAAAGGAAAAGTTTCCATTAACATCATAGCAGCTGGCGCGAAGCCATCGACTATGAGGTCCCCGTACCTTGTGATGGCGTGGGCAACGCCGTCATCCTTAGCATTCGCCTCACAGTCATATATAATAGACAGCATGAATGACAACGTAAACCTGATAAAAATCAGCGTCAGTGCGAGGCCAAAAAAAATTGTCACGACCGACATCTGAAAATGGCATGGATAATTGCTAGGCTCCTGCAAAAGACTGAACAACATTTTATGGGCGGAACGGAGTTGCACGTCGTGATAAGCGGGTATAGCAGCTTGATGAAATGCCTGATGAAATATTCGTCGGTGAAGGCGCCATCTGTTGTGTATCAGACACCCATAAACATAACATAGAACAATGCGTTATGCACCTGTCTCCATATGGCATGAACCCCATGTTAAAATCTGAAGCGAAGCTACGATATGTTCGTGATCGATGCGGACTAACATTTCAAGGTGCAACTCACGCTTCGTAAACAATCGACTGGGGTCTGTCCGAATATATGCTGGAACGCCGTTCAAAGAGGTCTTTCGCGACCTCCTCGGAATTAACGACCAGGACTTGCTTGCTGAATAGACGAGCAGAAATGATGTCACCTGGCGAACAAGATCTGAATGAGCTATCATGAACAGATCCAGATCCCCATCACAATGTGCCAACCATATGTGGATCTCCAGGAATTGAAGGTCAACCAAGGCCGACCAGCATCAAGACTAAGAACATTTCCTAGTACTGGAAGTGGGGTGGGACCAGGCGGCAGCGGGGGACGCGAGTGATTGAGCCAATATTTCCGACAGCAGCTTAACACAGCTACCGCCAAGGCTGATATGACCAAGTAAAGTCCAGGTCCATCGCCGAGCATTGTTATATGAGTCTTGGTGTCCATTGGATAGTTAAGGGAGGAGCCCCAGTGGGTGATGCCATTGAAGTCGGTCAAGTATATATCGTATTGGGCTAATTAACTGAGCCAAACAAATGGTCGGATCCAGGATGTCGAGGTTAAGAATCCACAATACCAAGTAAGTAAATGACATGTGAACCGTCCAGGCGGGGCGTAGATTCATGTCAGTGTCATGATGCTGTTCGCTAAGCCGCAACAAAGCTGAACCGGCGGTCATGAGTGCTAGTGAATCATGAATCTAAGGCACGTAAATTTACGGAGCGACAATGGTGCTTTTGCCCAAGAACGATTTATCTGGAAAGACTCGATAATTGGTAATTAGCAAAGGATCTTGAGAATTAACAGGTTCCCCTGTGGCCAAGTTACATGCCCTGAGTTACATTGTGGTCTTTGGATATTCCATCAAGAAGAGAAGGACCGATGACTTTCGATCGAGAGCTGCACCTTAGATCATCCGACTAGTCATGAGTACCCCGTCTTCGCCAGTCGTTCTTCCTTCTAAGTTTTGCCTAGCTACGTCTTCGTGCACAATGTCACAAATGATGTCCCAGCGAAGTCAACCAGATATGGCCGAACTTGTACGACATTCAAGAATCTCCCGAAGGGTGTTCTCGGCTGAGAAGCGTGCTGAATTTCAACAGAGTCTATAAGTTCGGGTCCATCTTCAAGCCTCGTTCGACGGAAAAGTCTTGCTCTGGCTCACAGGAGGAGGGTGCTGGAAGTGTTCGGATATCACCGTGCGAAGCCAAGCCAAGCGAACAATTTGACAAGAAGATGACAGAACCGTCACGGCTCCATCATGATACGATCCAATAAGAAACAGTCATGTGAACGCCGGACCAAAGCTTATGGACAGAAATCTAGAAAACGATCATCTATGACAGCATCGGTGGCGCTGGAGGTGTGATGCCATGATGTCACCACTCAGAATATCGATCGCAAGACTGCTATCCAAGCGGGACGTGCGACCGTGATGGAATATCTTCTGAGGCATGCGAACTCAAGTTTATACATATAAGATGGGTGAAGGACAATTCGCTCACCTTCGGACGTCGGGATGTGTATCAGAGAGCATAATCATAATATGCAATATTATACATCACGGCGCGTCGGAGAGGAAGAAGCCGCAAGGCGTTGAAAGTTGCCATAACCGTTCTACCACCAAAAGCGAAAATCGAGGCAGTATTCGGATTTCAGAAGGTCAGCGCTGGCCGCGCTCGACGGTACCGGTGATCCGTCGCCAGAGGCACAGCTGCAGGATTCCATCTTCCAATGATATCGTAAAATGAGCACGCGGAGACCATCTGTTGAAGCCTAATGTGTGTGCAAGACTATGTAGTAATGGCGGCGTGCCGCTTGCATCTTCAGGGTAGAGTGGAACGGTATTTCGCACTTGATGCAGACGTTGTGCAGGGAAAAGGTGGCGATGAAGATCATCATCGGGATCATTGGGTGTGCCCAGGTCATGGTGGTATTCGGTGGGTCCACGACCGCAGAACAAAGTTCCGAATCGGATCAGCTTACATTTTGCAGATTACTCAGGCACGTGACCTAGCGTGACATTTCAATGAATCTGCATATAACTCGTTGCATACAATTGCGAAGTGTGAGCAAAATCTGTTTCAGGATATAATTGTGTGCAGACAATCTGTAGCAAGCTGGACATATATTTTTTATGATCTAATGTAAGAAACTGAGGGACGAGTAGGCATTATATTGTCAAAATGTCCCAAGTGAGCACCGCTACAGTCACAAATGGGTCACAAGGGTGAATTTGCTACAAAATGCCTACTCCTCCTTCAATTCGCCAAAAATAAGGATTCTGAGTAGACCACTTTGATATTGTAGTACATCCCCACAAGATCTTGGAACAGATTTACATGTATTCTATCCTCAAATCACGTGATGAACCGGTGTATGAACGAGGACCAAGGTCAGGCTATCTTACATGCATGTGTTGTAATTATAATTAAGAGTGATAAATTATTGGATTGAGTGGCTAGAAGACATCAAAGGCAACGACATATGGACCACAAACAAGTATATAATGTCTGAACCCAGAGACGGAGGCAAGTCCAGGATCCCCACCCTCGTCATCAAGAAACCCGACAGCACGACCGTGGAAGCAAACACCAACACCGAAAAGTGTACCATCATCGCTGAGTCTTTCTTTCCACCCCCCCTGCTCATGATTCTATCCCTCCAGACACGATCTACCCAGAACCCGTCGTACTGCACACCCCCATCACCTCAGACGAGATCTGGCGAGCCATTAGCAAACTCAGCAGCTACAAGGCGCCGGGCCCCGATGGAATCTGCAACATTGTCTACAAACAATGCACCACAATGTTAGTACCATACCTGACCTATCTTTTTAATGCAGTATTCCACCTTTGAACCTATTACGAGCCTTGGAGAAAATTTACCACTGTCGTGCTTCGTAAGCCGGGAAAACTGAACTATTCCACTCCAAAAGTGTTCTGTCCTATAGCGCTGCTCAACACGCTAGGTAAACTTCTAACGGCAGTAGTAGCGGATCACCTCACCTATATTCTCAAACAATTCCAACTTCTGCCCAACACTCACTTTGGAGGACGACCAGGACGATCCACTACAGATTCGTTACATTTGCTGGAAGAAACAGTTAAAAATGCTTGGAGATCCCACAAGGTCACTTCTGTCCTTTTCCTCGATATAGAGGGTGCTTTTCTTAACGCTGTCACCAAATGCCTTATTCATAACATGCACATGCGACACTTACCAGGTGAACTTATTGATCTCACAGAATGGATGCTAACGAACAGACAGACACAGCTACGTTTCGACGGGTTTACATTGGAATGGATACCTATCACTAACAGCATTGGACAGGGCGACCCCCTGTCCATGATACTCTATATCATTTACAGCTCCGGTCTCGTAGACTATTAGCGTGTGCACGTGACCAATACGACCACGGATACACGGCTTGTCGGAGTCACTGGAAGGAATACAACCCCGTATATATACCCGTTACCATATGGTTCATCTCTTCCCTCAGTCCATTATATGTGACTGAGGGTGAGTCTCTTATTATCGTCCCGCTCTACTTAGATCACTAACAGTTATCTTGTATAGACTGATAGTGTCTAGGTATATCTAATACAGTCCATTATATGCGACTGAGGACTGATAGTGTCTAGAACTTAACAGGTTATGAGCCCTGCTCACTCGTAAAAGAGAGAGCGGAACCTTCTAGACCACCATCATCTCCAGGAACAAATCAGAACTTCAATTCTGACTTTCCTTCATTTATCCCATTCGGGCGAGAAGCATACTTGATCTTCTTCAAGAACTCGATACTTATATATAAGTGATATCATCGTATTGAAACCTTCACACTTCTTTCCCCCAATCAACCACCATCAATGTCGAAAGACACCAAATCGTCATCAAAGCCCCACACCCGTTCCAAGAGCTCGCTGGCCAATATGACTGCCTCAACGCCAGCAACCACATCACCATCAATCACCATCGTGACGCTCAGCCAGACCGATCTAGAAAAAATCGAAGTCTTGGACCATAGCCAAAACAACTGGGGTGTTTGGTCAGATAAGTTGCAGAATTATCTGCTCCTCAAACACGGTGGGGGATATCTTCTTGGTGTAATCTTGCGCCCAGACTCTACAGTTGATCCTACTGGTGCAAGCACCTGGGATCTCAATAATCTCTGCATCATCGCAGCTCTCCGTACGCGATCGAGCCCGGAGGAGCAAGAATTTTTACGTCCCTTTGTCAACGCGTATCTAGCGTGGAACACCCTCAAAATGCGCCATGAAAAGGTCAGACCAATCGCACAAATTCTACTTATTCAACAAGCCCTCACGGTCCATTATCGTCGCGCTGAACGGCTCTCGACCACCAGTACACAACTCAACAACCTCGTTCACTGCATATATGCTATTGGTCTCCCGAAGGAAGACAACTTTCTTACCATTATGATGCTTAACGCTATGACCGACGACCTCCCCCATGTGCGTAACCACATTGCTGACACTTTAGCCACCTGCACCTCCAGCACCCCATATGGACCATCCAACATACGCTCCCATCTAGACATTGAACAGCAACTCATAGACACAGAGAAGTCCAAAATGTCCACTGATGTCGCCATGGTCGCTACTGGGAAAGGATCCTTCAACTCGGTCAAGTCTTCAAAGACATGCTCTGAGTGTGGTTGTGCTGGGCACTCTTTCTGTTGCACTAATTGTAGCAACGGGGGGCATGTCGCTAAAGATTGCTTCGGTAAAGGCGGTGCTATGGAGGGTAAGCGCGATGAAGTCTTAGCCCATAAGTGCGCGGCACACGACACCAAATATCCTTCTTGCACAACCGGAAAACCCGCTGCAGCCACTGGCAAACCTGGGGGTTTATGGTACGATACCAGTGGGCGAGCTTATCTCCTCGACAGTGAGACCCTGGAGGCTATATACATCACGGCCCCACCTGCTTCACCCAGCCCTCCTACTCAGGAATTTGCGGGTTTAGCCTTTGATCCCCTTCCATCCGGATCTATCCACGAGCTACCTGGCTCAGACAACGAAGAGTACAACACTAGTGTTTTAAAGTCCGGTCCGGTCCGGTTTTTTTGGCCATTTTTGGCACAACCGGACCTGGACCAGTCCTAATTTTAACTGTAGTTCCAAAAGACTGGACCAAACTCTGAAAAACCGGTTGCCTTCAGTTGCCGGACCACACTGCAGTAGGTTGCAACCGGTCTTTCAAAAACCAGTCCAGGACTGGTTGTAACTGGTCTAGACTTCGTCATAGTAGAGGAACGTGCTCTACACATTGTTATATTTGAATGATTCTGTAAGACACTACCAACTAATCAATACTTTGCATCTCCCCACTGCCTCGATCTTCTCTTCAACCTGACCATGAAGTCAACTCGTGTGCGACGACCCACGGAAAAGGTTATCGCAATGGCATCTGCCAAAGCCAAGCACTCACGGCCTTCAAAGACCAAGCAAGTGTCACCAAAAGGGAAGAATCGCAAATGGAAAGCTGTATCGAGCAACAGCGAATCAGAAACCAGCGAGAGTGAGACTGAACCAAAACGTACTTCGAAAAAGAAACCTCCAGCTCCTTCAAAATCTAAGCGCGCACGTCGAAACACGATTGATGAGGTTGTCCACGAGAGTGAGGCCAGTGAAGAAGAAGAAATTGAGCCCTTTGTTGAGGATGCTGAAGATGAAGAGGTAATTGCGACTCGTTTCATTGTCATCTGTGTATTGGACATCAGCTCAACATCACCAGATAGTAGGAGAGTAATGGCTTGCAGGAACAGCACCACGCTCCTCTACCCGATGTGCTGAAAACGAACAAACAGAGTACAACTGATTTACTCACTGTGTTCTCGGATCGTTGTACGGTGAAGTTTTGCCAGACTAATGGAAATGTAGAAACATCGAAGGGGCGCTGGTGCAATGTATGCAAGTCAGTAGATCAGATTGAATACTAATATTGAGTACTTACATTGCGCCTGTAGAGATGATAAGGATTTTGTCGCAAAGCATGGAAAACGCAAGGCATTCCACGTCGGAAGTAATTCTTCGTGTCGGCAACACATCCGAAGTCATTATGAGGTATACAAGAGTAAATGTAAAGAACTGGGCCTGAAGGAAAATCACCATGTGATACCGCGTGATATAGCAAAGCTGCAAGCGAATAGGAAGAAACAAGCAAAGGACATCCAACAAGATCTAGGCCAGATGTTCCAGAAGTCGCAAAACAAAGAGTATTCAAGGGAGGATGTGCTACGCACAGTTGCTGAATTTGTGGTCTGCGACGATCAGGTGAGTGATGATATCGATGATCCATGAGATTCGGAAAATCCTGAAACAATGTTGTCATGCAGAGCCTTGTAGTGGCCGACAAACCCGCATTTAGAAATTGTTTGGTGGCAATGCGGCCAAATGCTATACTGGCAGACATACCTTCAACTCATGATGTGTTGGCTTACATCCACAACGCTGTGGGTGAGGAAATAGGAATGCAAACTCCGGAGAGTCACAAGAATATCTACCTCGAGAGGCGAGCTAGTAGAATCGTCCCTTAGGGGATGCTACTGAGTCAATCTCTCTAAATGATGAGAGGGATCAAGAGAAAGGCTCAAGTTGGAAGGTGCGCGAAGGTGCGCGGGAACGCGCGAGGCTGATGTGATGAACGCGCGGAATGCGCGAGCCGTGCGGAAGGGTCGGAATGCGTGCGGTCCGTGCGCAAAGGGAGAAGAGTTGCAGAGGATCGTAGGAGCTCCCTTTGGATGAGGAACGAGACTTCACAAGACAAAGAAGATGATAGACAAAGACTGCAATGATATTAGCGCTCTAAGCGCGACTAGACAGGAAACTGATAGTGAGTCCAAGTAAGGGAAAAGTAAGTAAGTCCGAAACCCTCTGAGTCTTCTAGATATGTAGGTCGCTACGCGAGCTCTCAGGGTATTGAGACGTAAGGGAAGCGGATAGGCTGCGCGGAAGCGCGCAAGGAAGCGGATAAGTATGTAACACTATGTAAAAGACCCTGGATGTGGTCAGAGACGGAGATGACAGTGAGAGTACGCACCAACGGTACCGGACAGACAGGACAGGACATGGGAGGATATGCCGAGGATAGCGCCGGTCTGCGGAAGGGCGCGGAAGGTTGCGTGCGTCGCGGAAGAGCGCGGAAGGTCGCGCGTGTTGCGCGCAACTCTATTGGACTGTGCATACATGAGGATAGTGATGAGGTCGATGTATATATCAGGGGATACGAGCCTGTAGGGATATTACTCCCTACACCTGCGGGGTACTCTTAAACTGACTGTCCGCAGTCAGTCCCCTAGACGCGGAATGGACTTAGCGAAATTTCTGACGATTATGTCACATGCGCGCCGGTATCGGCGAGTGTGTGTGTGCCGGCGCCGGAAAAGCACGAGTCACGTGTGTGGACACGTCGTGGCTTTGTTTTCTATATCGGGAATTCGGCGCTTGAAAAAGTGAGTGGACGCGTGCTTTTGTTTCTTCTTCTTCTTCTTATCCATCTACATCACGCGTTGTTCTGCCCATCTATACTCTCTTCTATACCATGGCGCCTTTCTTATTCGACTCACTTGCCGACTCGCCGCCGCCGTCGCGTGCTGCGTCTCCTGTCGTCGCGTCTCCTGCTCAGGAACCTGAGCCGATCGAAACCGAGGCCGACGTTCTTCGTCGCAAATGGACCGCGCTTCGCGAAGTCTTGGACACGCTTGTTCGCGTAATGCCGGATGATAAAGAGGAGTTGATGGAGGATCAGGAGACCTGGATGCGAAGTTGGAATGGGTTTATGGTGAGTGTCCTCGGTCTCTTCGCGTTGTGTGGTTGATGCTGATTATCATAGACTCGTGTTATGGCTGCCGGCGACACTGCCCGGCATTTGCAGATCGAGCTCGATCTCGACGATGAGGAGCACGTCTTGATGACGGCTGGCCGCAAGGCCTACAAGAATTTCGAAGGTGCGATCCGCCTTATCAAGGAGAAGGCCGCTGCTCAAGCGGAAGAAGTTGTGACTGCGCGGCCTCCTGCCGCGCAGAAGAAGAAGATGGAGGTGTTGGTTCCGTCCTCCAAGAAGGCGGGTGTGCAGACTGATATGGGTGCTCCGGTGCGTAGTGTCCGTTCTCGGGTTGGTGCGGATTCTGACTTGGCGCGATCTTCACATCAGTTGCCTACCGGGCGCATGACTGGTCGAGCGCCTTTGGGAGAGAAGTGTGAGCGGTGCACCAAGTTGGGTAGAGAGTGCGATGGCAGCCCCGGCGTGCGCTGTGATACTTGCGCGAAGGCGCACCAGCAATGCTCTTTCAAGAGAGGTAAGTTGTTTTGTTTCCGCGTACTGTTTCCTATGTTAACGAGTTTCCTTAGGAGCTGCAAGGGCGCCCCCTAAGCGTCGCGTTCAGAAGGCTGCACCCGCGTCCTCGCGTGCGCCTACCGCAGAGTCTGGTCCTCGCACCGCGTCTTCGCGTCAGGAGGTGATGGAACTTGATAGCGGAAATGAGTTGGGGTTGGAGTCGGAGGAGATGTCAGTTCCTGAGCCCGTTCCTGCTCCGGGCCTCTCTGCCTTGCCTGCTAGGCCGACCAGGGCTATTAACCCTATCCTTTCCGGCCCTAAGAAGCGTCGCGTGGAGGAGTCCTTGGATCGGTATGAGGAGGGTGGGGAGTTGGAGCGTCTGCGCTCTGAGAATGCGCGTCTCCGCGAGCTTCTTCGCCGCGTTGGAGAGCGTTCCCGCATCCAGCAGGCTGAGATGGCTGCGCAGAGCAGCCGGTTATATTCTATGTCGCGGGAATGGAAGGAGGATGAGGAACTGGCGGAGTTCCTTTAGGTACTTGATAGCATAATGCGCGGTTCTTCCGCTTGTGGACTCTGGATTCATAGCGCCAATGCGCTTGTACTATACTTGATTGCTGAATTGGTGCCAAGGCGCGCCTGTACTATAGATTTGACTCTGTTTCCCTGCGCATACGCGCATAATAGATATCCGTGTCCCCCATGTCTGTGTCTGAGTTTGAGTCCAGTCCGCTGGGCCTAAGGATGAGATAAGAGAAAAATTCAAGTATTTGAACGCATGGAACATAGAGAAAACTTGGAACTGGCGGCGGGTTTGTGCGAGGTTCGCGCTCGGCTTGCGTTCATCGGCGTACTGTCGGCTTCTATTCCTTCCTTGGGTTGCCGCGCTCTAATGATTAGCGGCGGGGTATATATATTAAAATGTGCGCGGCGCGGGCGTGCGTTAGAAGGGGAAATGTCTATGGTTGATTATGCGCGCGTTAGATTCATAGTATGTACTTATCTGATTTGTTATGTTCTTGTTGCGGGGATCGTGCGGAATGTATATAGGGTCTGCGGAAGATATGTTCAGCGCGGCGCACGGTATTATGAGTCTGGAAAGGAGAAACTGAGAGCGCCGGTCGAAACCCGGGGTAAAACTGAGAGAGGGAAATAGATGCGGGGTGTTTTTGTTATTTTCTTCTATGGCGGTATTCGTTGTTTTCGATGGCTTTATTATATTTTCTGGAGGGCATTCTTGCGGAGTGGTTATATACGGGAAGAGGGTCGGGAATAATTGCGGAGGGGGTGATGGGAGTGCGTTATTCGCCGAAGTCGCGTTCGGGGTCTTCTTCTTCTGGCTCTTCGTCATCTTCTGCGGCTAAGTGATCCAGGCCTTCATCGTCAAGGCCCGTGATGGCCGTCACAGCTATGCGCTCATTGTTGCGCGGGAAATATGGTATTACGCGGAATGCCGCGTATCGGAGTCGCGAGACCGCGCCGTCCAACTCGGCCAATAAATACGATCCGCCGGTCGTCCGGCGAAGGACAACCATTGGACCTAAGTACCGTGGCTTCGTCTTTTTGCTCAGCTCATACTCGACTTTTGAGTTGCGGACTAGAACCAGACTTCCTGTTGGAAAGTCGTGATCCTTGATTGACGCGCGGAAGCGCTGTTCGAAGTCGCGAACAGACTTGTACCTCGCTTTCAGGACAGCGCCTTTAATTGTGTCTAGGTCCTGCACTCGCTTCTGTAATTGGCGTGCGCGCCATGCGATAAGATCTGCGGAGGTTAGCGCGCCCCTGCTCGGGAGTGGTACGAGGAAAGTAGCTTCTGCGAGGTCAAAAGGAAAAATCGGCTCCATGCCGTGAACCATGAAGTATGGCGACAAGCCTGTAGACTTCTGGATGCTGACGCGCTCTGCCCAAAATGCGGCGTGCGCGATCTGCGGCCACTGCGTTAGATCGTGCTGGCAACCTTTTATGATCGCTTCGCGAACTTCAAGGTGCCGCCGCTCGATGATACCGTTAGCTTGAGAATTATAAGGGGAGATGCGGATCGTGTGGATCCCATACTTTTCCGCAAGTAAGTCGACGGCGGCGATAAACGCGGGGCCATTGTCGGTTACAATCTCGGTGATGGGCCCCCATCTGCAGAGGAGTTCTTCGAATATAAACGCGGACAAGGTCTTCGCAGTTTCCCTACGTAGCATGCGCCATTCAGGGTACGCAGTAAGTGCACATCGTGCGTGCACTATACGATCGAATCCGCCCGCTTTGGGCATCATCATGCAGTCGATGTGTACCTTGCGGAACAAGCCGCCCGGGATGGGTACAATAGGCGGAATGTGTAGGCGGGTGTTCTGGCGTACTTGACATTCGTGGCAAGTCTTCGCGTACCATTTGATGTCTTCGACTATCATCGGCCACCAGAAGTGCAAGAGGAGGCGCGTACGGATGGTATAAATACCCTTGTGCCCGAGGTCGTCGTGCGCCTCTTTGAGAATTCGATAGCGCCGCTCTCCTCTTACTACTAGCTGGTGCCGGCCATGTGATTCTCTGCGCCATAGGTTATCTTCCATGACGAAAAATTTTGCCGCGGAATTGACGAAGGTGTCGAAGTCGTCGTCCGAGAGATCCGCAGGTCTCTCGCGACTTTCTAGGAAGCGCTGATACTCGCGCATCTTCTCGTCCATGGCTTGCGCTGCGTCAGAACGAGGTATAGGGGGCTCATCGGGTTGAGCGGAGATAGTATCTAAGAAAACTAGGAGTGCGGGAGTTCGGTTAGTGACTTGCGCGTCGCGCCTGGTGTACGGATCGCGGGTGTATGATGTGCCAGCGGCTTCAATCATATGAGTCCGATCATTAATAAGCGCTACTCCAAAGGAGTACGCGCGGTCGAGCCAGTCCTCGTGATCGTCTTCCTCATCTGGGTCTTCGTCTGCGCGCGGTCTCCTTGAGAGACCGTCAACGCCGGCGTGCTTCATCGCGGAAATGTGGACAAGTTTGAATGAAAATAGTAGAATGCCCGCGATCCATCGATTGATGGTCGCGTTAGGCGCTGCAAATCCGGATTATGATCATACCTTTGATATACTTCGCATCAACTTCAAACCGTAAGGTTGGTAATGCCGAAGATGTATATGCGCACGGCGCGGAGTGCGCGGAAGAGGCCGTAGAGTGCTAAACTTGGCCTGAGAGTAGCGGCTCTCGACCTCGTTGAGTGCGATTGATCCGAAGCGGTTGGGGTAGCGCTTGCCGTCCTCTCCGATTTGGATGAGGAGG